CTATTGCTTTCTCTGTCTACGGTCTACACATACTTGTCTAAAAAACGGAGGTCGCAATGGATTTGATACTGTAATATCGATTCTTATGAATAATCATTACTTTTTATTTTCATTATAAATAAACTATTTTTCTCTAAGTAACATCTAATTATATTAGTAATCCAATCTTAGTTTTATAATTTTCACGGATTTATATGGTTAGTAAATAATATAAGATTTGTATCAAATTCGATTGGTCAGAAATAAAATCAATCTTGTTCTTTGAAAAGAAAGGTACTTCTCTAGGAATGACATTATTATTAAGATGCGTTCAAAAAAAACATAATTTAAACTGCTTTCAAAAAAATAAAGACATATTTTAGAGAAGATTATCTTTCTTTTCCCAGCTTTTAAAAATACATTGTTGATATATAATAATTACATTCAACTTATACTACATTTTGGTAATAGTTCCATCTTGATACAAGAACTTTTTTTTTCGCAGTCCATTTTGACCATTGTTCCTTGATTGAAATCGGTTCAGTAGTTTTGGAGTTTATTGACAACATACATCGTGACACAAATTTTTTAGATATATAAGAAAGATTTTTATGTATGTTTTGTGCCTCAGTACATTTTATCATAATTTTGAATTAGAAAATGTAGTAGGTAAAGTAATGCTATAAAAAAATGCAAAAATGGTTATTTTTAAGGAACTTTGATTTTTTTCTATAGGGTTTATAAATTCATGTTTTGGTTTGGAGTGAATATCTAAAATGGGATGTTGTTCGTCCATAAGTAAATTAGTAATAGAAGTAAATTAGTTTTCAAAACTCAATAAACAACTCATATTCTATTTGTTCTTTTTCGTATTTGTATTGATATCTAAGTTTCGAACTTTTCAAATTTCAGTTTTTTAATAAGTTAGTTAATAGGAACGGAAATGACTGTCTTTAATCCTTTCTTTTTGTGCAGAAATCAACTTTTGCTAGAGTCGCCATCTAGTGGAGGTTCTTTTTTAGTTCTTTCTTTTTTAAAAATACTCCCTCATTGAAGAAGTATTTAAAAAAAAATAAAGATACTACAAATATTTATGTCACTAGATGGCAGCACAAATTGTTGGATCTAAACGTCAATTCATGACGTTAAACCAAAGAGAATAGAATTGTCTGTGTTGTTATGGATCTGATAACTCGGATTAATATCGAGATGAAATTTAATTAGGTCGAGTTATGCAAACGCAACTCAATTAATACAAAGTAATCTTTGAATTTTCTTTTTATTTGTATAGAGGAAAATGGACACAAACATAATGGAAGTGAGCACAGAGGTTATTTTTAAAATTTATGGATATCAATTGAATTAATGCTGTAATATAATTAAAAGTGGCATTTTGCTACGTTATACAATAATTTTACCGCCAAATAGTATTTTTATAAATAAAATACTTATGCCATAGTAGGTCTAGGAATTTTTAATTATAATAATTAACAAAAGTTCTGAAAACTAACAACTAAATAAGTTAATTTTATTGCTATTAGTTGTTTGTTGTACTTGCAACAACAAAACTACATCAAGTCTCAATAATATTTTTATATTATGTATGATTGAATAGGGTTTATAAATCAGCAAAAAAAGTCATAAAAACGATAATTATATTAAAAAACAATCCGTTAAATATTAACTTACCCGATATGTATCAAATATACTAGGTATTCGTTCAAAATAACATGATTTATGGCTAAAATGACATTTGTGCAAAGTGTAACATGCAAATAACTTGTGCTTACGAAATTAAGACTAAAAAAGGTGGTGTCGTGTGCGTTAGGTCGTTACGCTCCCTCAAATAAAGTATAGTTAAAATTAAAAAAGCAGCCCATGCTGAATTTCTTGCCGAGTCTTGTCAGTACGAGATCTCCCGCCTTAGTTTTGCGAACCATTGGCAAAGTTTTCGACTTTCTCAAGTACTATGTAACAGCTTAGACTGAATTGATTTTTATATTTATATTAATAACATTCGCTTTGTGGATGCAAATGACACATACAAATATAAGCTGAATTCTGCGCTCAGCTTTTTGTTCCTTATTCCAAACCTGAATTCGGATGAAAGTTACGAGCAACCAACTAGTTGGCTCATCACTAAAGTTGACGTTAACTTAAACTTACGATTAAAATAAATTAAAATTAATTTGAAAGTTAGATATTATCAGACACACAAAACAGTGTAATATTTATTAATTTTAGATACTCAATTTACTTTTTATTACGTCAGAAACAAAATATGAATGAATATCATAAACAAAATCCAAACATCGCGAGTGACATCTAGTATGATTTCAAGAACTAATTTTTATTTTTTAAATAGTTCCTCATTCATTACGTTAAACCAAGGAGAATAGAATTGTTGGTGTTGTTATGCATCGGATTAATCATCATCATCATCATCACCAGCTCTTTTACGTCCCCACTGCAGGGGTTTAGGCCTTCTTTATGGATGGTTAAGGAGAATGGGCCATGACCCTCCACGCTGGCCCAATGCGGATTGGAGGGTATAAACGACTGCAAATGCAGCCGCGACCAACGGCTTAACGTATCTTCCGAAGCACGGAGTAGCTCGATATAATATTTTTTTGGTCACCCATCTCGTGACCGACCCTTGTGAAAGTTGCTTAACGACAACGATCGCGGGCTGCGGTGCTTATCAACTACGCAACCGGGCGCTAGCTAATCGGGTTAATATCGAGTTAAAATTCAATTAGTTCGAGTTACGCAAACGCAACTTGATTAATACGAACTAATCTTTGAATAAATTTCTTTTTTATTTGTATAAAGGAAAATAAAATCATAATGGAAGTAAGCATGGAGACAGTTTTTTAAATTTATAGAAATCTAGACAATTAATCTGCACTGGACTACTAAATTCGTCCATTTTCTTTTATTATGAATATAGTATACAATTTTGTCTATGAGCATGTAGGATTGCTGATATTGTAATTGAAAGTTAACTTCATAATCACATTCCAATAAGACTTCCCTGTATGAAATAAAACATGGAGAAAAAAACAACCCTTTGCTGTGTTTCTTGTCGCCTCTTCTCAGTACAAGATCTTCTCGCCGTAGTTTTGTGAACCGCTGACAAAGTTTTCGAATTTTCAAAGTACTACGTTGTTACTTACAGCCTAGACATAATTAATTTTGATATTTATATTAATAAAATTCGACGTGTGTATGCATAATGGAGCATATAGAAGTACTGCACATAAAAATAACAATTTGAATTCTGCGCTCCGCTTTTTGTTCTTCATTCCAAACCTGAATTCGGATGAATCGAGTCAAATAAAGCAACCAATAAGTTGGCTCATCACTAATGTTGAAACATCGTTCTTTTACACGTAACATAATAAATAACTTAAATTTACTATTCAAATAAATCAAAATTAATTTGATAGTTAATAAGAAACACGAAACGATGTCATATTTATTAATTTTCGATACCTAATTTAATTATCCAATTATCCCTAGTGACATCTAGTATAAATTCAAGAACTAATTTTTATTTCTTAAATACTTCCTCGTACTGGGCAATGCGTCGCCCATGAGCATGAAGCGCGAAGCGCGTTGTCTACTAGCTCGAGCTTATTCGGATTTATCAGTCACTACTTGAATTTCATCTCAGAAAGCGTAAAATGTCTCTCTTTATATATCAAGAACTGGCAATAATATTCGATGACGAAAATAAAATAAACCGAAGAAACATAAGATATTTATTCTGTTCTGCAACTACACACGGACATCGTACACAACTACAATCATAAAGGGAGGGGCGTGGCGCCTTCGCCCGGCCAGAAGTAGTTGGCAACATCTCGCCAGCTAGCCGTAAGCACATTGTCGATCGTGCCCAATTCGTCAATAACGAGGAACAAACGGGTCAGCGACAGTCAATATGTGAACAACGCGTCGTATAACTTTACAAGTTGACAAATTCACTTTTAATTTAAAGTATCACTCCCATTAGAGCTTACTTTTCAATGTCATGTTGTGAGTTGAATTGGAGTCGAGTCGGCGTAACAAGTGAAGACCTTTTATGGTTTTTTCATAATTTAATTTTGAAAAAAAAATTATTATTATTAACCCTAAATAAGGCTGAACGAGACAGATCCATATGTCTTATAAAAAGAAATTACAACATGTTTGACAGAAGATTTCGCGCGCTATCTGGATACTGAAAAACGTTCGTTATTTTAATTCATTGTCCCATAATTTTATTTTTGTTTTTAATGTTAATTTTGTGTTTGTGTGTAAATAATTTAAGACTATAATATGTTTTCAAAAGCTAAACGATTTGAACCTTTGGGTAAGTAATAATATTTATTTCCAGACGGTAAGGGTATGTACGCACAACTTAGTAAATTTTTAGATGTTGTCGTTTTATGTTCAAGTGTAAATTATATGATAATTATTAAAAAAAATACCCTTTATTTCGACCTCCAATCACTTTTTAGATTATCTGGTGTCATCAAAGACATTTAGGTATATGTAGCAGGTTGGTTTATATTATTATTCTAGTGATTAGTGATATTAGATTAAGGATCATTTTAAAAACTATTGTAATGCTAATAATGAAATAATAAAAGTATGTTCACAATTATAATAGCGATTTCTTGCAGCTCCATCTAAAAGCATCATCAAATCAGTAAAAAAATTGGAAAATGACAAGAACACTAAAACGAACAGCAAAACGTTACAAATGCCGTCCAAACAAATTACAGGGACGTCAGTATCAGGAACTGAAACAAAAAACATCAAGGATACACACTCTCATTGTAGTTCAGTGCACAGTGTTAAATCTTTTGTTACTGTAAGTACCTTTTAATGGCAGTTTCAATTTATATATAATTTAGTTTTATATTTAGTCTAAATTAATATTTTACAAACTAAAACTTCCAGCCTAAGCCAATGAAACAATTGTCTAATTATAAAACTGCAAACTCTGTTACGAAGACATCCTCTTCAAAAATTGGAAAGCTAACAACCAGAACTGAAACCAAAGAAGAGATTCTTAAAGCTCAGGAAGTAGAAATTCGGTAAGCACAAGTCTTAAAATTACATAATAATTTTTACTTGATGAGATAATTATTATTTGTCCATTATTCTAAGTATGAAATTTGCATCATCACTATACAAAGAGTCCAGACAAACAGAACTCTCATCTTTTACTTAATTCATTTCTATTCAATTTAACTGCATATAATGACATTTGACTTATTATATATGACAATTTAAAATTCACATTTGTTTCACATTCACCTATGTGAAGTTGGTAGATTGTAGTTGACACAAAATAACCAATAAAAGAGAGAAGAAGAAGAAATATTAAGTTACTGATTATTTAAGGCAATTCAGAACAAATAAAAAAAAATATAAAATAGTAATAACTATTGAATTTAAATTATACTTTTAGAGGAATGCAATTATTTATTTTAAAGATATGTAGATTAATTAATAGCAAGTTAGATATTATTACTAAATGAATGGTGATAACCATGCAATTTAAGCAAGGCCTTGAAAGTGTAAAGAGTAAAGGCTACAATATCAATAATACATATATATTTTTTATTTTATTTTTAGAAACAAGGACCAAACATTGATGGAGTATAGAATACATATTGAAGAGTTAAAAACTGAGATTGCTCGACTTCAAAGATCTATGATCAGCAATTGCAATGAATTAAATAAACAATTTGAACAAATTAATTTGAATCAAGATGACAAAATATCAGAAAATGAAATCAATAAATCAGAGAAATCTGATGATGAAATTAATAATCTCAGAGAAACTATTTCTAAGTTAGAAAGTCATTGTGATAAGTTAGAGGAAGAAATTAGTAGCAAACAAGTTGAATTGTCATCTCTAGAAGAAGTTATTACTATAAGAGATAGCCTATGTAAAGATTTGCAAGAAAAATTAACTACAATGGAATTATGTTTGGAAGAGACGCGCCAAAGACTTGAAATGGTAAAAGGCCATCATTCATTAGCACTTGAAGCTAACGAAAGTATCAGACGAGAATATAAATTAGAATTAGAAACATTAAAAACTAAAATGGACGAGGAGAAGCAAGCTATAATTTGTAAAAATAAAACAGATCAGGAAACTCTTAAAATAAAGTATGAAGAATTAATTGAATCTATCAAAACTCAAATGTCAAAAGAAAAAGATGAAGTTATTAATGAGCTTCAAGATCATTTAGATACCAAAGAACGTGAATTTAAAGCAAAACTTGAACAGATAAATGAGGCTACTCATGAAAAACTGAGGTTATGCGAAATTCAGTTTGAGGAACAGGCCAGAGATATCCAAGACCATTGGTCACAGCAGCAAACTAAAATACAGTATTTAGAAAAGGAAACCAAAGATCTTCAATGTAGTCTTAGTGATAGTGAGGAACAAAATATCAAATTACAAAGAGAAATTAATATATTGAAAAATGAAAAAGAATCTTTAATAACTGAAAAATATAATATTCTTAAAGAAATAGAGGAGTTAAAAGATGAATCGAAAAAGAAAATGATTGACTTCGAAAACCAAATTAATGTATTAACTGTAGAAATTGAAAGAGCAGCTAAAGAGAAAGGCAGATTTGAAATGTCATTATCTGTAACAAGAGATATTGTTCAAGTGTTGACTTTGCGTTTGAGAGAATCTGATAGTGAAGTTGAACAGTTGGAAAACACCGTGCAGACTTTAAATTCTTCAAAGGAAATGTTGGAAAATGAACTTTCATCTTACAAAAACACATTAAATAAAACAGTAATGGAATGTAATGAATATAAAGATGCTCTTATGAACATATTGAAATCAAAGGCAGCACTTGCCAAAGAACATAATCGTATTATGGAACACAATGTGTCATTGATAGAAAGTTTACAAAACGTTGAAAAGGAAGCCTACCGTGAACTAGGATCAATAAAAAATGAACTCATTGAAGACGTCGAGTTGATAAAAAAAGAATCAAGTAGCCAAATACAAATGCTTCGTGAAGAGGTAAGAAAACCATCCTCAACTTCATCCAATGTTGTACAGGGTCATATTTTACAAACAATGAGTAATTATCTGATTTAAAATGCCCTGAGGAACATCAATACAAATTGGTTATGAATTAATTGCAAACACTAGTTTTGGATTATAATAATTACATATAATATGCACATATGCTTTGTGGTGAAACCTTTCCTAGTATTATCTAATACTTGAACCAAACGCTCACCTTTCTTGTAATTGTGGGAACCTTATTTACAAACATGAAGTGGAGGCAGTTGCCCCTATCGCAACTGTTAGATAGGCGCCAAAATCATCATAATATAAAACCTATTTACAGTTAAAAAAGAAAGCTTTACAAATCTCACCATACTCATAATAGGCTACGACGATGATACAGATGTGTTTTAAAAACCCTAAATGATATAAAATAATATAAAATATGGCTTTACAGAGCGTGGGCGGGGTAGAGGTAAGGCGCCAACATTTTCTCTATTTTTTTTTTATATATTTTATTTTAAAATAGTGATTTTTTCATTGGGTTACAGACAAAAAGTTCATTTTATCCTTATGGCTAATAAACTTCACTTTACAATCAGTGTTATAGGCATCAAGTGTGATTTCGGTAAACATAAGTTTTTGAAAAATACTACTTGTTCTTTAGCCTTGACTATAGTCAGGTTGATGGTTATACTACTGTAGTCTTATATTACTGTAGGTACGTAATGAGAACTAACATTTAAAATCATTTGTGATTAGATTAAATAAACATAGTCTTGTTGTCTTTAAAACAAAAAGTCATCACCAATGCTAACTCAACCGCCCCGTCCGTCGCCGCCCTTGAGGTCATTAACCTGCTCATTTAACTAGGTACAGTTTTAGATTAAGTGTCTATTTGTTATATTTGATCAATCTTGCATTAACTATACTAAACTGAAGATGGGACTCGAACCCATGACCTTTCGAAAATATCTAGATCATACCCACGCAGGCCGGGCTGTACATTTTTTTAACCACGGCAGAAACTTCGTATTGCCTCCTTCCTCTAAACCCCTTCCCCTAGCCCTACGTTCCACAAAGCCGACGATATTATATTCATCATCGTCTATGAAATATTTGTAAAGCTGTTTGTTTTTAACAAGCTTTAAGTTGCCTTGTTGTTATGTAAATGTGTTACATATTGCGCAAATATTAGAACTCAAATTTGACCCACTTCCCAATGTCCGATAGATTTGAAATTTTGGTATAGACATGTATGTCAGATGATAATACAATATTATGATGTCAGTAAGTTGACATGATGAATTCGGAAGTTCATGGGAACTTAGCGATGAAATGACGCAACTGCATAGTGTTTGAGCTCTTTAGATCCGTTTTTATGACAATAACTACATATTGAGACAAAATTAAAATGTAAAAAATTTAAATATAATAAAAATCTGCTTAGACCCGGCCCTTTAGCTACTCTCGTTTAGCGTCATATTATGTTATCTTTATATGTTTCTAATGTACAGGTGGAGAAGAAGCGTATGTTATGTGAGCTAGCGACTGAGCACGCGGGCCAGGCGACCGCGGCGGCCGAGCACTCGCGCGCGCTGTTGGCGCACGCCGCCGCGGAGATCGCGAGACTCGAGGCTGACAACGATAGATACCAACAGCAGGTGACCGCTGACGGGTTAACTCTTATGGCCGGCTTACACGTGCTAAGATTTCATACATTTTTGATCACAGAAAAAACAAATGCCAGTAATCATTTTAGATTATATCAAAACCTAGTTTTGTATATAGTTTTTTATATAATTAGGATGAAATATATTAATCGTAAAATCGATCCCAAAAACCTATTAAGAGTCATCATTGCGATATTTCTGTATTTTTTTCATAAGATCAATCATGTTTAATTTGCATAAAATGATTTTTATTTGGCAAATATTAGCATGGCATTTGAATAAAATTGGTTTAAAAACACGCCATAAGGAGTCGGGCAGTGGCATCCCTGCAACTGTCAAGTGTTTTGGTTCGAAAGATATCAATTAACATATTTGTTTTAATTCTCAGATTGAAGATCAACAGTCGCTTGTTGTGGAGCTTTCTTTACTTCGTCAAGAAAATGAAGAATTATCAATGACTGTTGCGAAACAGTCATCTATTATTGACAAAATGAAAAAAGATATGGAGCAAGTTCAGTCGAAGCCTAAATCGCCGTCTGTTATTCGTAAAACACATAAAATGGGAAAAGAAAACTTTCAATCGACTTTATCGCCCCTACGTGAACGTAACCATTAGGTGGTGGCTACCTAATTGGACTTAATGATATGACTTTGACAATTTAATATATGTTAGGGAAAGTACATGGAGATATTTTTGAATAGAGCTAGGAAACTAGACATCCGTCGTAGGTTAGAAATAGACAGAAAAGATTGTGGTATTCTCTCTTTCTTTCTATTAGTACACCCGTAGTTAATACGGAACGCCTTTTCAATTCAGAATGGCAAATTCTCGAAATGTCCTAATTACCATCATTATGGATTTGTTGAGAATACACAGATTAATAATATGTTTTTCGTAGGTATTATTAGTCCACGTGGTTACACAAAGTCGCCAGCCATGTTAATATTAAACAGCTGGACATCGTCAAAGAACCGCATACGCATTAGAAGGCTGGCACAGACACATAAATAACCCCATTATTGCAGGATTAATATCTTACATATTATTCAACTGTGTATTCAAGAAATCCACCATGATAGTAGATTGGACATGCTGGAGTAAATGGAGAAGTATAACAGAATCATTTGGGTGTGTTTATAGCTGTCCTTTTCTAAACGATGGTCTTCTTTCTCTATCTAATCATGAGATTTCAAACTGTACAATTTTTGCGTTTGTGCGATGCATTGTTCAGAGAACGCCTAAATAATAATCAAGTTAAAATTATTATTTTTATACAAAATGTAAACAAAAGTGAGTTTCGATATTGTTAAAAAGTAAAACAAGTTTTGTTGCAATTGTTCTTATCATTTTTTGATTTATTCATTGGTTTATTTTATATACCGGTTTATTTATTTTCAATTACAAAGTTTTGTTGGTACGTTTTATTTAAGTACACATAGTTTTAGTATTTATTATTGTGTGACAATCTGCATGATTTTACTTAAGATTTCATTGCCTTAACGTTTTACAATAAATGGATTGAGAAAAATATTTTTTTATTTGGTTTATAATATTATCTACAATCTATCAAAATAATGCCAATTTAAAAAACTAAAGGGTGAGTGTCGTGCTGGCAGCGCCACCATTTTCCATTTTGAAATGAGTTCTTGATCCATCTAGTCCCTTACGAAATGGCATACCAAATAAGTATACAGACTACCCCCGAACGAGCAATTATAAACTAAACGCGCTTATAGATCATTCGATCTTTAGAAATGCAGTCGTTACATACACCTTTATCGCCGCTATATGTCAGACTGATAAATAGCGACAAAAGGTTTTTGATGTTTATTATGAGTTATTATATAGCTATGTGGAGCAGCTAGGCTGACGTCATTTTGGCGAGTTTATCTCCGAAACTAGGGTATCTTTATAATCAAAGCGGAACTTTGCTATTTGTTCCTAATGTGTAACGGACTGCTGTGGACCAATCTTTCATTTCAAAATTGTAGTAGGTGACGCTGTCAGCCTGACATACTTCCAAATATTGTTAGCATACCTGCTTAAAATATCCATGCATATTTTATAATATGAAATAGGATGGTTCTTATTTTTGTAATGTATGAAATAAAAGAAATATTTTTATCTTACATTTATTTTATTCATTAATTTACAAAACAATGTAAAAGCTGCATTGACAACTACCTACTGGTGCATCCACATTTTACATAAAATCACAAAAAGCATTGGCAAGAATCATACCTAATTAGCTTGTGCACAAACATTACACATGATACAAATTAAGGTTTTTTGAGACCATCATTGTCTATCACAGTGATCGATGTTCTCAAGCTGGTTTAGTTTGATACATTTTTGCTTATTCTACTATATTCAAAATGACACAAATATTACATACAAAAATAGCTTAATTTTAAATTAAGAAAGTAATCACAAATCACTCTTTGGATTAAAAATCAGACTTAAATAATCACATTACATACTAAGGTGCAAAACTAAAAAAAAATGTACTTATGCACTTTTCAAAACATATTCCATTTTAAATCACAAACATTTTACATTTAAAAGCTAATAATATTAAGCAATGAGTACCACCATAAGTCATTTCATTTTTATTTTTCTTTGGAAGACTGTACTTTTTCCAATAGCTAGTTTATTATAATTGCGATTTAGAAAAAACAGTTTTGGGGCATGAAAATAATTAACCTTATACATAATTGAGATCGTTGCAATGGGGCAGTTACTATTATGACTTTATGCCTAATTAAGATAAGTCTGACAATTTTTAAAGTCAATTAAAAATAATGATTAGGTATTTTTAATTAGTTTATAATTTACAAGATATAAGAAATTAGTAGTAAAATTTAATTGTATATCAGTCTTCTGAAAACAGGTAATGGTAAGAGGATTTATGATATTAAAATAATATTTTATCAAAACATTTGTACAAATTTTAAAACTACAAAATGCAATCAATGAGATCGGGGAGCCCAAAGAGGTGGCAGAGATTCATTAAGTCAATAACATTAATTTTAATGAGATTATGTATCTTAACCTAAATCGAGGTGGTCAGAAGTGAGTTACAAACTTAACTATAATAATTAATTATAGAGGACAGCCATACATCCTTGTTAAATCTAAGAGATGGTTAAATAACACTAATCGATATGTGCATATCTTGGCACTAGATCTTCTTGTATCAACAAATCACAAGCTGGTAGGCCATGAAGGGGAAGTAAATCTTGTCCAACCATAATTAGGCCAGTTTCTGGACCAGGTAAATGTCCATGCCATACAAAGTAGTAGAAAAGCTGTTGCATTGCTGCCATATATCGTCTTTGTTCTGGTGTTTCAGAGTCAAAAGTACCGAGTATAGCTTCAACGTCTGCATTAATACCAGCAATACCAGACCCTAATGCACCTCCACCTGCACCCATAACTACATACATTGGTGCTGCAAGACGTAATCTCGCTAAACTCACTAGCGGGCATAAGGTGCGAAGCGATGATATCAATTCAGCCAATCCTGCATAAGACTTGTTGAAATGTTTAAACACAGCAGCTGTTAAATTCTTTTGTCCAATAATACTGTCATTTACCATTTTTTCGACCATTTCTGACGTCCAATTTAAATGCATTTTTTGTAACAAATCTGAATGTCCTGAATGCTGCGTCGTACCAAAAACCATTGGTTTGAAAATTTTTTCCTTGCCTGCTTCTTTCTGTTTACTCCAACTTTCGTAAGCATGAACCCTCAAGTAATCACCATCTAATGTCAACCAAGAATGTTGAAATTCTTCAGCAGTAACCGGTAACGTCCCAACATTATTTCCTAGCCAAACATCAGGTATGGCTATTAGAATTTCCGTCGTTGTTTTACGTCGGAGACATTCGACATCATTGCATTTGATTCTTTGTTTGAATTGATCAAATTTCTTATTTTGATCTATTGTTTCTCCAGGAAAAATTACAGACGCAGAAGACAACCAAACTCTAGAATAAAGCTTCTGAGCTTTGGTGACTGTGGTAAGGGCAGCAGTCAATGTGGCACCAGCTCTGTGGCCCAACAATGTGACTGAAGATGGATCTCCACCAAATTCCTTAATATTATATTTCACCCATTGTAGTGCCACTAATAGATCACTTAAAGCGTAATTTCCTGATGTAGCCGGGTATTTTGAATGAGACAAAATATCAAGTGCTAAGAAACCGAATGCCCCGAGTCTGAAATTCGGTCTTACAAATACAACTTCTTTGGTACGTGCATATAAAGCAGAAGGCTGAGCTGGGCTAATACCACCAGCTAAAGAGTTAGCTCCGATCAGTATAACAACTGGTAGAGGAGAGTCATATTTAACATGAGGAGTGACAACATCTAAGGTCAAGCAGTTCTCTTCGCCAATATTAGTGCCATTTTCCAAAAACTGCAGACAAACTGGACCAGGTTCATGAGCTTTGTATGTTCCATTCCAGCACATAGATATATTATTAAAATATTGAGCATAAGTAAATCTCTTATCCTCTACTGGTGGAACTGCATAAGGTATATTATAGAATTTATAGACTCCTTCATCCAGAATGCTGTAACAAATTTAATCATTATTAATCTGTTTATACTGCACATTTCAATAAGCAAAGTATCAAAGTTAACATTACGGTTTATTTATAACATTAATATTTATTTAAAAGTCATACATTAACTCAAAATTGTATATTTTGTCAAAATAGTACTAAATAAAAGAAATAACATAGATTTTCTATTATCATATGCTTAAAATGAAATTTGTCAGGAATGTAATGTTTGCTCTAAGTTTGAGGATGTAGATATTTTTTGTACTTTGACAAAAATGTATTAAGTAAATCTTTACTCAACTGGTATTTTTTGAATTAACTATATGATAAAAACCTAAGAGGTAGGTAATATAGGTAGCATGTTTTAATGTTGCCAAAACTTCGGTTGAAAGTTTGTAATAAAACCTTATTAGTATAAAAAAAGGTTTTTTTATTATAAGTAAATTATGTCAGTGTCTATATACAAAACCTATGGCATAAAATAAAATATCGTGTGTGTGTAAAATACTCCTCAGTAGTTTCATTTTAGTGGGCCCTTCACAGGTGGGCAATTGAAAATACCACCATATAGTCAATTACGTTTTATCAAAAGTTTAAAAAGAAGATTTGATAAAAGACGAGATGGCAGGTTGAGCAAAGCATAAATTCACAATGGAGGCCGATTTAATCAAATTTAAAAGTAACGGAAACAAAGACGTTTTATTATTAGACACACCATTCATATTGCATTTTTAAACGGTATAAACTTGATTGTGGTTGCGCAAAACATTAATTGTGGTAGCGTAATACATCCACAAAGGGCGCGAAGAAATCAAAAATATTTATTTCCCTATTAGAATCTTCAGTATAATTCCGAAGAAATAAAAAATATTTATAATAATTCTTGTTAGAACGAGATAAACATACTTGCATAGTTTTACGCAGGCTTTACGTGACAACTGCTGCATCCTCACTGAACAAGATGTACGAAAAAATGGCCGCATTCAATGACGTTTTATTATTTTTAATAAAATAAAAAAGAGTAAGTACAGTGCTTACGCATGAAATTATATCTTGTTTGCTTTTCTTATTGTCAATTGAAAACATTTTTTCTACAACTTTTCACAGAAAATTACGAGTAAAATTGACATTAGCCACAGAGCTTGCTGAAACGTGACTAAAGCGAAAATCAGGCAATTGTCTTGCTTTTGTGCACCTACCCTTTTTAAATCATCATTGAACGGAAACTATACTCTCATGTTATGATTGAAAAAATCGATGCTAATAAGATTTATTTTTTTTATTTACATTACAATATTAAACACATTACAATATATACAATATTACACTTTTTAAGTTTTTTACAGCATTTATAAACCACGAAGGTTTGTGCCAATGCTGTTTATATATCTGTACTAATTAATTAGGTTTACAACAATTTACACTTAACACAGGATAAGGAATAAGGATGCAAAAGCTCAGTAAATAATTATTACGAGACTAGAAGAAGGACCGATGATTACCGTAATGCAAATTCAAATCTATTTTTGAGCCCAAGACAAATATTATCAAAACATCTACTGCAGCAACAGTTTTTCACTATAAAGTACGAAAATGAGGAAATAAGTATGTTTATTTCGAAATTAGATGAAATCAGAAATAATCTTCAAGAAACCTAAGATACATACATTGTCATACATTTCCGAAAATGTAATAAATTTAGTTACGAAAAACAGTTTCCAAATCACATGTCAAATGTCATTTCTGTGGACAGTTTGGTTATTATGCAAATGAATGCAGATTTAAGCTCAAAAAGGAAAATAACAGATATAATGATGCTCATGCAAATAATTTAAGTGGTCCCGATTCCAACGCATTTGTCGGAACATCAGACGAAAATTTTGTTGAATGGTTTATGGATTCTGGAGCTTTGGAACTTATATGAGTAGAAGTAAAGACCTGTTTACTGATATGACTACTGGAAATCTGTAGAAAGTAAAAATTGGCAATGGAACCACGATACCGGTTAAAGGAATTGGTTGTGTCACTTTAGAAGCTTATAACAGTAAAAGCGTGGATAAAACTACTATGTCTATTTTTTTATATGTATCGGATTTAAAGGTATATTTATTTTTTGTAAGTGCGGCTGTTGACAAAGTTTACTATACCACTATACCTCGTGTGTTCAGTTTCGAGACAACCGATTTAACCGATTTTGAATTTGGAATGTTAACTTTTAGTTTATTTGTATCGAAAATTCATTTGTTTATATTTTCTCGTGACGGAGAGAACGAAAGGGGACGTCCATAAATTACGTGAGGTGTTTTTTTAAATTTTCTGACCCTCCCTCCCCCCCTGGTGAGATGTCGTGAGATTTTATTCAACCGCCTCCCCCATTCCCCAATCTCACGTGAGATTTTTCAAAATGCAATTTGATGAGTACTTGCGAGTATTATAGCTATCGAGTATAGCTTTTGAAAGCATCGATGCCTACTCGATATCGAAAGTATCGTTCGAACCCTACAAATATGGTAGTTTGACATTCAGTAGATGTATAGCGTCGAAGTATGAATGAAATTATTTTCTTTTGAACGAATTAGTGAATGATCTTAATCGTATACGATTACGCTTAAGATTAAATCTTAAGCATGTACAATCTGGATTAAAGGAACCAAAATAGTATTTTTTTGTTTTTGTTTCAATCAGAAAAAAAAAATTGCGTGATATTTGCCGAGACCCCCCCTCTCTCCAACGTAAGATTAGATGAGATTTGCCTCGACCCCCTCCCCCCCTTAAACATCTCACGTAATTTATGGACGCCCCCAAACAATTACGTGCAACTGTCATTTCGCTATTTAAGGCGGGAAAAAAAACCGATGTAGATTTTCCGCGAGCTGTAAAGTTTTCCTGTAAGTCATAACTTCGTCTATTACACGATACAGTGGTATAAAGAAACAAGTTATCTGCAAGATCGCCAAAGGAGTGGTCGGCCATGTTCTGTAAGGACGCCTGCGAACAACAAAATCATCCGAGGGCGACTTCGCCGAAATCCATGTTGCACTTAGAAGAAACTCGCCCCGCAAACTATTATTTCGCGCGTTTCAGTGAACAGAATACTGAAATATGATCTTAAGGTAAAGGCCTATAGCCGTTGAAAAGTTCACTTTTTAAACGATCGTCTTCGTAAGTTACGACGCAAACGTTGTCCATTGCTGCTGAGACATAATGCCAGGAAGTTACTCTTCAACGACGAGAAAATTTTTACTGTCGAAGAAATGTTCAACCGACAAAACAATAAAGTGTACGCTAAAAGTAACAAGGATGTTCCAGCTTCTGCACGGAATGTCTCGCGCACTCATCATCCGCCTAGTGAGATGGTGTTGGGGAGTTTCGTATGAAGATGTGACTCCGCTCCATTTCTGCCAACAAGGTGTTAAGGTGAAAGCTAATATTTATCAGAGTGACATTTTAGAGCCCGTGGTGAAACCCCTGTCTAATACGTTACTTCACAATGAGAATTTTCAGCAAGACTTAAAATCCCAATCCTTATTGGCAGTCCCGACCTCAACCCGCTGGTTATTCTTTATGGCCTACCGAAAGTCCCACCCAAACATGCGAGTCACCGAAGCGAACCTTTTTTCGAGATTCGTGCAGCGATTGATGACTGGCCAAACGGTCTGTATTAAAAACAAGGTCGGTCATTTTGAATAACATATATATTTTATCGTTGATTATTATCTATTTAATAGTTTAGAAATATAGGTTAATAATTAAAAAAGTTACGCAACTTTTATTTCGTCTCAAAACTTATGAAAACACGAGGTAGAAAATAAACTTTGCACAAACGTTCATTAAAATTGTCATTAGTTTACAGCAACAATACCCATACAAATTTGATGTTCATTAGAGCATAAAGGCGTCATTAAACCTTAATGGACGTTTTGCCGTCAAGCAACTCTGTAAGAGCTATTACTGTGGAAAATGATTTTTCCTTCAAGTGACAAACCTATTGAGTGTAAATACGAAAACTATTTGGAATTCTATTTGTGACAGTTGTTGAGCTGGTAAACAACATAAAGATCCATTTAAGCACAGTGAAAGTCGTGCGAAAGTACCCTGCGAACTAATACACGCAAACATTTGCGGACCGATGGAGGTTCCATCGATAGGTAATTCAAAATATTTTATTTTGATATAAGTTAATTTCAGTAATTACAGAAAATTATATTTTATCAAGGACAAATATAAAGTCAAATAATACATCGAGAATTTTATCAAACTACCAGAAAATATTTTTATATTGTATTTTTGTCAAGTATGAGAAAAACACAAAAGGGTATCGCATCTATGTAGCAGAAAAAGATGACGTTGTATCTCGAGACTAACACCCATTTTCACTAACCTAGAACAAGGCATAGCTTAACTAATAAACGCTTATATTATGAATCGCTAAAGATTAGTTTGATTCAGAATAAAAAAAAAATCTTTTATCCCTTGACATATTTATGAGCTTTCATATAAGCAAATGCCTAACCCAAGGGGCCGCATAACGAATATAATAATAACCTTAGACATTGCTAAATTTCATTAGGTGATTCCTAGTTAATGGTGAAATCCACTTTTATCTTAGGCTATTCCTAAATGTATTTAGGCGAATGATTTGGACGACTCCTAATTTTTGAAAACGGGCAATAATGTTACTAATAAACAAAAATATTAACAAAATACGGCGGCTGTGTGACACCATTGTACTCGATGATAAAATTGATTTCTTATTTCAGATACAACAAATTGGTATTAAATTAAAGGGCTAAATAAAAGGATTTTAAAAAGGTATATTATGATTATCATTACCGTAATACTAATAAATATAAAAAATATGGACCTTGTTCTTTCATTTTCTGAATCAACCTGGTAATTTGTCTAACTAAAAAAAAAACATAAATAAAATCATAATAAAAAAAAACAAAAATTCCGCCTGCATGAAAAGCAACTTACTGAAAAGGCTGGAACAAGAAACAAATTTTATGGAAATGCAACATCATACATAACATGCAGTCAGAGGAACACAATAAAGAGAGAATAATTTGACTTATTATTCAATTTCATGCCTCCGACTAACTCTAACCGTTTTTTAAGTAGAATACTTGTATTTATAAGAAGAAAAAAAAAAACAGTTATTTTTTATATTCGAAACCAGTGGGGACAGAATGAGAGTAATAGATAGACAAAGAGTGAGAGATGAATAAATACGCAGAGAGGGGTACATAGGCATCACTTAACTGTAGGCATTATACTATCGATGAATTCTTGTTACTTCGGCTTGTGGAAATCGTCAGATTATACAACGTGTCCCAAAATTCAACGATAAGCGGGCGCCAAGAGGTAGACCTGCTCATGTGTACTTATGGAAAAATAAGAAAAAAATTATATCTTATTAATCTTTTTTATTATAAAATAAAATTCGAAAATTTTCGAAAGAGTTGTAGCGAATAGTAGTGCTACTTAGGTATCCGATACCAAAAAAAGATTGAACATAATTGATAAGTTGTGGTCGTGGTAGTTGAAAATATCATAAAAGGTGTAAATTTTCGAAGATTTTCGAATTTAATTTTATAATAAAAAAGATTAGATATAATTTTTTTCTTATTTTTCCATAAGTACACATGAGCAAGGGTACCTCTTGGCGCCCGCTTATCGTTGAATTTTGGGACACGTTGTATATTTTTAGGAATCTTTGAATTACTCCTTTCAAAATAAAATAAAAAAATAGGCACGTTGGAGAATGTCGAGATGGCGTTATTTTTACAACTCTGTAGCTCTCCCCCTATTTTACGTCACTCCCAAATTGTCAGATACGTTCGAGAATTTACGCAACGCAATAAAATAAAAACTTGAACTGTTGTCGCTAAACCAGATAGCTGAAAGCCAATAGACACGAAACGGCTTATTAAAATTAAAAGGAGAAAGAGGAGGAGAGTTGTATAAAGCGACGTTGTAGCCCGTGGTTTTAAACGAGCAGATTTAATTTCGTCGTAAGAGGTGTATTCACCTGTTGAAAGACTGAACACATTCAGAATGTTTGTTCCAACTGGGTAAACCACATCGATCAAATGGATGTGTGCACTGCCTTTCATAATGGAAAAATAAATTAAATTATTTATGTAAGTGTACGTATAAATTTTAATGTAGGTCTAAATGAAGTAAGTAAGCTAAATCGACCTCTGTACGGTGTAAAAAATCTCCTAAACATTGGCATATTAGACAAAACGTTACAGAAATATGGTTTTGTCGCTAGTCATAATGATTATTGTTTGTATGTCAAAGTAAGTTCTACAACTAAAACATATTTTTTTGTTTGTGTTGATGATTTCAAAAATGTCTACTGATGAAGAGAAGAGATATTTAAAGTTAAAATTTCATTAAGAAAAGCCTTAGATGAAAGATTTAGGAAAAGCCATTTGGCTATTTGGGTATAAATTTACTTCAAAATGTTGGAGATATAATGTTACCAGTAATGTGTTTCTCAAAAATTATGGATTGCTAACAAAAGGATTCAAAATGGGTCTTAATGTAGACTGCAAAATTTATGATCGGCAATGCAACCTAAACAGATGTCAATTTAATATTTCTTACAGTAAACAAGTAATAAATAGCATATTAACATTAAATTATTACTAAAGCAATAAAGAATACATAAATAATAACATCAACTTACCCTTCCACTGGCCCGCAAGCAGTGTGGGTGTTTATATAGCGACCCAAACGTAGTGGGCGTTCTGCTGGTGGCCCGGCACGTGATCCAACTACTATACCAATAACCACAGCTAACAGCACTATCAGAGCTAGTATGCAGACTACTATATCATCTGTGAAAATCAGAGATTTGCTTTATTCTAAGCATTAAAACTTTAACATTAAACCTTAGAGGTAAATTAAGAGTAAAACAAATGTTATAAGTTAAGTATGGTGTATTGTTTAACATTTGAATCTACTTATATAATATAAAGGTATAATATCCTTTCTATTGTGTTAAAGATGTGGCTGTGTAGATGTTTCTAAAGCCATTAAACAACAACTAAAAAAAATGGTCAATACATACCAATAATAAACTTCTTTTGCCGAATTCTTTCTTTGAGAGGCAGTTTTGTAGCCACTTTCCCTTCTTCAGGTTCCTGCAATAGAAAAGTATTTAGTTTATTATTTTCACTTATAATCAATTTGTATCTGCATCATAAGTAAAAAAATAATACCACATGCTATTTACAAATCCAATATGTAACATTCATATTATACACACCACTTCTAATTTAATATTTTCCATTCCATCATTTGGTGTGTCAAGTTTGTCTTCTAAAGTTTCCATAGAAGCCAGAGTTGCTTCAGGGTCAGTCCCTGAGCGTTTCTGGAAAACTTTAGGATATTTGATGTTGAAAATTCTTTTTCTTTCACCATTCTCTCCATCTGTTCAAAAAGGCAAATTATTTCAATATATATACATAAACATGCACAGAAAAAAGTTACAAATGACATAATACATACTGTTCTTAGCTGTATGTAAAAACTGAGTGAAGGGACAAGTGTGTAAAAATTGTAGACGGTTATGTTTGATTTTAGGTTCATCAGTCTTTTCATTTTCAGTATCCTTTTGTATCTCATCTTCATCCTGCAATAATACAACCACAATAGCAATATTTATAACATAATTTTAAGATTAAGCTGTTATGTTTAGAGGTTTACAAACCTTTGACTTATCTTTGTCTGAATTCTTGGTAAAAAACCCAGGCATTTTAATTGCACCTATGGGTATAAATTTCGGTTTCACTTCCCGCCCTTGCTCTGTAATGTCTCCGGAAAGAGCGGTTTTTACAGGGCCACCGCCATCGGCTTTTTCATCCGTAACTCCAGAGTTATCTTCCATTTTTAACATTACTTCTTTTTCTTCTTCTTCTATTTGTTTTTTATCAGGTGACTTATTTTCATCATCGTTCTCCAATTTGTTTATATCCATTGTACTCATGTCTAAACAATTATCGGCTTTTTTATTACATCCAATTTTTGTGCATGTTACAACAACATAAATAAAACATGAAACGTACTTACTTGTGTTTTGAAATGAACAACTTTTATAACATAAAATATCGGTCAATAAAACTGTTTATCTACAATAAAGATATTTGCGCGAAATTATCGCGGACACAAAAAAGCATACAAGCCCCAAAAACCATTAACCACACCATGAACGCCCCGCTTCGGTCGATCGGTTTTTTAAATATAGCGCGTTTTGTCTATGATAAGAGTTGCCAGCTACTAATTTTCAATTGCCGTGTTTTGACAATGGATTTTGTTTGATCGTTCCATTCGGTCTGCATTACGAAAAAATAAAGACCTTTCGTTTGAGCTGGGGTCGTGAAGATTCGCATCAAGTCATCACTTTAAAACTTTGAGTTTAATCGGTGGCTAGAGGCCCAGAGTGAAAAATAGGGTAGAAGTCAAAATCCATTGCAGAACTTTTGACATATTTTGTTAAGCGATTAAAAAATGTAATTTTTTCAATGACAAAAGATACTCCTTAGTTGGTGTGAAAATGTATTATATTTGAATACCGAAGACATAGATTTATTGTCAAAGAACAAAAGTAATTTTTTGAAGGTCGGTCGGCCCTGTCCAGAGGCCAGAGCAATGTGTAATATGTGTGTAATTTGTTTTAAGGTTATAGCAGCTGTCAAAACAATAATATATTCTTAGAAATGTAGTCTCATACGTCACAGTGACGTCAGTGTCGTCGTCGGTCGTATGATATGATCTACAGTGGAAGGGGTGAGGGCGCGCCATTCGCGAGGCAGTGCGGGCGCGCCTCGTCACTTCGTTTCGAGCGCTCGGACGGGACGGACGTGTTTAGTGCAGTGTGTTGCTAGACCGTTTATTAATATAGAACTTACTGTTTAACTATATCCTTTTGATTATTTAAATTTAATCGGTTGTTAGGATTTCTTTGCATTTTTTTTAAATCACCCGCATTTCAGCTCCGTAAGAATACAGATACGTATTTTTTGCTTCAATTAAACAAATTTAGGTTAGATAATAGGTATTATAGTTGAGGAGTGGGGGTTTGTTACGTCACAACTATGTATAAAAATGTACAAAAGTGTGACGTCATGCGATATTCAAAGTCAATATATATCTGAACGAATATTTATCCGTAATAGATGAAACAAAACAAGCAATCCCATACAACAGATGCGCCAAAAAGCGTAGCGCTTTTTCGAAATCAGGAATTTGCAAATAAGTGTTTTATATACGATATATATACCGGATGCATTTAAAATGAGTCTCCAAATTTTTTCTAGGCATTAGGTATCGTTAATAGATCACATATATGAAAAAACAGTATGTAAAATTTTCAAAACTAAATGTAAACTTGTTGTAATTACAAGATAATTATAATATTCGCATTGTCACTTAAGTTAATGAATGAAACAAGCAGGGGAATCAAGGGCGCGGGCGCAGGGGATGTACGCACATGCGCCGACGACTATGTCTGCTCGGTTTTTGATTTTGTCGGCAACATCTGTCGCCCGCGCACAGCCCCTTTTGAACGCACACGCTTCCGCCTTTGCTTCCGTGTTGCGCGCCGCCCGCCGCAGCCCTACACCTGGCGCGTCGTAATGTATTCCATTCGCGAATATTATGAAATGGTGCGGTGTTACATACATGGTGATCGATGGATTGGACGCGGAGGTCCCATCGTGTGGCCTGCGCGATCGCCGAACCTAACACCGTGTGACTTTTATTTGTGGGGCAAAATTAAATAACGTGTTTATGTTGAGGAAGCACAAAGCCTCGAGGACTTAAAAGTGCAAATCAGAGCGGCATTTAACCAAGTGAAAAACGACACTGTAGTGCTCATATATGTTGACGCTCCACTTGGCTCCTCGGACCACTGCCTTATTAAGAGTAAAGTGAGTAAAGCACGTGCTTGCAACGACCACGTGTTGCACGTAGTCGCCATGTGTAGCATTACAAGTGCGCTTCACAGTTGGCACCGGTCTTAACGTGCCTATTCCGGCTTGCTTACTCATCTGGCGTCGTCCCAACCTCATGGAAGACTGCTTTAGTGCATCTGATCCCAAAAAAGGTGACCGCTCGAACCCGTCCAACTACAGGCCGATCGCTATAACCCCTCTGCTTTCAAAGATAATGGAGTCCATTATCAACCGCCAGCTCCTTCGGTACCTAGAGAATCGCCAGTTGCTTAGTGACTATCAATACGGATTTCGTAGTGGTCGCTCTGCTGGCGATCTTCTAGTTTACTTGACACATAACTGAGCTAAGGCAATTGAAACAAAGGGGGAGGCCCTGGCAGTAAGTTTGGACATAGCGAAAGCCTTCGATCGAGTGTGGCACAAAGCTCTTCTATCAAAACTTCCCTCGTATGGGCTTCCCGAGAAATTATGTGCATGGGTCACTAGTTTTTTGGCAGACAGAAGCATTAAGGTTTTAATTGACGGTGAATGCTCGGACCTACTGTCTAAAAATGCTGGTTCCCCAAGGAAGTGTGCTATCACCTACACTTTTTCTTCTGCATATTAATGACATTCTGCAATTTAGCGGTATTCATTGTCATGCAGATGACAGCACGAAGGACTCCACCTATAACGGTCGTGCTAATATTTCTTGGGAAAACGTCATTGAGTGCCAGAATCAACTTGTGGCTGATATTGAATCTTCGTTAGAGGAAGTCTAACTGGGGTCGACTTAATTTGGTCCACTTCAACCCTACTAAGACACAGGTTTGCGTGTTCACCGCCAAAAAACCCCCCTTTGTCGTATCACCTCGCTTTCAAACATTCCCCTAACTGCCTCAGTTCGAGCGAGGTCCAGTTCCGTGGTCACTTAAAGGATAAGGCTAAATTAGCATATAAGAAGCTTGGTGTGCTTAATAGATCGAGGCAGTATTGCACTTCGGCGCATCGCCTGCAGCTTTACAAGGCGCAGGTTCGGCCCCATATGGAATACTGTTCTCATCTTTGGACAGTGGCACCCCAATACCAGCTTCACCCTCTAGACCGCATTCAGCGGAGAGCGACTAGAATCGTCGATTGCCGAGTCACTTCAAGTTGGCTTGATCCACTAGCCGTGCGTAGAGATGTTGCTTCACTGTGCACCTTCTATCGTATTTACTACGGGGAATGCTCCGAGGAATTGTTCGGAGTCATACCTACCGCTACTTTCCGCCATCGTTCGACGTGACAAGAAATCCAGGCCCATCATCTGGATGGTTGGAAGTTCTCAACTGTGCGTTTGTCTAGAAGTTTTCTGCCTCGCACAGCCAAACTCTGGAACAGTTTGTCGCCAGCAGTATTTCCGGGCAGATACGAACTTCAAACTTTCAAGTGTAGAGCATATTCATCCCTCAAAGGCCGGCAGCGCGCTTGTAGCTCCTCTGATGTTGCAGGTGTTCATGGACGGCGGTAATCACTCACCATCACGTGATCCGTCTGCTCATCTGCCCCCTATACCATAAAAAAAAAGAATTGTATGAGGGCTCGATCTACTACGCAATCTCATATGCATAGATATACTAATATTACCAAATGAACAAAATAGGTATATTCAATTTGACAAAAAAAATATGGCAATATCCCTGCTATATAAATAAGTGAAAATCTCGATGGTCGTCCTAAATCGTGCCAAAACAAATTTTACCACCCATCCTATTACCGGCCTTTACGATCATCGCTTAACCATCATAATCGTAGATCAAATGCACTAACCACTTGTACACGTGAACGCAAAATCGTTACATACACAATCGAATTCAAAAATAAAAATATATTTAAAAAAAAAAAAACTTGTATTATATTTGTAGAGGACACAGAGTCACGACAGCGCTGCCAACAGAAGAACGAAGCATCCTTCTCCTCCCGCGCAGTGTTGTGTGTGTAGCGTACCCCCACTCCAGTAAAACTTATTAGACCATCTGATTAATGTATGATCGAAGTGCGGCAATGCAAATTGTAGGTATATAAGAAATAGGTTTATGTGCAATAAACGCGCTTCTCCGATTACTACATGACGAAGTGTTTCATTTGAAGACTCCGTTCTGAACAGCCTCGCTTAAACCAACAGTCCACCATCAACAATATTATGAATCTCGAATAAGTCTGTCGAATTGCATCGCGGTCCTTTGAGCCATGAATAAAGAGCCTTAGGACGGGGTCTCATACTATAAAAATAATATACACAATCTGAAATGAGTATAGGCCAGGGGTCGGCAACCTTTTGAGTCCAAAGAGCCAAAAGTTACAATTTACAACATTTTTAAGTTTTTAAAGAGCCACAAAATGTTTTTAAGCCTACAATAAATAAGTAATGTAGTCCTACTCTCACTGACATCGACTTACTGCGCAGGATTTTGCTTATTGTAACCAACTAGGTTTCGCATTCTTAGAGTTCACGACACGACCGGTGAGAGATCAGGCGCAGGACCGACGGCTTAACGTGCCCCCCGATGCACGGAATCAACTACTTTCGGTCAATCATGGTGATTCGATCACAATAAATAGTACTTGCATAAATAAAGTAATTTTAATGTTTATTTATAAGACAAAATAATATTTATTTATTCATATAGGAGTAGTTTTTTTCATAAAAAAATTAAACATATTTATGGTGTGGCGACTGATACATAGCGACATCTAATTCATCGCAGTAACATCGCCACAACAATCGATAGCGAGAAGACTAGCATTGTCACAGCCATCGATAGCAAGACGAACTGCAATAAGTTTCAACAGCAAGTAACGAGATGGCGCTGTACCAATACAAACAGCATAAATTAATAACTACAAGACATTTAGAACAAAGAAACCTACATCACACAGAATAAGTTTAATTACCAATTAACATAAATAGAACGTCCAACCTACATCGGTTGGACCGCGGTCCCCGGGCTAACAACACCTAGCTCGGAGGGAGACAATTATCCTTTAGTCTCCCTGACCAATGCAGCCATCACCACATTAGGGACCAACATTCAACCTTACGGTCCCAAAGTGGTGACCCCGACGTGATCTTCAACCGACGTGATCATCAGCAACCTTCAGCATCAGCAACCTTCAGCATCACAACGCAGCCAATCACGCTTCATCATCAGTCTCTCATCCCTCACCAGCACAGCCACTTCAGCAGCAAGACAGCCAACACCAAGGTCCATCACAGCAGCATCAACGGCGCTTCCTGGATACTTGGCACCACTCGACGGCATCATCCCGACCTGGTCCTCGCAGCCCACGACCGGACCTCAGTTCACACACAACTCACCGGCGTGGCAGTTCTGCACACCAGCAGCTTCGGTCCCGACGTCACTACCTGGCACTTGCAAGCTCTGAAGCACTGACTGCATACCACCTACTATCAACATGGATCGACCTTCGGTCTAGGGGGAAAGTACTGTGGCGACTGATACATAGCGACATCTAATTCATCGCAGTAACATCGCCACAACAATCGATAGCGAGAAGACTAGCATTGTCACAGCCATCGATAGCAAGACGAACTGCAATAAGTTTCAACAGCAAGTAACGAGATGGCGCTGTACCAATACAAACAGCATAAATTAATAACTACAAGACATTTAGAACAAAGAAACCTACATCACACAGAATAAGTTTAATTACCAATTAACATAAATAGAACGTCCAACCTACATCGGTTGGACCGCGGTCCCCGGGCTAACAACACCTAGCTCGGAGGGAGACAATTATCCTTTAGTCTCCCTGACCAGTTGTCTCCATCACCACAGTTAGGGACCCAACATTCAACCTTTAGGTTCCTAAAATGGTATTAATAATTACTTATAATGAAGAATGTTAACATTTTTTTTTTATTAGCACTCCATATTCTCTGTCGAAAATAAAAAATACTAGTGAAAGAATTACTTCGATACGACAATTACTTTCCGATTTAGAAGTAAAACAAGTTGTAGCCGCACGACGCGGGCTGCCGGTGACGGTGTGATTGCACAACACGCTCAGTCTGGCTCTCTTAGTCCGCTCGCAGTCGCGCGCCCGTGCCGTCGAAATTTTACCTAAATACTTTTAAAAATGTCCAATCTAAATACTAGGAAATCATGTGTTGTGCCTAAATGTAAAAATACAACTACTAATTCGCCGGGAAAGTTGTTTTTTATAGACATCTTTATGATAAATAGACATCTTTTCAACCTCTTTTTTTTCACATATAAAATGTGAAAAAAAACACTGTATTTGAAGCTCTCTAAGTTTTAATGCTACTTTGTCAAAAAAAAATTCATTCTGACCAGCTAAATGAAGTGTTATACCACTTGTGCCAAAATCTTTTGCTTTAATCATTTTCAGTGTGGTACCAACACCTGAGAGCTTAGATTTTTGTCAGCAGCAGCAGTCGTTGAAGGCTCTTCGTTTCGACAATGTAGCCACATTAAAAATGCTACAGTATGATTACAGCCACCTCTGCTGACGGCACAATCTTCGCAGTTTACCTTTAATACTTCTTGATCCTTTTCATTGCATTCTAAACCAATCCAATGATAACGTGTGGTACGTACGCGGTGTTCTGGCGTGATTCTACATTTAACCGAACGTACATCACCTACTCTTTTAGCTTGAACATAACCAATATAAGTTTCAAATAAAAATAAATAGCCTTAAGTATTTTGTTAGTAAAAAAATACTAATAAATAAATAAGGTTTAGTACATCTGTTTAAACTTCTATATTTGCAACAAAAATTTTTTTTAATAAAATGGCCTTAAGTATTTTGTTAGTAAAAATATACTAGTAAATAAAAAATGTTTAGTACATCTGTTCAAACTTCTATATTTGCAACAAAAAAATAATTTAATAAAATGGCCTTACGTATTTTGTTAGTAAAAAAAAAAATACAAATAAAAAAAGGTTTAGAACATCTGTAACGTTTAACCCACTACATCTACATCCTAGGTAACTATCCTACTTCCTACTTATATTATAAATGGGAAAGTTTGTGTGTGTGTTTGTTTGTTATCTTTCATGCAAAAACTACTGAACAGATCTGGACCAAGTCTATAATAATAACACATAGGCTACTTTTAATACTGGAAAAATGTACAGCTCCCGAGGGAATCGTGGGCGAAGCTGCTGGCGGAAGCTAGTTTGCAATAAATCAATGTATGTATTTATTTAAATTTACTAAGAGCGGTACCTATATATATATACGTACCTACCTATAGCTACAAAACTATAATACATATTTGTCTTTAACGTAAAAATTTTATGGTAGGTAGGTACTTCTACTATTTGAGTTGCATTCTTCCATTACGACTTTAGAACAGATAAACTATTAAGCATCAGTAGTAGTAAGGAAAGATTACTTACCTATGCATTTTTATTTCTCGCATTTCGGCGGCAACGAAATTACTATTTAAATAATTCGCAACTTTTATTTTATTTTAGGTAGATTATCCGATTGCCCTTTTTCGAATCCTTTGTCTATTTTATTAATCGAATAATATTTAATATTATCAGACTATTAACTTAATATACGGGCGAAAATACTGCGCAAGCTATTACACCTACTATAACCGCTGGCGACTTGATCCTAAGCGGGGCGCGGCGCGTTGTGACATGACGTCCAAGCGGTCACGTGGCTGTTAGCGGGATTCGATATTTTTCGAAACTTTGAATGCATATAAAATCAAAATTACTAGGTATTTTTGACTACAACAAAAACTAGTGTATTTGTATACACAAGGGCTTTATTGAGACAAAATTTCAAGCGATTTGGCATACCTAGTAACATTCTTCATTCAAGTAAAAAAATAAAACAATTAAACATTTAGTTACAAAGTTACAACACTAATTTGTACTTCAATAGCCTCGTCCAGACTGAGCGGGTGAAAAGCGGGTACAAGCAGACTATGTGGCTGAGAGATAGAAGTGGTGCCGAATCTTTGTTAATCGATTTAGAAAGTTTAAAATGTTATTTTTTTTATAAAATAAAATAAATATAATTAAAACAGCGTATAAATAAAAGCTGGAGTCACAAATAACATTATAAAAAAAACTTGGCGACCAATCATGCATAAAAGCATGAAATCAAACGGATCGCATCATGTAAAACGGCAAATAGCCGAATATCCTGTATCTGGCCAAAACACTATCCCGTTTCATCTCTAGTTTTGATAGGATATAAAATTAAAAATTTTACATACAACAAAATAAGTTTGTAAATGTTTAATATATTTTAAATAATTTCGAATGTTATTAATAAGCAAATAACATTTATCAATGTCTTTCCAATGCTTTGACCAAAAGATCATTAATGTGTGTAATTAAATTTCTTGGATCCATGATAAGTCCAGCTGTCACCATCGCATTTGAAAACAATTGTTGGGCCACCATGTTTGCAAGTTCCTTGTCAGTTGACACCAGCTTATGAAGCTTTATGATAATAGGATGCCTGAAATCAACAACATCAAATATATAGCTAACATAAAATTAATCACCATCAGATCATTGAGGAGACCAAAATAATTTATGTTGATTTTTACTGGTTAATATGATCTAACAAATTAATGACATTCAGGCATTCGCATAAGTAATAAAATTCGGGCAAGTAATCGGTTCCCCCTCCCCCTGGTACAGGCCATAGCAAGATCAAAAACAACTTGGTGTTTCTGCAGATGTTGAGCTTCCGGTTTTATACATCCGTCAGTATTGTCCTTCAAAAATAATTAAATCTGATTGATATATTTTTTAAATCTGTTATTAAGAAGTCTGCTACTATATCAAATTTTATATAGATTTTAAAATTAAAAATATCAGTCAAGGTAATTTATTTTTGAATAATGGCAATGACGAATGTATCAATTAGGAAGTTCGGTGTCGGCGTATTCACAAACTAAAAGGTTAAGAATCACTACACGAATCTTGACTACTTGAAAATCTGAGAGAGAATAGGGATAGATATATGGGATACAAATTTTTTGTCTGTCAGGTAGATTGTTTTTTATTTTTTTTTCGTAATTATTAAATAAGGGCGATACGTTGGGTTAAAACGTCACGTGACATGACACTTTGGTACATTTGCTACACTTTAATGCCTGTTCTCTAAGCTACTTCTTGTTAAATTGAAGTAAAAAAATACGTATCTAATATTTTTATATTATCTAACTGACGGACTGAATAGAATTTCCTTTTTTACCCAGTCGCCATCCCTATTTCGAATATAATGTAACATATTTTTTTGTTATTTTATACTATTCAATTGGATAATGTTTGAAATTATGATGTTGATACTATTTCTGAACATTATATCTATCCAATAATGAAGATAAAAAGAGTTCACGACCACCGTGAACTCTGAAGGACGTTAGCTCACACACTCACGACCATGGGTTCGATTTCCAGTCGGTTCAATGTAGATGAAAGAAAAATGAACTATTTATATATATTGTCATGGGTATGGGTGTTGTGTTACCTTCGTTGTTTCAGATTTCCATAATACAAGTGCTTCAGCTACTTAATTTGGAATCTGAGAAATATATGTGATGTCAAATATTTATTTATTATTTACGAGTACTTACTTGGCATTGATTTCTAACTGCGGCCTAAGAAGCGCGAATCTGTTTTCTTCGCTAAGATTCTGTGCTTGCGTTCGGATGAAGTGTCTCGCCGCTGCCATTTCTGGCACAATGATAACACACGGATGGGAATCTAGTCTTTGTGTAGTGCGTACATCGAATACTTTGCCCACCAAGTTAGTTTTCAAAAATGATATGACTTCGTCTATTTGAGATTGCTGCAAACTTTCACCACCTGTCGACATTATGATACTATAAGAATGATATATAAACTATTTTTTTTTCTGTATAACTATGCATGACTCTGAAACCAACGCATAAGTATATAAAGAGTTATATGTAAAACACCAGCAGCCTGGCTAGATAGCTAACTTTATAAACAACAATGTATAATGTAGATTACACATCGAAAAAAGAAATGTTGTTTTTATTACAATGTGATATTTATAGGTCTATCGGTCAGATGCACAAACGTATATTAAGGTTTAATGACCATATTGAAATTTAAGATTAAGAAATACTCCTTGGTTAATTTTCAGAAATATCATTTATCAACTTTTGGTTTGGGGTGGACATGTTCATAAAACCCTCCTGAAATCTTGCGAGTATTAAGGAAGAAGGTACGTTAGGAATGTTTCTTATCACTAAATATTATAAAACAAAGTCCCCCGCCGCTTCTATCAGTCTGTCTGTTCGCGATAAACTCGAAAAGTACTGGACGGATTTTCATGCGGTTTTCAACAATAGATAGAGTAATTCTTGAGGAAAGTTTCAGTGTATAGTAAGTTTAGGTTTTGTACAAACTGAGGATATTACAACGATATTAGTTCAATATGTCGGAAAAAATAAAGCCGATCGGAACCTTTTTCTCGAAAACGTTGCCAAAAACTTTTGAGTTATAAAAAACATTGTATGGTGGAACTGTTTCTGTCTACAAAAAAGTCCGCGGTGGTTTATGTCTATAATCCAAGGATAACTCACAATAACCATTTTTTACGTATACTTAAAACAGTAAAATGATGGGTTATTTACGAACCTATTATTAACTATACTATACAGTATTAAATCCTTATTCAAATAAATAAGTTAGATACGTAATGCATGTAATGTAGATCAAAATTTTCTTTTACATTATATAAAAAAAAACTAATGAGTTTTTGAATAATAAAAAAATCGATAAATAAAATGAATCGCCGAAACATATGTACACGCATAACTTGCGAATTCCAGTTCCGACTGCACCAAATTGGATGATTCTATTTTTTATGTGTTCCACGGTTCACGACGCGGTTTTATATATATATAACGGCGGGTAGTTTGAATGGGCTATTACGAAGCCCAAATAGATAGTCCATATCGGAGGACTATCTTTAAAATAACACTGCGGGCGTGTATACCAACGTGGATTTATTCCATTTTATCACTTTTCGTACGAAAATATAACGAGATGAGCGTGATCTCGTCGGATGTCTTTACTCCTCGGCGATTGGAAACAGAATGTGTGCCAAAATGGTGGCAACTTGGTTTTTATAAACGAACTGTCAAAGTCAGTGTCACCATTCTAATAAAATTAAAAGTATCGATGATCACGCTCTCTTTACAATCGAGTAATTAAGTAATCGAGTAACTAGCAATTAAAATAAAAGAAACTAAATCAAACGATCTTCGTAATGATGATGCGACACGGCCATTCTGGGAGACGGTGCGTGCTCTGCGCCAGTCCCGTTTCTGTAACAAAATAGAAGAGCTTTTCTGAGCTAGGTATCTGTAAACCTAGTCATTTAGAATTTTTATTTAAACTAGATTTCGACCTTCATTTCTTAAACATCAAATTTATTACCAACGAGTATTTTATCACAATTGTTATAAAAAACGGTAGTTAAATTGTTACGGAAATTTTAGGAAATTGTTTAGGAAAATTAGCTGTTTTATCAAGTATATTTGGTCAATGCAAATGCTCCACGCATAATTGCATTGACTATTGTACTCGTAGCAAGTGTGATGCTGTGGTCATGAGCGGTCCTGTACGCCATGATCCACAGTAGCTCAAAAGGAGACGGGGAAAGGTCGATGCTGGGGTCTGGGTCTTACATGAGACCGTGGTCCCCAGAGGCTCTAAAGGAAACGGGAAGGACGAAGCTGGGGTCTGGGCCTTATTGTTATGACCGTGGTCCCCAGAGGCTCTGTGAAACGACTTAAAAGTTGGGAAGTACATAGGATGCGATTTATACAGTCATTTCATAAGAAATTTTTGATTGTTGAATTGAACTTTCATGAAAATATTATCTCTCTATCAAACATTGAGAAATATTGAGTACCTAATAGTACCACTAACCATTTACTAGGCATCCAATTGATATGCAGCCGAATAGATTCTTTTCTCGGTCAGTCCTGACTTCAACTAAAGCAAGATTTTGAAACCAATCGAAACTTTAATGATTAGAGACCGTTTATACTTTAAGTTTCTTTAGTAATTAAAACTTAAGAGTTAATAAATTCTATCATCAAATCTTATTTACAATGAAAGTATGCATATAAAACAAACTGGTTTGAGAACCTCGATTGCCCCACTTAAGCAGCAATGCAATCACACTTTTTCAATTTTATTTTCACTTAACTAGTGATTTTAAGGGTGTTACTAATTCGATTGCCATGAATTCTTCACGATATTAATTACTTTATAAGTGAGTACTCGATTCCAGTATCATAACAAAATGAAAACGACTCACCAAAATACTGCAAAATACTAGCAAGGGTAGCAATGAAGCAGATGTCGCTCACTAGCAATGCCAGCAGACGAAACATCACGTTGCATCTTCTTCGGCTACAGGTATCTTGAGAGTAGTGACCATCTGTTCCGCTACTGTTCTTCATATTAGGAACGCTTGGTTCTCCCCACGAAGGCTTCAAGTGTTTTTTCTTGTATCGACAGGCAGAAATATTGCCAGGATCGAGTTCGGGCAGATGCAAATGTGATTCGACGACGGCACATATGACTTACGTGGATGAGGACGAAAAAGTTTTGATTTTGTTACCGCAACAAGATTCTCCATATCCATGATATCTGTGTATCCACTTGGTCGGTTACATCCCACTTCTGATAACGGCGGGTAGTTCGAATGGGCTATTACGAAGCCCAAATAGATAGTCCATATCGGAGGACTATCTTTAAAATAACACTGCGGGCGTGTATACCAACGTGGATTTATTCCATTTTATCACTTCTCGTACGAAAATATAACGAGATGAGCGTGATCTCGTCGGATGTCTTTACTCCTCGGCGATCGGAAACAGAATGTGTGCCAAAATGGTGGCAACTTGGTTTTTATAAACGAACTGTCAAAGTCAGTGTCACCATTCTAATAAAATTAAAAGTATCGATGAACACGCTCTCTTTACAATCGAGTAATTAAGTAATCGAGTAACTAGCAATTAAAATAAAAGAAACTAAATCAAACGATCTTCGTAATGATGATGCGACATATATATATATATTATATATATTTAAACGGGTATAAGGCGGTACGAATTTCGCCGGGTAAGACAAAAGCCAAAAAACAAAAATTTTAAAGACAATAAAAAAAAAGTTCGCCGGGTCACCTAGTTACGATTATATATGGGACGTACCAATAACAGTTTCTACTGCATCGGTAGCATCTTTTTGCATGTCGTTTTCTATAGAGACCAATTGCCTTCCAGCAAATTCTTTAAGTTCCAGGAGTACCAGCTCGTCGTACATTTCATAGCAAAAAAGAACCTCAACATCACGTTTCTTCAGAGATTCGAAATAAGGTGATGATTGTGCCAGCTCACGGCTAAAACAGAAAAAATTGTCTAAATTTTATAAATGACTGTAGTCATTTATAAAAAATATTATAAAGAGGAAAGACTTGATTGTTAAAGGATTTTGCAAACAAATTTTGCAAAATTCTTTCAAACAAAGTTTGCAAAATTCTTTCAAACAAAGTTGACAAAATTCTTTCACCTACGGATAACTACATCATATAGTATGGAATTGATATAGGTAATAATTTACGCGTGCGAAGTCGCGGGAAAATATATAATTGCTTGTTATATATAATTTTATTTCAGTCACAATAGCTACAGACGAAGAGTTAGTGTTCTCTAATAAAGAAAGAATTATATACTTTCATACCTCGGAGCTGCCAAATAATAGATACTCTTTTGGTCATTCTTTTGTCTTGCGCTGTAATCCGAAAGAGACGTTCTTGTACCACTTTCCAATTTTGATGATTCAAAACGCAAGAGCTTCGCGATTTCCTCCTGAAATTATTAAATTTACCCATTATGTTTTCTTAGCTACATCTTATTTCTTTTTATTATTTATAATAGTATATTTTTCTAATATAAAAAGCTATTTTAAATACCTTTTCTATGGCACTTTGGCTTGTAACTATTCCCTCTTTCAGGAATAAGGAATAGTCTCTATAAAAAGCTTCATATCCCACTGGATCCTTTTGAGACATTTCAATCATGAATTTAAGAAATCTGTTTGTTAAAACAGTTCTTAGTTTACTGTAAAACAAAAAGTTGAATCATATTGAAGTCTATGTATAAGTATAATTATACTATCACTAATTATGAAAAATAAGTTGTATAACTTACGTTATCAAAGCACTATTTTGTAAAAGCTCACGGCTGAGATTTAATGGAATGTCTTCAGAGTCAACAACACCTGAACATAACAAACTGTTTAATATTTTTGTAAAATTAAAACATACAAAATATGTACATTAGTACACATCACTCACCTTTCACAAAACGTAACCATTTGGGTAAAATATTTTCAGCCTTGCTTTTAATCAGTATTTTCCTTGAATATAGAGCTACTCCAACATCTGAATCGCGTGATAGCTCAAACAGCCCTGGTTTACCTTCTGGTACATAGAGTATTGATCTAATACTGAGAGGTGCATCAGTTTTGTAGTGAAGGGTAAAACGTGGTTTATCATATGAATTACTAATGAATCTATAGAATTCTGTATGTTGCTCATGAGTTACTTCTTTAGGTTCCATCAACCAGAGAGGCTGTAAATTAGGTTTATTTTTAATAGGAGTTTTCTTAATTAGGTTAATTCCGTTTATTTTTAATATCTTATACTGCATTTGTAAATACTAAGAAACATACCTTAATAGAATTAACCTGTTCATTGTTTAACAGAATTGGGCTTCCAATGAAGTTACTATATTTTTTAATTATACCTGCAAAGTTTGAGAATATATCGATTTGAGGCAATTAAAAATGTTCGAATATGTTTAGATAAATTGTAAAATTCTTTAGTGTAATGATAATTAAGTATATTTACTTTTGACAGTGTCATCATCAGCAAATTCTCTGCAATCAGTTTTTAAATGGACAATGATTTTAGTGCCAACTGGCACGCCTTCTACCTCTTGTATTTCATATGCACCTGATCTAGAAACAATCAATCGTGGTAAAAAATATCTGTAACAGTATTTTCATTTAATCAAAAAACTAAAAAAAAAGTCTGTCAAAGTCAAAAATTTACCCATCAGATGTCCATTTGTAACCAGGGGATCCAGAATGGCTGCTACGTGTATAAACTTCAATTTTATCAGCTACCATAAATGCAGAATAAAAGCCAACACCAAATTGTCCTATTATAGAGCTAGCTTGCTCAGCACCTTGTTTTTTTATTTCCTCTATAAATGATTTTGATCCAGAGCGAGCTATAGTGCCAATATTTGAAATCAGCTCGTCTTTGGTCATGCCAATCCCGGAGTCCTGTAGTTAAATTAAATAACAGATAAGAAAAATGTATGGTAGCAATCCAGTGATAGCAGCATGAGTGACGGCGGGTAAAAAGCGTGGACGCATGTCAACATGTTTGTTTTACAAATATACAGGCAGATTGTGTAAGCGGGTCGGTGACTAGATATATGTTGTACGTGTTATAAGAATGAAGAATATTTTAGAAGAAATGTTTTTTTCTCTCTCTTCCTCTATTTATATCTGCAGTCAGTCAAACAGTTTTTAGCAAATTTGTTGTATGTCATTAGTTTGAAAGGCGCACATCCATTGATGGCTTCCCATTATTATACATCATTTTGTTAATATTTCCGCATTTTTTATAAACCACGGGGCAATTTTTTATAAACCACGGGGCATTCGCAATAATCTTTAGAGACATGTTTTGGAAGCATTGCAATATCTCTACATTAGATAGACTAGCGGATTCCCAGAGCTGAATGCCTTAAGAGCCCTATTACAAATTTGCACTCTGTGAGTTTAGGTATTTGAAGCTACTCGACTACGTGCCTCAGTCACTAGTTCACAACACCATAGTATTATAGAATAGCACGCCAACTCGAGCACCAAACGAGCGATAGTGAGGAAGTATTTTTTTTTAAAGAAAGCACTAAAATGCACCTCCACTTGATGGGGACTCTAGCAAAAGTAGATTTGTGCACGAACTGAATGGACCAAAGATAGTCATTTCCGTTCCTTTTAACTAACATTAAAAAACTGAAATATGCAAAGTTCGAAACTGAAGATATTAATACAAATACGAAAAAGTGCAAATGGAATATGTGTTGTTTATTCAGTTTTGAAAACCAATTTACTTTTATACATGAAAGAAGTCGTGTGATCAGTTGAGCGTTATGAAAAATTATGGGCGTAAAGGATTAGTCAAAACGTGACATTCGTGAATCATGTATTTATTGAAATAAAAAAAAACAAAAATCCCGATTGCGTAAAAACGAATTTAAAAAAACTATGAAAGAATTAACTTAAATAGAAACTAAAAAGAAAGAAACAAGCCCAGTAGTTAAGAATTCTGTTAAGTAATACAGAACAGAAAAACTCATAGTCAGGGCCCATTCAAATTTTACCAATCAAATCTTCCCAAGGGGCTCCGACTATGAGTCGTTCTGTTCTGTATTACTTAACAGAATTCTAAACTACTGGGCTTGTTTCTTTCTTTTTAGTTTTTATTTAAGTTAATTCTTTCATGTATTTTTTTAAATTCGTTTTTACGCAGTCGGAATTTTTGTTTTTCATTAAATTATCAATTTTTTTTAACGAAAACTATTGGTTCTTCATAGTTTTCACTGCTCTTTTTTGTTTGTATCGTTTATACTTTAAATAAAAACTTAAATCAATAATTAAGAAAATTAGCGAATATGATTGTTTTTTTATATAACTTTAAATCGTAATATATCCTAAATTATTATTCAAAATGAAAAGTGATAAAAGGAACCTAAAGATGATTTTAAAGTACCTATTCAACGATACCCCACTTGATATAGTTCGTCGATTTTTTTTTCATTTTGACAATATGGCGTCTGGTTGTCGCTGTAGTGAATTTTGATTACTGTCATGTCTTTAGTGACACTCGCAAGGTTAAGACGAATCGATTGACGTAAGAATCATCAAAATCGGCCTACGCATTTGGTCTTTAGAACGCCACATAGAAACTAACATACATACATAGACTGATAATTACCCTCCTTTGCGTCGCGCAGTCGGGTAATAAAAGGACTATAAAATGTCAATCTTCAGATTTGAAAGTTGAATATTTTTACGATAGTAAGACTATCAAATAATAGACAGAAAAAAAAGTCTAAGTACTTTTCTCTGTAGCATATATTTGACTTTTCACAAAGTACAGAAAAAAAATCGCATATTTCGACAAGTACAAAATGTTACATTTTCTATTCGAATTCAAAGCCATCTTTGAATTTGTAGTATCAAGACACAAATTCATTAGTGTGCGTGCGACTACGCATACGCACGAGCGCCTTTATCGATCGAAGACGAGCGCGCTCAGATACAAATCGTTTTCGTTACGTATGCACGAATTCAATGTACTCTAATATACTCTGATAATACTGTGTTGAAAGTACGATATTTTTCCCCAACCAATGTTTTTTTTCATTTTTCCAAGGTATTTTGATACCTTTCCCCGAGTTTTGTAGTTATATCGTTTCAGTATTTCTATGGGGTGTTTCGTTATCTGTATTACTGCTCATTTTAACAAGACCGACCAAGAAAAGAAGTATATCGTGTTTAGAATTAGTATGATAATCATTATGTATGTGAGTTTTTTTATTCCACCATAACTTTTAAAAGAACAAACCATTTAAAAAAGTAGGATAGGCGGGCGATAGGGTATTTAAAGAGACATAAATCTAAGTCAGATTGTAATCACCACAATGGTACCATTAATGACTAAGATGATATTTATTAAAAAAATAAACTAATCCTGTATTTTATTACGGAGTTTAAAAGTATAACCTTATATATAATTGTTGTAAAAACATGTCAATTTGTTTATAAACAATGATTATCTCGAAATGTTTGAAATTTGTATTGTTTGATTTTTTAACTATGCTAACTTTTAAATGTGATTACAATTTCCAAAACATAACTATTCGGTAATAAAAACTATTATGCTCATTATAGAGCTTGCTCACCTAAAATCATTTAACTTTCAACTACTTTTGAACTATATGATTAAGACTGTAAGAAATAACATGTTAATTATAATTTATTCAAGAATCCTATTATAGAAAACTTTATTTTTTTTATTTACTTGGTAAAGAATAAATCACAAAGTCACATTGGAATTTATCATTTTTTATTGTAATTTTTTTTAACCCTTTTAAAAAAGAAAAAGTATAAGTGTGTAAATCTTTTAAAGGAGGTTTTAAAGCAAGTCACAGTTTGACAGCTGTCAGTAGAAGTGTATTTTTACATGATTTGTATTACTATTTTATAACAGAACAAGTCCATATTAAAAAAAAAAACAATTAAATTCATTTGATATTAATGGTCATCAACTGTCCTTTTATTTATTCTTTAAAATAATTATTAAGTTACAGAAAATTTAAGGCTTTCCTTCCAAGTTTAAGTAAAGTTGTTTTCACCAAATTCTATAGTGAGAATGAATAAGATCCATCTTTTTTACCTGGAATGTTAGTGTTCTGTTCTGCTTATCGGTTATAAGTCTTATCTCCAAAGGGCGATCAGTCTCCACTAAGTTAGTGGTGCCAGGTGCTCCACTTACAGACAGATAACGAAACTTTTCTAAAGCATCACTTGCATTTGATATTAATTCTCTAATGAATACCTGTAAATAGTTTATTCACAATAATTTTTTTGACACCAATGACTGTGTTCAAAAAGATTGTAATTCTTTAATAATGTAGCGAAAAGAAAAAAATTAAATATAGCCAATAACTGTGTAAACATGATAAATTGAAGATGAAATATACAATCTCAAATTAAACTAACTTCTTTATCCGAGTATAATGACCTGGCTACAATATCTAACAACATTTTTGTTTCAGCCTGGAATTCTTTTCTCTCAACATTCCCTTTTAATATCTCAGCTTGTTCTGCTGCAGTACTGAAGAGTTTGTGATTCAAAAGCATGCAGTCTGTCAACAAATAAGATCAATGACAATGAAGTTTATGTTACTCACTGATTCTCCAATAAATATTAAGAACAATATTAAAAACATAGTGTACCTATTATTATGAACTGTAGCTATAGTTATAATAAAAGCTAACCTAGCAAATATGCTTTTTAATCGAATTCTATGTTATACATACCATATAGATTGTTCCTAATAGTGCAACTAGGAGATAAATATTTAATGATTTTGGAAGAACTGAAATATAACCTACTAATATTCATAACATAGTGGTAGTGGCCCAACTTAACACGTGAAGCAAACATTTTTAACTAATATTATAAAAGCTAAATTGTTAACGTTTTTATCTTATTTTTTTTTTCAAATTGAGATTAATTTATTTTATTCATCACAATCACAATACTCTAATTTCAAATACGTTTGACAGACACAACCACAGACCAAGAAAAAGATACTACGTAGACACACACAACAATAAGACGTGCCTCACAGAACAACACTGACCGACAGTGTTACCAGGTCATTTTTTTTCCTTAACCCAGACTTTGTCTCGGTTTACCCTAGATTAGGCATATTTTTGAAAAAATACCCTAAACAAATTCCTATAAAAACCTTTAGAGAGCTAGTTGACCTCCGGACTAACAACTGGCATTTTATAGGCGATTAAAATTGTTTTCTTGCATTGCAAATTTCAAAGATTACATGATTATATTTTATTTTAACCCCCCCCCCCCCCCCCGTTGGTGATAAATGGTAAGGTTTAAGATTATAATCCCCCTCCCTCCATCCAAATCACGTTTATTTTAAGTACCTACAAAAAATCTTAATTTTTGTCGCCGCTTTTCGGTTCAGTAATCGTTGCGTGTTAAAAACTTCGTGTTTCGATTGAGGTTCAGCTACAGTTCAGTTGAAAATACTTAGCGCGATCGGGCTCACTCGTTGATGCCATTTTTCACAACTATAGAGTAAGTAAGAAACTACCTTTTACACCTTGTTCACACAAACAACCACAGAGTACATACTCCAACAAGCTCCAACCACATTTAGGCTACAGGCAACAGACACAATCGAAAAAAGACAGGTAAAAAATTTATATGCGTTCACTAATTACTACATTATTGTTGCATTCAAAAACACCAAACTGAGAGTTTTTATGTCTTTGGCAGTTGATTAAATAATATGCTATTAAACGTTAAAGCTTTCAAGCTATTACCTGCTATTACCCTAAAAAATACCCGCGGAAAATAAATTACTCCAAAAAATACCCTCGAAACATTCATGCTCTGAAAATTACCCTGTAGAATCAATTTTACTCTAAATCTAGGGTAAATTACCCTAAGTTGGCATCACTGCTGACCGACCAGTGACCAGCAGTGTGACTATCTGCCACATTCAGTGCCAAATATGCCAAAAATATGTCTTCATGAAAACAAAAAAAATGCAGAATGTATTCAATAAAATTTAATCAACTAATGTTTACACTTTATATGCCTTACTTTTTTTCAACTTCTTACTCTACCTACGCATCCGAATTTGTCTCCAAATATTCGTCATTTTCGGTGTACATAGATTTTGATATCTTCTTAATCATAAATTCATTCGGTTTAAAGGAGACACAGTCTCCATGTTCCTTAATCCCCTCCTTAGATGTAATCAAAGCTGAAACATGTTGGTTCAGGAACCTGTTCCTTATTTTTGTTTTATTTAAATTCACCTGTGGAAATATTCTTTCGCACGAAGCATTAGACATCGGCAAACATAATAACGCTTTCGCAAAATTAGAAATGTGTTTGTATTTTTTCCCTCCATTCGCGTCCAGGTTTTTCCTATCGCTCCCCAAAATTTATCATTTCGTAAAATTTCGTTACACAGGACAGAAGCACACACGATATAGACCAATGACCAAACAAGAGTGAACGAAAATCAAAAGTTTATTGAAATTTTGGAAATCAAATCATTAAAGAAGATAAGAATATGAACGCTATAACAGTTTCGTTACAGTTCATAATTGTTTGACACACTTGCTTTAAAAAAAGTTAGTGGGAAATCCCCGTATTATCTGGCCACGAAACTAAAATTGCCAGGTTGATGAAATCATTTATTACTTAATTATACAAATTAATTAAAATGGCAGAAATCTGCCACAATTGGTCACACTGGTGACCAGTCCAATATAGGGACATTCCGATACTAGTAAATATGAGTAAGTACTCAGAATTTTTAATAAGTACTCAGTATTTAAAAAAAAAGCATGAGTTCCCGAAATCAAACTAGATGTCGCTACGGTACGTTCTTGATTTCTCCATGACAACCTTGCCGGTTTCTTTCAAACTTCAAAGCAAATTAGTTGTCAAAACTCAATAAACAACTCATATTCTAATTGTACGTTTGCGTATTTACATTTAAGTTTCGAACTTTTCAATTTTCAGTTTTTTTTATTAGGTATCAATACTTTTAAAATGAACCAAAGAGTTTAAAATGAACCTGTTACCGACAAAAGACACAGAGAGTAGAAGAGTGTGGGATCAAAAAATAATTTACTTTTGTAAACAGGGTGTGTCCCTGTTTACAAAAGTAAATTATTTTTTGGTTTATAAAATAGTTTTTGGTTTATAAAATAGTTTATGGTTTATAAGGTTTATAAAATTTCGATATCGATATGAAGCGATGTAACTCACTATCAATATATCTTTAAATTGCTTCACAAAACCGATATATTTATGTTTAATTGTTATTTTAAATCTTGTTTGTAGTGTCCGACTGAAACTGGTTTTTACGACCGAAACCGAAACCATAAACAAATTTCAGCAACAGTCTCAGTTTCGGCTGAAATTGTGATGAAATAATAAAGAAAACGTTATTATAATTAGTCAGTATTTATTTTTTATTTGACTGCAAAGGATGTATTTCGCTTGTATGTTTTTGTATATATTAATGTAATATTCTTTATTACCTCATATTTTCAGAATTGTGATAGGGACTTACATAATTGTAGTATCGTTATTTTTGTTTTAGCAGACCAAGGTGGTCTAATTTGACTATACCTTAATGTGTGTACTTATTAGTTTCTTCTATAGATTTTTTTTTTAATGTTTAGTACCCCTCTCTATACTATGCTATATTATGTGACAAAACTTACCGAATTCAAAATAAATATCACAACAACCCATCAAAGCTCACAACAAACAAAACAAGCGCCGAATTAAACCGACTGATCAGAGCGCGAAAACTACATTGTATTATTGTTTATAAAAAACTATATTTAATTAAAAACAACTATTACAAACAAAACATAATATCAGGGTTACATAATAATTCTAGCACGCGTAGTATGACGAGCTCGAGAACATTTCTTTTACACAGAAATAAAAATGTGCATAGGAGGCATAGGTTAGGCTTGGTCTGTATTCAGTTCGTCGGTAATTTACGTAGTTTCATAGTAAATGCAGGCGAATTAAAACGATTCAATTCTGCTCAACTCTGCGTGCCTAGTCAAAGAGAGCCTCGAGAACAGAAAGATCGAAGAAAAAATCTACTAGTTGTTCAATGTATAAAAGAAACATGGTAGGGGTCAAAATGAAGTAAATTTATATATCGAGAATAAGGAAGATAAAAAAAAAACATATTCCGCCGAGGCCAACCGCTAAAATGAGGAAGTATTTAAAAAAAACGAAAGCACCTCCACTAGATGGCGACTTTAGCAAAAGTTGATTTTTGCAGGAAACGAATGGATCAAAGACAATCATTTTCGTTCCTTTGACCTACCATATTAAAAAACTGAAATTTGAAACTTAGATATCAATACAAATACAAAAAGTACATATAGAATATAAGTTATTTACTGAGTTTCCAAAACTAATTTACTTTTAAACATGAAAGAAAACCGGAAGGGTTGTCTTGGAGTAATCAAGAACGTACCGTAGCGACATCTAGCGTGATTTCGGGAACTATTTCTTTTTTTAATACTTACTCATTGTATTTTTCTTGATTGTGATTTTCTAACATCCCTAGTCGTAGTAATAATTTATCACCGCACCTTGGTCTGTGACAGCTAGAAAGCGTCCGTCAGTTCATCGGTTGATGTTTGAGAATTTTTGTTAATTTATTGAAAACACTGTTGCTGTTTTTTACTTAGTCTTTAATTTCTGTAGCAAAAACGCACCTTCACTAAAATAACAGTCCAGTTCAATACAGCTTGATAAAAAGGTAACTCGATGTGTGCACTGCTCTAAAGTTCAGAACTTGTTCAAAACATTGACGTGTTTTTATTTATAAAAATTCCGTCGTCTTGTGTAACTGGTATCTAGTTAAATAATATCAGTGTTCAATAAATGATTTCGTAATTTGAAGTGGAATATGTTATAAAAATTGAAATTTGTAGGAAGTGAGTTGAGAGTAATTCTAAACTTGTGACAATATGAATGATAAGAAGGTGTTCAGGACGAGTATTAGTGGTTTTCATATAGTGCTGTTATCACATTCGTGGTGTTGTAGTACTTGAGTACGTGGAGCTATATTTAGGTTCGGACAAAATGAAAGACTTGAGGTGAAGTGACCATTTAAGCACCGTGGAGCACCTTGTGGGAGGTGGTGGCCCGGGCAGCTTGCTGCCCGGTGCATCGCCTGCACAGCACCCACCAAATATGCTGCAGCCGATGGAAGAGATGATCCTTCCTCCTAAGCGACAAGCTGTTGTGGATAGGTTACGGTAAGAAATCTATCAGTTGCTTGATTTAAATAATTTTGATTGTTTTACTGATTGTTATTTATATGGGTAACTACTCAAAAGTTGCTTATGTAAAATTTGCCCCTAAAATCATGACTCATGTATGGTCATGGTTATCCACTTCACAATTGCTTTCATTGTTTAACAGATTAATGCATAATAGGATTAAATTAATTTCTAATGCATTGTATTTAAGTTTGATTGCAACAAAATAACATAAAACAATTAGAGAATTATCTCTGTTTTTTGATGTGGTTAAAACTGATTTCAAGTCTTATTACATGTTTAACTTGACCATTTTTTTCTTTGGATCAAAACAGATCTTTTTTTAAGAGAATGGAATAATTGTCAACTATCTTTAATAGTGTTGACAATCTTAAAGTCTTGTGACTTTATTTATTGATGGCTTCTTTCTGGTATAGTGTGATAAGCCGAGCCTACTGTAATACTCTGTGAGGTATCTAATACTTATTGAATGTGATATATACTTTACTATCACTTATGTTTTGGTATACAAGATTTCAAATAACTTAAGGTGAGTGGAAAAGCAATTGATTAATTTTGCATGGATACCAGTAGCTAATGCAATTGTCGCCTCTGTTAAAATTTTGATTAATTTCGAAAATGGGACATATTTGAGCCCCAGAGACAACCTCTGGGACAATATGCCGCCTGGATTTATCTTCTAAGATGTGTCACTGCTTTTATAAAGCACTATCATAAAGAACTTTATTATCCTGCGGAGACACATGGTGGAAAGCCTAGTCTTGACATTCAGTTCCTCAAATATCAATGTCTATCTCAAGCACCATATCTTAAATGCATCTATGCAGGTGAGATCATTATTTTTGTGGGCCCAGGCCTCCACGCCGTATAGGAATAGAACACTAGGCGCATTACAAACTTCAGTGTAACTTTTCAAGTGATGTTTTATATTTGCTTAAAATTTAGTTTAGCTGTGACATGGCTCTCTTGGCCATTCCAATTCACCAGGATAGTAAAAATATGCAACCCAGTCATTCTCCTTTTTGAACCCGGAATGGCTTAGACAGTGTATCATGTATCTTAACAACGCCCACGTCATTGGTATACAGGGTCTTTAATAATACATTGAGATGTTGCTGTACTCTCCAGTTCTGCGAGTATGGTCCATAGCTTGTCCTAGTTGACACAATCGAAAGCCTTGCTGTAGCTAATGAAACACATGATCATTGCAGTTTTGTATCCATAAGACTTTTCTAAAAGTTGTCTTAATATTCAGTATTTGCTTCTTAGTGCCTGTGCCTTTGTCGAATTCTTGTTTTTGAGGTATATACCCATCCAAATAGTAACGAATGCGGCTATTTATTATGTGCAGCAGAATAGTTTCCACATTTTTCGACGTGCCTTTTCGTATTAAATGGCAAGATTATTGATCGCACCAATGTTGAGGTCAGTCGCCAAAGCAACCAGTATTTTGGGCAGAACCGTTTTGATCTTTGATTAGATCCGAAAATTTTTTTACTCGAAACTGAATATGTAGGTTTGGTTTCGGTTATTCAGCATACTGGATTGAATCTCTGATAAAATAAATTAATTTCTTGCGAGTATGTTCATGATATTTAGTTGCATGGTTTCAGAGCGCTACTTGAGATACCTAAACGTCAATGTTCCACCGGAAATTCTGTCACCGTATACCAGGTTATTCGACTGCATAGTAGACAGGCAAATGTACCATGTAACTTGATGAACTTCGATTTGGTTGACATAGGATAATTAAAATGCACTCAAAGTTTAATTCCGTATTTCATATATAAGTTACAGTCTTAACGAACAAATAAATCGGGTTGAATTTTATAGTAGCGCAAATAGCATTGGCAATAGTGCGCGTCTAGCCGTTACACGGAAAGAGCAGAGAGATCATTTTAAGAAAAAGATCAGATTAAAAATACCTTAGAAAGTTTGATTGAAGTCTGTCATAAGCTATGTATGATTCTAAATGAAATCTGTTATTTCCGAACCTTTAAAATTTCTAATAAGTATTCTAAACAAATTCCTTACATTTATACACTCTGCTTGTGTCCTCTCTCCGTAGTTCTCCTCCGACGCCTTTCCCTGAATTCGATTTGCATAGAGACCTACCTAAAGCCAGTTGTAAATCATTGTTTCATCTCGTTTTGTGTTTTCGCAAAGGGCCGCCATTGGATGATGTATTCTTGGCAGGGAAAAAAAATTAATTACTGTATTAATTTAATCTAACGTCTTGTGTGCAATCTGTTGTGTAAACTGATGGTAATGAGTATGATTATTTTTAATTAATACAGTTGAAATTTAACTAATTGCAGTAAAAAAAACTTATTTATGAATGATTGAAGTTCTTTGCCTCATTTTGCTAGGTTCCAAGGTTGTTGCTCGTATTAGCCTAACAAACCATTTTAAATACTAGTACTACTTAAAGAATCTGTTAGGGGTGTACATGTTTATTGCATGTGGCGGTCGATGTCAGTGACATAGTGTAACATATAATCGGGACTTATCGAAGGCGTTGTTTGTGTAGCACGCCGAGCGGGGACACCGCGCCCGTTGTGGTCAATGAACCAAACAAAACCACCTACGAGTGTGATCACGCTCACTGTTTATTTCGGAAAAATATTCATATACATTGTATATATTGCAATATGTCTTGTCAGGTCATAGTCAGGGTCAAAGATATAATAGATACAAGTATTTTGACATTATATATGTACTCATATAAAGGCTCATAAAATTGTATTCTTCTAAATGCATATAAATTGTGCACAATGTTGGAAACAAATATGTAGTCCATGGGCGATATGAACATTCGAAAACACAAATTTATATGTTCACTTTAGGCTACATTAATATTTATATAAGTTACAATAATGGATATGCAGTATTAAGTAAAGTGTGTATTTGTTCGCGGTATCGCGTGCATGTTCCACCCACATGATGGTGGCACCAAGCATCCGTACTGGGCGCACGTGTACGTCCCAATGCGGATTGGTGGCACTAAAGCACGAATATCCTTAATGGATGTAACCAATCCACCCAGCATTCCTTACTGGGCCCGCGTTAAGGTCTCAATGAGGATTGGTGGTGCTAAAGCACATGTATTCTTAATGGTTAGAACCCAATCGCAGATTAGACTAATCCCAAATTACAGATCAAACGCGCTAACTACTTACATTATAAATATTGATGGTCAATTTAGCCTTTTGATTGTCATGTGTGTATGATTATGTGGTTGTCTCCAAGTTATGAAATGAAAATTTCTTTGAAATGAGAATTCTTTACATGAATTTTATATTTATTTATGTGTAGGTCAATTACATTTTGTGTAACTTTATTGAACATAGCAATGCATTTATCCAGAAGTGATCCTCAGGTTTTTTGAAGTCTGAAGCTTGGAACGGCAAGTTTATTTTTATTTCTTGTGTTAAGATTATGAATACTACTTTTTGGTAGTATGTATGACATTTTATGGCAACTTGTGTATATGTCGCAGCCAAGTGGTTTAAACAGCCGTCCAATTGGGCGGCCCTTTAATTGAATTCCGCCATTCTAATAACGGTTCAATTTGATCAGCCGAGTAGCTGAACGCATTGATCTACAATACGGCCAGCCAATCGATTAATGTAGTGGGTGATTTTAAATTAAATACAAAAACTCCTTGTTACGATCTGTAATCGATACAGATACAGGACTGACCAAAAATAAACAAACTGTTTTTTCGCGACTGGGTGTTAATGGTTCGTATGATCCGATGTAGGATGCTATCGTACACACCGATAACGCAAGTGGATTAAGCTTAAACTTTTTTATTATGTAATAATAATATATTTTTTATTGCACAATAAAAATCATATAACACAAAGAAGCAAAGTAATAAAGAAGTATACAAAAGGCGGCCTTATTACGCGGTCTTAATAGAAAAAAAAATAACGAACAAGAGGGAAGTAAGTGCAAGGCATTAGTAATAATAATTAATAGATATACCTGGATATATAAACAATAGAGGAAATCAGATAATAAGTCACCAGAGTCATATTAAAGGATTAAGAAATTCAAGAAAGTGATAGAAAGTGATTCTTCACTTGAGCAACAAAACAACTCAAAGTACGAGCTCTCCTTGTTGCTTCTGGCTATGAGTTCCACAGGTGGACTACCTATTATTTTGAATATTATTTGAAAAACAAAAAAAAAGCACCCACCGTATGCCATGCTCGAAACTACTCCCGCGCTACCTTGAACAACATCTAGCCGCGCCATCTCGTCGTCATACGAGTTCAGCAGCGAGTTTAGTAGGTATACCTAATAACTATTACGCGTCTTTGTGATTTTTAACAGACTTCAAAAAAGGAGGTTATCAATTCGAGGCGTAATATTTCATATATTCATCATGTAGGTCTGTATAGGTTTGTAAATACGTGTGCAAAATTCTATAGATGTATGTATGTATCTCAATGCATGTATGTATCAATGTAACGCCATAATTTTATGATTACGAAAAAAATACGTGTTTAATATCTTTTAACACTCTACCTGACGGACAAACAAACAAAAATTAGTCATCATGATCCCTATTTGATCTTAGTTTTTTTACATAAAATATATTCTTGAGTTCGAAATGACAATTTATTTGCACATTGTACAAATCCGTTCTTTATATGTATAAGTAGGTACCTACTTTGCACAAACGTTATTCTAGCCGGGTGGAATTAATTCGCACGAGCATTTAGTATTTTTGATATAAATATAAACAAATATATCTATACTTTAAACATTAACAATAATTTGTGATATCACGTTAAACAAAAAGTAAAATGAAAATAAAATATTTTTATATAAAAAGGGGGCTTTTAATATTTTTTTCTGTTTTTGGAAGCCCTTCCTAGACCATTTTCTCTATCAGAAAAACCTTAGTCGATAGTTGTTTGAAGATGATCATTAAGTACAATGATAATATTATCTATCACTCTGAACTCAATATTTTTGATTGAACCCTTTGAGGCTGTGACATGTGCTAGACGTCGAGTTTGAGGCTGAGTTTATTGCAATATAGCATAGCTGTACTAATTTTTTATTTATATTATGTAGAAAATCCGTTGCATGCCGTGCGTGCGTAGCGGGCGATTACTTACATAAATAATATAGTTCTATTGAGATCTAGGAATCTACTGTGTACTATCTGAATTTTCAATTGTAATGCAAACAATAATGTACTTAACTGAGAAATTTTCTGAGTAGGTTTATTTGATACATATCATAAATTATCCTTATACTGCTTCTGATTCAAACGTTGTAAATTTTAATGAATTATTACAACATACCCTCATGAATCATACCTATACTACTTTGCTTTACAATATGTACTGTTTTCTCTGTTTACGCTTGCAAAACAAGTAGTTAATGTGATCGTGTTAGTATTTGTAATAATTCATTAAAAGTTACTACGTATGAATCGGAAGCAGTATAAGGATAATTTATGATATGTACCTATCAAATTGACTTAAAATCACAATATACGATATACTTAAAATAAGAATATTCTGTTTTTTTTTAATATATTTTATGATTTTCAGTGGCAAAGTTATATAGAAACCTACTCAGATAAGCGCGAATATAAATGCTTTCATGAACAGAATTCTCCAACTTAGATAAGGTGTAATCGGCTTCTATTTTATCTGGCGAGCGACCGCCGGCGCCCGCTTGTGACGTAGATTTTATAGCTATGTATGTACCAAGAGATCTATATGCCAATTTATTAATATATTCGAAAATATTTAGAATCTCTAGACTTCTAAAACACCTTTATCAGACGCATATAGAAGTTTCTATTTATTTATATTTTTTGTGATGTCATATAAATCTACTCAAAATAACGAAAATAAACATAAATAAAAAATAACATACAAATCTGGAAAGTAAATAACGCTTTGATGCGTGAAGTATGCTTTCTAGTATAGGTATTTAAACTGTATAATTCTTCCATTTTCATGATTTTCATCGATTTTTTCCGAAACTACTGGACCGATTGAATTAAAATTTGGTAATATATACCAAAAGTCTAGAACGAGTCGATTTGGGAGCCTTCTCCTTTATTTTCGTGCTAACTTGAATATGCGAAGTCTATATTAGATTGGCGCACTTTTCCCTTTTGCCATAGAGAAAGTAAAGAGTAGAGTAGTGCTGCGTGCATGCATAATTAACTTGCTCGGATGGCGGTGCCGCGTGTTGCCGGTCGGTAGTAGGCGGGACAAGCAGCGGGAAGAACATCAACAAACCTGGATTAACGACATAATATACACTTTTATTAGCGAAAGTAATGGCATGCTGTGTGATATCACTTATCTGTTCAATGTACAGATAAAGGTGTAGAGATTCATATAGGTAGTTTCACGCATATATTCATGAATCAATTCATAAAATTTCAATACAATATGGGCGGCTACCTCATTTGTGTAATCTCTGAATAATCGTATGTACGTAGCCATAATAAGGGATGTCCAAACCCTGTAGAACAACCTAGCACTCTATCTTGAATACAGATTTATAGTATTATGCAGTATGATTACGTACACATAACAGTGAGTGTGTAACTGATATATTTACTTGATATCGAAACGCCGTCGAGTGACGTAGATGCTCACTTATTCTGTTATGCAATACCTATGTTTTTACATCGAATTGATTACCTAAGTTAGATTAACCTAGGATAGGGCTGCTGTCGTATGTTACATAATTAAATAAATATACATGCTTAACTCCAGATTTGTGTTAATGACTGATAATTTACACGTATTGGTTTAGGTAGTTAGCATTTCTCACCGAAATGAATTAATAAGAGTACTTAATCATAATTTTGTAATTGGGGTCGGATAACTATTAAAAGTTTTTCCATTTAATTAATAATTAACTAATATATTCCCACTAAAAATATTATTAATATAAACCTTTTTTTACGAACTCAAAACTATGATTTAAATAAAAATCACACTACAAGGTCGCGACGTCATTAGTAGGGTAAACAGAATCAATTTTTAGTTAAGAAAATAAATTATGTTGCGACTCAGGTAGTAGGACAGCTTCCCGATATGCGAGGATCAAAGTCCACCTCATTTGGTAAAATCGAGTTGCTGACAAGCAAGGAGGAATTAACCCGTTAAGCTTCGTTAAGTAGAAAACTTGAAATAAAGGATATGTTTTTATCCGACTACGGCAAAGCGAAAAGGAGGGTTATGATTTTGTCCGGTATGTATTTATGTAAAAAGTAATAAATAATACATTAGAATCGTCTTAGTTGTCCGCGTGCTATAGGCTATTTTAGCATAAAGTAAGAAATTTATATATATATACCATATGTAATAAAATAAGGAAGTATTTAAAAAAATCATTAGTTTCCGAAATCAAACTAGATGTCACGATGTGTTTTATTTTCAAAAGTGATATTGAGTTTAGTGATTTTCAAAACTCATTAAACAACTCATATTATATTTGTACTTTATCGTATTTGTATTGATATCTAAGTTTCGAACTTTGCAATTATCAGTTTTTTAATATGTTAATTAAAAGGAACGGAAATTACTATCTGTGGTTCTTTTGTTTCCTGTAAAAAACATCTTTTGCTAGAGATGCCATCTAGTGAGGTGCTTTTTAGTGCTTCCTTTTTTTCTTAAAATACTTCCTCATTATAATTTCAAATATAGTCTGACGATAGAGATATTGTGATCAACACAGTTTCTATACTTCTGTGACAGCACTTCATAGGTACAAAACTGTGAAACTCCATTTGATTTTAAAGCTTAATTCATTGAGAGTAGTACTCAAAATCACGTGCAAGCATCATATTAACATATTGTAGTAATCGGGCTTGCTGATGTTTGCATATTGTGTATGTTTCGAAGAAATATCTAACTAAACCCGAATATGAATCAAATCGATGATAATGATAGTTTTCAGTAAAACCTAATCACAGTTTCATATTTTGACACACTTTATGTTGCACCGTAGTTGACAATAACCTTGGCCATTTCATCGCTAGGGAATGAGCTTATAGTAATGATTTGTTTTTTGTGGCAGACGGAGTGTTTGCATTAACATTTGCTCAAGGTGACCGCACTCGGGAGTTGCGGCTGACTGAACATCGTTTGTAATAATGTTTGTTACCCGTATTGTTTATTTGAATTGAGTTGAAAAGTAGATTTTGATATGATAAACTTTTAATTAATGTTTATCATATCGAATTCGCCCGCTAAATTACAGCCTATGTCGCAGGCGTCCACTATGTGAAAGTATTTTAAAGATCGATCCAGTTATTTCGGAGCCTATTCAATGGAAACAAAAAATGATATATATATTTTTTTTATGATGAAATTAGTTAAACACGTTCAAAATTATATTAAGTAAGAAGTAGCGACGGAATGCTTAACCGTTGTTGTTTCGGACTAGTGTCATTTAGATGCAGTTTTCACTCATATTCAAAGTTGATTTTTTTAATTTGATTTAATGTAAATTAAGTAGGCACACGCAACAATGGCCCAATTTTATAACTAGCTACACCTATTTTGTCGCCCAAAAACACAAATGTCTTCGCTAAACAGCATACAAAAACATTTTTGACAAAATTAAACTGCTGGTATGTTCTTGTATAGTATAGTTTTGATGTAGATAAAATACAGAAAAACATGTTTTAATTTAATTTAATATGGTGGTTATCTTATTATATTTTCGCTTCACTTGATAATGGTTCTTATTGTGTGTTAATTTAAGAAGATAATCTATCTTTATAAGTATTCCTGTACAGTTGCTAGAGTTTAATAGTTCTACTACTGGTAACGCAGCATACGCCAGTTTACATTTAACGGTATTTACTCCCGTACTATGAGACACAATAAAATATTGTCTGTTTTTTTTTTCATTGAAAAAATGTCTTATATGAATGGTTTTTCTTTAGTTGAATAGCTTTTTTTAAGTAAGACGATAGATATATAGTATTTATAGATAACCTGAGTCGATTTTGTAAGGGACACATTAAAAAACTTTTTTTCAAAAAAACGTTCCAAAATATACATGAAATTTTACCTTACATGGTTAGAGACGGGTATTAACGCGATAGATTTTGATCCTTAGGTATGCCCGTGACCACGGCCAGTGTAAGCTAGTCGAAACGTTGTGAAATATAAATAGGTGAAAATACCCAACTATTAAAATATATCGCGTTAATACCCGTCTTATACAATCTAATATAATGCAACGCGAAAGTTTTAAAAAATTGCCTTGATACTATGTTTGAAAGGATCGAATGTTCTCAGTTAATTTCCAAACACTGTTCTCTTATTAGTTACTAGGGTTGCCAACATCTCTTCAGCGAAACATAGTATTTAAAAAAGAAGCTATAAAAATATTTTTATACATCTTGCAGCGTTCCGTCTCATTTTCCATGAGTACAGACAAATGATTTTGGATATATACGGCGTTAGAATATTGTTCTCGCATAGTCCAAGATTATATGAGTGTAAATTTAATTTATTGACGCCTTTATAAATTTTAAAACGAAAAATTAACATACTCAAATTTATGCAATAGTGTACTAGGTTAGGTTAGTTAATATAATACCTAGGCAGACTCAAAATATAGTACAATAAGTAATACCTACTATATTATTATAGTACCTACCTACTTTTTGTAGTCCTAGCACAGCAGCATGAAAGTGTCAAAAGCTTAAAATCAGTAGGATCTTGTCGACTGTAAAAATAATATATACTAATTGTATAATATATAAAAAAAACGAATTTATACACATATTATAATGTTTTGTTACAGCCGAAGGATAGAGACGTACCGGCGACGGCAGTCAGAGTGCGTGCCACGGTTCGACCAGTCCTTCAGCGGAGCTTGTGAACAGCAAAACTTGGAAACGAGTGCGCTGCAAAAAAGATACCTCGAAGGCAAAGCTAAAAGGCAGGCCAAAAAAACCGAACGCAAGCCTGATTTGCCTGCCATCAGTGGGGTGCATAGCAGCGTACACGTCGTAAGTCACAAATTACAAATTAATTTCAAAACACTGTACAGTTCTTATGTTATCATGTCACAGTGTGTTTTCAATTCCAACGACAAAGTATGGCAAATGTGGCATGCACAAAACATTATCGTCGTTTATATGCTGTTACCGTAAACATGAAAACAGTAACTTCAAAGATATGCGGCGTTAGATTGTCTTGTCTGTAGAAGGGGAAAGCGAAATTTATATTACATATATGCATACGTACAATAAGCAACGCGGACGCGTTATAAACGTGGCTGATATAGCAGAATGCGCTCGGTGCAGCGATTGTCACGCGCGCGCCTGGTCCACTCGTGCATTGATCAAATACTCTCCTTGCGACGGCCTTGCGATTGTTATTCATCCAATTATGTATTTTAATCATATTGATTTAATCTTTAAAGTTGTACAGTTTTTTGGAGCTCTAATTAATTTGATACCCTTTCTAGTGGTTGGTTACCACCGTGTCATACGATAAATATCATACTAAAGGTTAGTAAAGGCTACCAAAGAGTCCCATCGTTATACTTCGTTGTCTTTCCATCTCTGTCAGACGGCTGTATATTTTCAGGATAAATAAGTAGATATTTTGTGGCAGTCGCTAAAGTCTTCATCTATTCTCATCACGATAAACCATCGTGAGTACAAACTTAGCAGAGTATTTTAAACCATATACTGGCAACATGTCACTATTTAAGTCGACAAGTGACAAAAGTAAGTGCAACGTTCAATTAGTGCCATTAATTGAATCTAAAACCAATCACGTGCCAAACGCAAACGTGCTCGATGATATAACCTTTTATAAATCCAAAGCTTCCACCGTTATGGAATAAACAGGGAAAATAATTTAATTTTTAAGCGAGACGCGACAACAAAACGGATGGCTTAAAAACGATGTAAAATCTTATCCCCGTATAACTTACTAGTTTCCGTCTTGATGTAATTAATGTAATAGTTAATGCATTCTATGATTTCTTTAGATTCTAGCTAGACCAATAATGATTTGTTATTATAATTATGTTATTCGATGAAAACTAACGAATATCAAAATATATTTAAAATTACCTTTTTAAAAAATACCCATATTATAAAAAAGTAAAGAAGCACAACACAAAAGTAAGGATAGAAGAGCTAAAGTGAAAGTTCAAGTTTTATATGCGACGACATAGATGTAGATAGTCATGAGATGAATCAGATTTCAAATTCTAAAATCTTGTTTTTCTATGTAATAGCGTATGAATGGTGATTCTGGTGTTTTTAAAAGAAATTCTACTCACTTACATTAGGTATATGTAGTACTTACTTAGTTTTAGCCCCCCTGCCCCAATTTATCTATCTACCTGAACGGTTTAGTGGATAATTTATATTTCTTTTAATCGAACCGTGTGCTCCGATTAATAATTAATCGGAGCACACGGTTCGATTATTATTCCTCGATTTTATTCGAAGTAGAATAAAAGGCAAATTTTTTAGAACATTTGTTTATTTGTTTTACCGTATACAACGTTTCAGCTATATGCTTTCGGTTACATAATTATCTATATTAATCTGCTGCAGGAGCATGTATTAAATTTATATGTTTTTCTAATGAAAAATTACAATAAGTGGGGTTGAGAAAAATATAATTATTCTACACGTGGTGTGTATACGGCGAGTCGTAGCACCGGATATCATTCTACGTCAATTGACTTGACCCTCTGGCTTCGACATCCCGTGCTCGTGATTAGGGCTGTCGTAAATTAGCGACCTGCTATGAAAAACAGTTTATGGCAAGTTTATAATACGTATATTCGATGTTGATTTGTTTTCCTTGATTTAAATTTATAAACACAGTATGAAACTACAAGTTTCATAGTAATCATTTGCTTATATTCATATGGGGACACTGCTGGGGTATAGACCCGTCCTTTGGATGGGAATAAATCAAATCCATCCACATTGGCCCAGTTTGGATTGGTGAGTGTTGATGACTGCAGATGAATGTGCTGAGAATAGCGGATTAACGTGCCTTCCAAAGCATAGAGGAGCTCGAGATCATAATTTTTGGTCCCACATCGTATGACTAGTCCTTGAGAAAGTTGCTTAACTTCCGCTTCGCAACCAAACGCGCTAACCACTGCTCTATCTAGTTCCGAGTTTAATATTTATTGTATGGTTTAATTTTTTTCCACGCAAGTTGTAATGTTTTTGTCTCTAATAATATTGTCGTCAATTCTGACTCAGAACCAACAAGTTTACTTATATTATAATAGGTGATATATAACAATAAAAAGAATATTACATATATAATTTTGGCGGTTAAGTAACTTTCGCAAAGGTCGATTATACGATGGATGGCCAAAAATTCTCGTGTTTAGGAAGGTAAGATCGACTGTAGCATTTTCAGTCGTTTTCATGTACCGCGTGAACTTAACTAAATTTAGTTTTAATCCTGTCAAAGTTGCGGTTTTGATTCTGATATAATTTTTATTTTTTTGACGCTGAGAAATGCATTATGGCATATCCGCTTCACCCAGCGCGGGCTCCACCGGTTATGTGGGTCTCCCCCCTGCGGACTCGCCCCAGAGTGGGGCTAGTCAAAGAGCAGGGGTATACCCACTAAATCTCAGCGATGTCCCTCTCATGGAAGGCAATGCACGGAATCGGCCCGAAGGCCATACACGGCGCGGATTCTGATATAATTTATGACAAGACAGACTTGTTGAACTAAATCTAGATCATAATTATACACTTAACGTTTTATAATACTTATTACTTTTATATTATGGTAGATATTTGCCAATGAAGTACCATATTGCAGGAAAGTTATTTTACATAACAGATTACTGAGTGAAGAGATAAACTTAGAGTTTCGGCATTTGACCACAGAAAATAATAAAACATCTGACTATGGATAAATGGTGATTACAAATTGCTTTACTTCTATATATATTTACTTCTATTTCTAAAGGGTACAAAGATTTAGCGCCACTTAAAAGATACAGAATTACGGCGTGTATCTTGACAACAAAAAAATATGTATATTAGATGAACAAGCTTGTCTTCGTTATTTATATTTATTATAATAGGCTTGTGTCATAAAATGTAATTAGGGGTTCATTCTTTCCTTACTTACATAATACACCGATATAACGAATTTTTTCTTCAAAAATCTATCGGTAATATTGATAATTATTGATTTTAAAATATCCATTTGAATTTGACATTTGAACGCCCTGAACTGTCATGGCGTCTTGGATGACGTCATAGAGTGCACATCAAAACATACTGGGCTTGGCATTTTATACTTTTCATCGATTTATTTATTAAAGAAATGAATACCGCATTTTATAAGTATTGCGTAGTGCCTGAGTGTAAAAGCACAAGTGTAATCACACCAAATAAGTTATTTGTGAGAGTTCCAAACAATGAACAAATACGAAGAAAGTGGTTAAAACTTGCACGGAGGGATGATGCCCATAGTTTGTCTTCAAATTCAAGAATGTATTTTTGTGAAGATCATTTTGATGTAAGTATTTAAAATAATGATCAATTTCCAGTACCTTTTGAGTATTATATAATGATGAAGAACATAAACAAATAATGCATACTTTGTTTACTGAATTATTTGAGTTTAATTGGGTTCTAACTTATTTAGTTTTATGTTGTATTTTGTGATTGAATACATATTTATTTAATTTTTTAGATGCCAAACGATATGATGAACTATATAGAATATCAAATCATGGGGAAAGTATCGAAAATTCGCATGAAATCAGGTTGCATTCCGAAGAAATTTGAGTGCCAAGAAGACAGAAGAAAACGTACAAGCTGCAGCACAGACCGGCCAGACATTTTGAAGAAACAACGATTGATGACCATTGAAGAGTGTCTGAAAGAATATGACGAAAGTTGTATACCAAGTTCATCTAAAGATACTTCTGATGTCACTTCAAGTATGTATCTAACATATTTAACATGAGTAATACAAAGAACAAGTTGTATCATAACCAAATGGATTAATAAATTACATTTCCCCTGGATTTGGGGGCCGAATAACAGACACCTTTTTGGTGCAGTCAAGTGATTTTCTAAAGACAATAAAGCCTGGTATGTCTGTATTGGCAGATAGAGGTTTCAAACATGTGGAGCAATATCTCTGTAAGTCAGGAGTAACATTGGTAAGACCTCCAAGTGTTGAAAGTGGATTGAAAATGAGTAAAAATGAAGCAAGGTTAACTAAACAGATAGCTAGCTTAAGAATCCATATAGAGCGTGTAATTCGTCGACTACGAGAATTTTGTATGCTAAAGCCTCATGCTTGTATAAATTTTAACTTTATTAAAATGCTTGATGATATAATAATTATAGCATGTGCTTTAGTTAATTTGCAAAACTCTTTAATAAAATAAAACAAATAAATGCTTAAAAAGTTTTTTATTAAACAGATTACAGACCTCCCAATATCTAATCTTATATTATATTTTATATATTTAATATTATATTACACTCTTATATAATAATGGATATATATTACGTTTCCAAAAGGGCACTAATTTCTCGCTGATAAATTTTTCCATATATTCGTGATTGATTTGCACACTTATAATTTCCACTTTTTTATTTATAGCAAAGTCAGGATCAGCTACACAAAAGAAAGCATGTTTCTTCCCAGTCAAATACATTTGTAATTGTATTTGGACATTACATTTTTCTGTAGGCTGGCCATTCTTAACATAATTGACATAAGTTTTTAAACTAATAGGACATTTAATTTCTATTATGCTATCCTCACATATCCCATCTGGAGAACCAGCAATCATTGGATATTTAGAACTCAATACCAGGCCACACTTCTTAATTTTCTTGCACAGCATTTTTTCCACAATCATTCTCACCTGGTCTTCTAGTACACAACCACGTTTCATATGTTTTGTTTCTGGAACTTTACCACCTAATATTAATGAAACAAGTGTGCCATCAGAGACTTTGCTACGGCTGATTTCAAAAGCTCTTGATGCAGTTAGCCGACCATATCTCAATTCAAACCAAAGATTACTCTTTGATTGGCCACTTGTCACTTCCATAACTTTCTCTATTAAAACTGGTGTTATAATTACTTTACTTAAAAATGTGTCCACACACTTCTCTTTAAATTTTAAGACCAGCTGGTGCATTGAGAGTTGCTCTGTATCACTTGGAGAATAAAAGGGTTGATATTTTAAAAGCTCGCAATCCTGCACTTTCCTCTTCCTTCCTTCTTCTAAAAACTTAGACAAAACTGAGTTATTTGCAGGTAACAAGGGACTGCCCTTTGACAATTCTTTGGCTGTAATTGACTTCAAAGAACTGCCAACTCTTGACAGCTTGGATTTTTTCCAGTAGCACTCCGTTGATGTGCACGATGGTTCCTCGCTACGACGGTGAACCCAAAATAAAAAAGCGATTGCATGTTTGCAACCTCCTTTTGACGCAACACAGTCATCACATTTTAACGAGACAATCACGTCATTGTCTTCATCAATAATTAATGTGCATCCATAGAGCTTTGAGTGAATTTTGTGTTCTGGGCATATTTTACACTTCACAGTACATAATTTGGCGTCACGTTTAAGCTGCACGTAGCTTATAGCATCGTCTCCGTATGAAGCACGAGAAGACCTGAAAATAAATGCAACTGTTTAGTTATTGAATACTTCACATAACATATAACCTAAAAACCAGTGAAAAAGTTGTTCACAAATATAATCTATTTATAAAAGAAATTGAATTTATTTCTTATAATATTTATTTCAAAATAGTTTACATTTGTTTTTACTTACTTAGACGTTTTAATATTGCGAAATTCCGACGAGCAAAAATCACTGTTTGTTGCGAAAAATGATCCGAGCATAACAGCATCGATTTTCGGTAGATTTGTAGAGTTTGCTTTACTAAATCCGGACTCCATCGCTAATTATTATAAGCTTTAAGAAACTGATCAATTAGATGCTTCCAATGCAAAAAATAGGAAAGTTACTAGAGCACTTGTGTTTACTATGAAAACGTCAACAACAACAATGGCGAGTGCACTCTATGACGTCACGCACTCTGATTGGTGTTCATTGTCACGTGAGAAGATGTTTATTTATTTTGTTTTAATTCCTTAAAAATATCATTAATCTATAATAAATATAATAAATAATTAACTTTGTTGACTTCTAAAAATAAAAATAAAAGTATAGACACTACAATACAATTGATTTATTCTTAGTGGACACAAGCCTATTAACAAGGTTGTCATACACAAACGGAATAATATACTGATTTAACTGCGTCTAAAACAATTAGTTTATCTATAAAAAATAATCTGAAATAGGAGTAGGTAGGTCAGGAATGTTAAGTTTAGCCTTGAATGTGAATGTTAAGGGTTGTAATGGTTTCCGCGTCATGCAAAAATGTCATCATAACATGAAAAAAGTCACGCACGATACTTTTGGCGATAAGCAGTATTGCAAATGCACATCTATTTATTACTGGCATACGAATTCGTGTGCGCTGAGTGAAGCCATCATTTGCCACATCGACCGACTCATTCTTTACATATGGATTGCTTTTTTTTTAAAGCTTTTATACTTTATGAATTATCAGCCCCATCGTACTTAACTTTGTATTAGGTTTCGAGTGTAAACTTTCGGATGTGGTAGATCACAAGTAGATCTCGATCTCTCGATGTTATCGAAAATATCAGTTGTTATTTTTTTTTGTATTACACCAATTGCTATTTACTAAGTCTAATTTCAAATTGCTGAAACGACATTACTGAATTAAATTTCACATAATTTATATGTCAATGGCTTTACGAGTGACGTGCAAAGTAACCGCTCAAATCCATGAAACTGAAAATAATAAGATAAAATTAGTAGAGTTATAATTAAAGAAGATATATATTAGAATTCACAAACGTGATTCAACGTTATAAATACCTAGACACTTCTAGTCACACTTTGCGCAATAGATAAGGGCCCCGTTAAGATTGCAGTCCGGAGCCTCGCAATGGTTAAGGTCGCGTCGCCACTGCACAGCCCTACTTATTTTGTGCTCTATAGATAGACTATTTCATCACGCACGCGACTCACCATTTCGATTACACTACTCACAATAATGCTACATATAAAATATGGTGGCACATCCCTCCCTGCTTACCAGTAATGGACAGTAATGGCTTATAAAATAAATAATTTCACGAAACCCTAATGAATTTTCGCAGAACTTAGGGGAGATGAGAATAATACATTCTGCCCTAAGGGTTTCGTGGAAAAGTCATATTTAGTATACCTGGAAAACTTCATTACAAGCTCAATCGAAAACGATGGACTTATTATTAAGTCAACAAATAAATTAGATAGTTTGCTCAGGGATACAGTATTGCAAAGTTGACCGCTGCAAGCAATAGGGCGGGCTGTGATTGTGTAAACTGCGCAAGTTTCACAACAAACGCCTCACATTGTCTCGCGCCGTTCACCGAGACGACCTCAGAGCCTCTGAGCTGTTTTCTGACACATTTTACAACTATGCCCGATTCGACACATAACTAGTTTACACCGAAACACGATCCTATGGTAAATCATTAGAGATTCGTAAAGGCAATTTTTTCATTACACGCTTCGAGGTAATCTTACTATTGCCTTGCTTGTTAAATAACTAATGGACGATAATGTTTGTTTGATTTCTACAAGGTACGATAGCGTACTTGTTTACATTATTATGATTTTATCTCATCATGTCTTTATTACATTGTGTTCACGTGATCAGCTTATCTGTAACTATTTATTTAGTACCTATCAGAGACTATCAATTTCTAATTGCTTAAAATTAAAGATGGTCGGTTTTTTTAGACTCTAGTGATTGTATCGAGATGTAGGGTTTCTGGGAAATTATTAATAAGAAACGTCATGTTTGTGGAACTTCGCCGTTAGACCTGTATGCGTGGTAGGTAAAACAAACGTGAGACACGTGATTAAATCATTTACCAAGGCCCCGCCTTATCTACACCTATTATTGTGTACAGCAAAACTACATAGTACATTCGTTTCTAATGCCGACTGTAGTATTTCAGACGTAATTAATTTTATCTTTTGAAAATAACGATTCAGCTTCAAATGTAGATACTAATGTAGATACCCCGCCGCCTCTCGATTGGGTTACTTATGAATATTTTTGATTTTATCTATATGGCAATGGCGTAGCGTGGTAGAGGATTCACTCTATACGACTTTGAATTCTATTATAGAGAATTTGTGCGAGTGAATGTTGATTATTGGAAAAGTACCTAGGCCAAGTCATCTCATCTCAAGATCGAGATCAAACATTTGATTCTTAGAATTCAGTTCTTAGTCTAACCGAATTTCTTTTCCTTTTCCTTCTAAGAACATCAAATAAAATTTACAACGCCATTTTCTTACAAATTTTTAGAAAAATATGATGTGAAATAATCAGCTATTCGATATGGAACTGTTTTAAATTAACATGTATCAGAGTTTGATTCACAAATTGATAAAATTATGAGTTTCAAGACAATCTATCTGCGCAGCCGGACATTGACCAGTGTACGCAGATCCCCCGTCATTTACGCCATACCTAGCATGCTGCTGATGTCATATTATCATTGGAATTGATATATTTATAATTAAGTGATTATACTGATCGTTCTTCTTTGTTTATATTTAATATTATATATTTTTTCTAATTTATATCAATGCAAAGTTTAATCTTTTAGATATATTCCTATAATCAGAATAACAATGACTTTAAATTACTCATATCCAGCACGACATTAATATAATATTTCTGTTACAGCAACAAAAGTTTGGATGCGGAGATTATGAACCTCCAGCAAAGTTGCAATGCGGTGGTGGATCGTCAACTGGTTCAGGAGAGGCCCTTACGAAATTCTCAGTGGAGATCGTGCAGCAATTGGAATTCACCACTTCGGCGGCGGACTCACAGCCACAACAGATATCCACAAATGTCACAGTGAAAGCGCTCGCCAACGCTGTGAAGACGTCCAATTCTCCGCCGCCTCAACAACCCCCGCCCCGAGTGCCCACTCCACTCGACTGCGAACGCGAGTGTAAAGCCGAATGTAAATCGGAAGTTGCTGATGATGAGTTTGTCGGGCTCGACGAATGTGCAGCAGCATTAGAACGTGACGCTGCCTCCGCCTTTCCCGTGCTTGCCGACCTTATGGGTGAAGACGACGGAGATGATACCTTCGAAGACCTCATCACAGAAATTTCAGGCTACCCTGAGTTTTTGAAAGATTTTGATCTCGATGGTGGAAAACTAAATGGAGGGGGTATCGGTTTAGAGCCGCCGGAGGGAGAGCCAGCGCCGCGACCGTACGGCGGCGGTGAGATGTCACCGGCAGCCCAGACTCTGAAACATATGGCGGAACAGCACCAACAGGCGGCGGGGGGAGACTGGTCGCGCTACCGTAACTACGGCGCCTATCGGCCGCGTCCCGCCCCGCCGCCTCTCGATCACCTTCACATGTCACAGCAGCAACAACTGCATCTCACCCAGCCTCATCACAACCTACAGGTAACTTATAAATGTTTCATTAAAGCTCATGTTTCCTTATCAAATGTTGTACTAAGATTCGCATATTTTAGGCTGTGACACTAAATAAAGGCTGACTTGGACGAAAATATGCAAAATGAAAAATCTTATTTTTCATATAGCCTACACTTTCCAATTATGATGTTATTTTAAACAGTAGATCTGCAATTTGACTGTTGGCGAGTCCAGTTATTATTAAGAGTCCACTAAAAAGTTGATCGCGCTTTCCCGCCAAAATGATTAGTATGTGTATATGTTTTTATTAGTTATTCTTTTTATTAGTATTTAGTAACATTTGAAATGACATTACCAAGCTGAAAAAGGTAAATCGTAATCCTTAGTGTCGTCATATATTTTAGTCGATGAAATTCGTTTAGCAAATTGGAAGTGTTCTTTTTCGTTATTGGGCAACTTGTAACGCGAAACGACATAAAAAACATGGGGAGTCTGGTGTAGTATCGACCGGGGACAGCATGCGCGCGCTGCCCGCCTACTGACGGACAGTTATCGCGAACGGTTACGAGACGATCTTTCTGATGCTATCATTCTCTACCACTACTGCAAGACTGAGATAGAATGAGTATTGCCATAATAAGAAATTCTAGTCGAGGTTTTAATTATATTTGCTGCGCGGAACTGACCGTTTTTTTAAATATATCATTTTATGAAGGGACTAAGACTAGGACCATTCGCATGGGCAGAACTTTGCATATGGTTAACTAAATGAATATCGCTTAGATTCAAGTTAGTATTCTTTATGAAAAAATACAGGGTATCCAAGATAGGTAGCCGATGATTGTAATATGACTAAACATAGCAAATCTTTTCATAGATATCATGTAATTGTCTAATGAGTCCACATTCAGTAAATTGATAGGTAGTTGTGAATGTATTATGTCTATTTGTCCAAAGTTTTAACAAGTGCGTATCCGATATACTTAGTTGCTGATTCGCGGGCTTGCAGATGTGTCGAAAGCCACATGTTTAAACTATGCCCTTGTAAACAAGACATTACATATGAACGGTATCCACGTTCAAAAAGTTTTGTTCTTTTTTTTTTATTTTTACCTATACCTTTTATCAAGTGCAGACAATGCTTATCTTCGTTAATTTTTGAGGATATTTCAATCGTTTATTTACGTACGCTACGTTACCGATGATGCATAAACATTAGTGTAATGTAAAGTGTTATTTTGAATATATAATAGTAAGTAATAATTGACACAACTTTTGTCTTAGTATTGGATAAAGGAAACGTCAAGTTGTCTGCAAAAGGTTGTATTAGAATATTCAATTTCTCAGTACAACAAGCAAAGAATTCTCACAAGTGACGACATTGTAAGAGTGAAGTCTTAAATATTCTCGATTAACGTCAACAACAAGCAGCAACCTTGGCTAATATACTTTTGTTTTTGAGCGTTTCCTTGTTTATTTAGTATTTTAGCATTACGATTAAACGTGATATAGATTACATATTTTTTTTTAATCATGTAAAAATTGCAATTTATTTCTACATTCATCAGCTGTTATTGACAGTAGTACAAACCAGAATGAAAAGATTAGATAGGTTTTTATAATTCCTTAGTCTATGAGTTCCAATGAAGATTTATATTATTAATGTTATTATTTCTTATGATGCTAGTAATAAACAAAATTAAGACCAGTCCAATCCAGATAAATAACATTTTGAATGTATATGTATATATGCATATTTTTCAAATATTATTATCTTGTTACTAGTAGGTACTTTTTAAATCGGCGTTTTTTTAATCTGGTGGGTGGTATTGGGAGAAATTACGAAAATATTTAAAAAACTCTGTGAGCGAATCACGAATATTTAGTTATTTTTCTTATTTTATTAATAAATTTGTACATAAATAAATAAAGGCTTCAAATATTTATATATCGCCAGTTAAAAAGCACTGATCTAAAACATAGTCACGGGATCGAGTAGGGCTGGTCGGGCGTATTCGTCGCTTGTGAGGACACGTGGTCTCCGTACAGGAAGTAATCCTCGGTAGTTTCGCTCTTTTTGTTTCATTCAAGACACTACGATGTCATCGGCCGTGTCGCTTTGCCTTACAACTCTCACAATGTGATTTTAATAAAGATTTGAGTGCTTTGACAAACTTATGAACTCATCGAAATAAGTATTGCTCACAAATTTATATTAAGAGAGGTTCAAGTTAAGGTTGGTTAAAAATGTTTTCAATAGAGAAACAAAATAATTTGTACATTTCTAAGTATTTAGCGGAGATATCGCAGGAATTCGGTAATGCCCCCGTCATTAGAATAAAAAAAAATAAAAAAAATACCGTTTTATAGTTTTAATAAATACTCTGTAGTAGTACATTGGACTTGATTATATCAGTCTTGTCTTTTAAATTTCTTATTGATTCTAATTGTTTTATGTTCAACTTTTAAATGTGTTGTTATTGGTACATCCTGACTTTGCATGACGACACTTTTTTCGAGACTTTTTTTACCGATTGTACACTTTTTTAATTCTTTTTAATCGATTTCAATACGAATTTCTTCTGTAACTATGTTTTTATGTATGTCTGGCTATAAATTCGTAGTTTATAAACCGATTTTGAGGACCTACGTTCCGAAATGGTCCCATCAAAATTTCGATAAAATCAGTTTCAGTTTTGTTTTTATATCGAAATCGAACTAATAAATAAAAGTAATCTAGTAAAATGTGCAGTAAGTATGTACAACAGTATGTCGACAAGTAATTTGAAGTTAGTTTTAGATTTAAAAAAAAAAAACACAATTACTCTGGACTATATACATATTCATGATGGTTACTAGTTGCTGATAGGAAAGAATATAACGTTGTTCATGAACTGCTGTTAGCGATGCTTAATAAGACTTTGCTATAATAAAGGTTAAGTTTGATCGGGTAAATCGGGAGGGGCGTAGGTGGCCGTGACGTAAATGTGTGGGACGAGTTATTTCCGTCGCAAATATCGCAAGGGACGAAATAAAAGTTGAGGTCCGTATTGTTGGCCAATTTTTACTTCTTTATTATTTTGTAAGGATTCAGTGAATTTAAAGATTTTTACATGCTAAAATAATGTCTGAAGTATTTGGAAACTCCACTGTAATTAAAAATGTTTTTTTCACCGAAATTCAACTTAAATTAGCTACGAAGCTTACGATCGTTCAGAGCATATTTTTGTATTATTATATATAACCATTTCAAGTTCGGACTAGGATAAGTAGAAACTTCTGCTTTTATTGAGTAAGAATCGAGTTAATGAAAGTTTCAATAATGTTGAAGTGAGTTCTAAAAGTAAACACTATTTGGTTATCCAAATAAATAAAAATGTTACAAGATGCAAATAAACCAAAAGAAAATTTTAAAAAATCTGTCTTATATTCTTTCGAAAAACAATAGTCAGGTATTAATTATTTTATTACTGTTTGAAAGCACTTCAATTTTGCTGGTTAATAGAACCATCCCAGAATGTTATAAATCAATTTGCAACAAGTAAAATAATAATTCAATACAGGTGCGGATGTAACAATCATGGAGACCTTAGAAACAAAGTAAATAACATTTACTTTGAGCCTCACCTATTTCCGTGACAGCTTTGTGTTGCTATGCCAACTGTTTTACCTGAGTCGGTATTAGTAATCCTCGGGGCTCGGGCCATTTGAAAATTCGATGTGCGAGATAACACAGATACCGTTAGTCCGTCTGGCTCTACAATGCGAAGGGATCTTAGCACGCATATCATGCTCGTATTGGCAGAGAATAACAAAAATTGCGTGTGCATCGGACGGGAGTAGACAGAGTGTTGGAGCTTTGGAGACTTGGAACTGGTTTTGTGTCGGATTGTGCGTCAGACTGTGGTAGGGTTGTTGAGTTTCAAGTAAACGAACTAAGTATACTAAAACGAGACAAATGTGTTTGGGTATAGCGAAGACTAGATGTCTAATTAATTTCAGATTATATTGTTCGTCATTTATCGATATGAATACTGTTCCGTTTAGTTTTTGGGATAAAATCTTTTTTAATTTACTTAAGACTTGCACTACTCGTATTTATAGCTGTTATTTTTCGGAGTGATCTAAATTTAAAAATTAAATTTATATTTATATCAAAAAGTTACATCATTGTTGATTTCCTTTTTTAAATTTATAAATAGTTAGGCATCTCTCATTTTCTACCATTTTATTTTATCTCCGTCGTCTTTAGCTGGTGACTTAATTACTTATTATTATCGTGGGTTATGGTCTGTGTTTTGCTAATGTGGGAACATTAATAGTTCGATGACAACGTTTTCTTTGTTTCCACAACCCTAGGTGGGTGTCACCAGACGCCGAACTCGTCAAAAACTTGCGAACGCGCGGTCATATAACGTCAGGTTTGTGTAGTGTCCGCCCTCCGAGAGTGCTAGCAACTTATCTCTGTTAATTAGAGCAATATGGACACGCCAATTACCTTTGTGTATGAATCTTTTATAGACGTTAGTATCAAAATTATTTATTAGTCTGTTAATTCTTGATAGCGAAAATGTTAAATACATCATATGCCTCCATCCGCGTAATTTTTGTAAAAAGGGGGGTTCAGATTTGCCACGCGTATGAATCTTTATGTGGTATAAAACAAAATGGTAACCCGCTGTCTGTAACGCTGAGATCTTTTAAACTACACAACGGCTTTTAATGTGGTGTTCATCAATATACAGAGTGATTCAATAGGAAGGTTGAATTACAATGTCGGACCACGCGGGCATAGCCGCTGGCGGAAAGTTGGTATATTAATAAAAGAAACAACTTTTCCTCAATGCAATATTTTATTTCGACATTTGATAATGGGTTTCTTGTAAAATATTTGTATATTTTGTGTATGTATTAATTAAATATTTATTTAATATTAGTCATTCGAAAAGTTTTGTAGGGTAGGTACGTAATAATAATAATTTTAATGACTGCATCTAAATATATACAGGCAGTCCTCGACTTACGTCGTTTCGATTTACGTCGTTTCAACTTACGTCAAACAATATTTTGACACAGTTCCTCAAGCATACGTTAATTGTATCGATTTCCGGCATAGGATAATTCACTTGTCGCGAGGTCAATGTCCGTGGGGTTTTAATGTTAATAACAAAATGTGTCCAGCCTATCAGTGTTACCAAGACCTGTATCCAGAATTGATAGTTTCTTTAAGGCAAAAGTTTAGTTTATTATTTCTCATTGCATAATTATTTTAAGTTTGATTGCTTACTTTTGATAATAAAGTATGTATATCCTTTGTTATAAACGTAGTTTTCTCTTTATTTTGAGTCCGTGTGGTATCTTACCCGTGAGTTTTTCATGTAAACATTTGAAAAAATATGTCTCGCTTTACGTCGCGTATTTCGAGAACCTAACATGCCGTAAGTACGAGGCCTGCCTGTATAACCCAAACCGCAGGACGGATTGGGCTGAAATTCGGTATGCAGGTAGATGTTATGACGCAGGCATCCACTAGGAAAGGATTTTAATAAATTTCACCCCCAAAGGGAATAAAATAGAGGATGAAAGTTTGTATAAATCTCCTTAGATTTTCGACTGATAAACTGAAATTAAAAATTGGAGCTACTATGATGAAGACGTCCGCTTAAATAGGATTTTGATAAATTCAACTTCCATGGGGACAAAATAAGGGATGATGGGGGATGTAAATGTATTAGAAATGAATAAATATTCGTTAGAAATGCTGCTCAAAGTAACTTTACCACGCGGACGAAGTCTCGGGCAAAATCTAGTATAATCATAAAAATCTTGTATGGTTATTTTATGACCTCACAATCAGTACCTACTTATTTGCTACCAGTTTGTTTCAAGTTTCAAGCAACGTATCAAACAAGAAAAATAACAATGTTGCGAAATAAAATAGTTTGTGATACTTTTATTGAAGGTTTCTAATCGATTTTAATTAACCTTGAAGATTTACATCGTAATTGTATACTCGCGCATGGGGCCGTTTTATGCTTCTACAGTTAAATGCAGGCCAATTAATTGTTTTTTAATTATTAGATCATCAAAAACAGGTAGCAAATTATCTAAATTAACTTGTATTTGGTTAAACACAGTAAAGATTGTATTTTACAAAATAAAACACTTTTTTTTTAATAGAATCTATTTCAATCTTTTAAAAAAGAGATAATAATACTTATTTCAAAAGCGACTTATTCAAGGAAATGCTTTTTCTATAGGTTTATTATTTAACTTCTAGGCGCCTGACTTCAATATAATTTTCTTGAATAAGTCGCTTTTGAAACAAGTATTATTATCTCTTTTTTTAATTGAAGTAGGTTTTATTTAAAAAAAAGTGTTTTATTTTCATTTGGATATCAAAAATACAAATTGAATAGTAAACCATCGTTACTATCGTAACGTTTTAATTCCCCATTTTCATCCCTTTATTTAAAATATAGTCTACGTTCACAGCATATAATGCAGCTTCCCGTAGGTGAAAGTATTTTCAAAATCGGTCCAGTTGTTTTGGAGCCTATTCGTTGCGAACGAACAAACAATCAAAACTTTCCTCTTTATAGAGATAATATTAGCATAGATACAGATCTATTCATATAAAAATGTTCAATATGGTAAAAGTCTTAGAAAAGAAGATTTTGTTTGTTTGCTTGATATATATTTTTTTATTATTTTTTAGCTGAGATACATAATATACAATACATCATCATCTAAATATTTGGATGATATATGGTAAAAAGCGTATTTTATTTTATAATAAAATAAAAACTACTGAATCGATTTCGATAAAATTTAAAAGGGCGAAGCTGTCGATTAAAAAAATAATTTTGTAATTCGGTCAAAAACTGGCGATAATATCGGTGAACATACATACATCGCTGTCGAACATATAATCTCCTCCTTTTGGATTTAGTTTAATCACGACCAGAATACTAAAGAGCGTGCAATATCAATAAGCTCTATAAAATAATCTTTGTTACTTACTGCACTCTTCGACTGCTGCATTGGTTGATTTGTTTTTAGTTTATTATGATAAAAACCTCATATGGTTTTTTTTCCGCGTTACGTTACATTCACACAGTATTTTTGCATTAAACGAGGTTTATTCTAAAAATAGCTCGCTCACGCATAATAAAAAAGGTTTTGTAAATAGAAGAACAATGAATATTTTAGATATTCCTTCGTTTTACCCACTAGGTTGTAAAAAAATAAGTTTTAGTTTTCGCCGCCAACAGAAAATTGTCACCTACCGATTATTTTGTTTATACAATCCATGACAGCATTGACGGCTGTTGCCAGGTGGATGTAATGGGGCATACATACAGAAATATTTATCTTATAGAAAACTGAACTGAAAACTAATTAGTATTACAATATTAAGGTAGAAAGGTTTACTTGTATGATTTAAGAGTTCTTGATAATATAATAAAAAATATTTGCCGAAAGTATAGCTTATCTTGACTTGGAAGTGTCGCGTTTTTTTAGCAACTTATTCAGGATTCAATATTCGTTTCTTATCAGTTTTTTAGAAGTCTGAGCATGTATATTGATTAGAAACAGCTTTGTTTGTCGACAGTTTAACTTAGTACTTATTATTATATACAATTTTTTTTTATTGTCAACATTGTTTGTGTTGTTTGTCAGGTGTCCGCGGCTCAGCACATGCAGGTGAGCGGTGCGGCGAGCGGGCACGTTTCAGTGGCAGCACAGCAAGGAATGTACGCCAGCTTCCAACATCAGGGTACTCCGTCTCCACAACATCATCAAGGTATGCTGTTTTTACTTAACAATAAATTACCATATAGGTAAATGTGCTTCTGTGATTCTAGCTTTACACTCATTTCATTACGAACCATTTGGCAAATTTCTATCTGGCCATGGACCATCCACTTGGTCTTTCTATATGCAGTAACTAATTGTAGATTAAAAAGAGCTGTTCTTTGTATCTATTGTAAAATCTCCGCTCTATGGATCAATCGGGACACTTTCAGGGATAGTTAATAACCAATGACTCAACTAAAAATCGTAACAGAGGTAGCCTCCGTGATACGATTTACTACTTGTAATACATTTTTTTTATACACAAAGACGCTATTATCGACTAATTGTTGTCATAGAATTACTTGGTAACTAATTTTCTATGAATGCTTTTGTAACGTACATCATGTATAATTTTATACTTACGTTAATTTGATGTTTTATGGACGTTTTGCGAATTTTCAATATTAATAATAGATTTCTCTGTATGTTACAATATTTAATAAAGAACAAAGGGAAGATAATAAAATTTTCCGGTTTAATTAGTTCCAAATTCAAATTTAAACAATATATTATATTCTGTAATGAAGACTCATTTCTTTATTGAACTAATAAAACTAATTCTCTTAATTTAACACCACATTGACTACTCATATATTTTATATTAGCATTTGTTCACGATTTCGTCCACGTGGTGTAGTTACTTTGTGCAGCTTTTCGAAAAACGGTAAAACAAAAATTAAATTAAATCATAGACAATGACTAACTTCCACACAAACTTTACTTCCCTATTTTAACCATTTTATTATAATAAAAAGTTAGTTTAATGATTTGGGCGTGAGAGCATTACAGATACAGATTTACTTTTGCATGCATATAATATTAGTATGGAATAATTAGGTGATTTTTCCTTGTCACTCGTTATTCCATATAATAAGAGATAACCAGACAACCAAATAAATAGACTAGAAACAATAATTAAAATCCGACATTTTGGGGTAATCATTGCATACTGTTATCAGTTATCACTCATGTAACTCACATAAATGGAAACTTGGCAATTAATACACGCTCTTTGCTCTTTGCTCACGCAGACACGACTCTCAAACGACACAAACTATTGTCGTTGCGCTTTGTGGGGGACACGGAACTGGACTATTAAATAATCTAAGATATATCCGTATAAAGATTTGAACAAGTTTTTAATAGTATTAACGATTCGACTTCTATGTCTGAATTCATAATATAGGTAGATATTATAAGAGTCATATGAAAGTACACAAACACAACGTAGCAATAACTCCGACGGAATGCTGATGATTCAATATCGGACCGGGAATGTTTTCAATAGCGAATCAACAGTTGCAAATAAATACACTACTCTATATACTCCGCTTTCAAATGTGCCGTTGCTAAAATTTTACTGATTCGTCATTACTAAGGTATTAGACAATATATTACTCATGTGATTCGTACGTATAGCACGTGGCCGCTTTGGGATCTTTCTGTATTGGTGTGTTACATTGCATAGCAACATAGGTATCCATCGGTATGAGGTTGCGACGTTTTGCGTTATATGAGAATGCGATGTATGATGTACGGCGGGGGAATAGGCGAGGGAGGTTGACGGCCCCATCAGCGAGTAGGGTGGCCAACATTTCGCCAGCGAAATAAAGTATTTTTAAAAATAGCAAGGGAACCTTAAGATACAAACGTGTTTAGTCAGATACAATGTCGCATTAGTAGTTGGGCGCGTTCTTTTTTTTTATTTATGATGAAGATTTTATTTCATAGATTCGGTCTTGAAAATAGGTCAAGTAGGTATTTTTCGCCGAGTATGCGTCAAGCCAGGTGTGCGGCTTGTCTTCGGTTCGGCGGTTCGGTTTCGGCGTTAGTTGCACTTAACGCAGGGTACTACGTACTTACATACCTATTCTGAACTTATCCTACTTGGTACGTATGTAGTTGCTGCGATTCGTCAATTTGTAGTTTGCGGACATTGTGTTACGGTAAATAATGATTATTTTACTTTGGTCTTAACTTTAATTATCGTGATGACGTATATCGCTTCATATTCTTTTTATCCTCCTTTAAAATCGTAAACAGAGTCAATTTGTGTTTTGTTCACAACTAATCTTTAACTGTCTTTAATAATTTGGTATTTTATGCCTATTAATAATATAGATAGACGGGCCAATATGAACCAAAGAAATTTTATTTAACTACCAAGTTAAATATTTTTTTTATCGTTTAAATTATTCGTTCGCGATTCCAGCAGATAAAGACAATAGACTTTTTTTTTAAGATTCAAACTTTTAAAAGTTATGAATATCCATTCATTGGAAAGGTTCTCTGCAATTACGTCATTATTCTGCTGCACGAGTGACTTAGAATAAAATAGAAGCCAATTTTAAACATTTAAATATATTTTTAAATAACTAGAGGGGCAAGGAAGGGTTAACAAATTTAAGAAACTTGAAATAGTTAGGTTTAGCTCGCTATGCAATAGGTAGATCACAATTCTACTCGCCTGACTAAAAATAAGTTTCTGAATCACCCCCATACATCAAATTAAAAAATATGAATTGAACTTGATCATTTATAAGGGTGCTTACCTAACTGTGTTCAAATAAACTATACCTAATTAAAAATGTGAATTTATAAAATTTTCTTGACAGTAAAAGAAATCACGTTTTGCCCCTAAAATTAACAATTCAGTATTTTGTAACAGGGTAACACTCAAGAAGTCTGAGTGACGCATCACCATTATGGAGCCATGTCAATAATTGTTAAGCATTCATGACATTTGTTATACGATATCTGTAAAAATACCTTACCGACGATATCACATTTCGAAATATGCTTAATTGTTTATTGAATATTGTTGTGAAGTGTATTACATTAATAGGTTTAGCAACATGAACATACGATATGTAGTACCTACCTACCTAATATGTCAGTATTTGCGTTTCTATTTCATTCATGACCTCATAACGTTAATTGACTATTTAAGCCATTATCAATGGTTACCTCATTGATTATTTCCCACGTGTTATGATTGAAAAATATTAACAGATAATAACAAGCGAATACCTTTTTGAAATGCTATGCTAATTAGAAAGAACCTATTCAACTTAAAAATAAAGAAATGGAATAGTAGTAAGAAAACTTTTCGATATTTCCCTCTCTTGCGACATTTTAACACGACTCTCTGACGTCAGCATTCGGTTTCTGTCTGTTTCATAGGCCTGGTTTACACTTTGATGAGTACTAGTCTCTCTGGCTAGGGTGATCAGATTTTTGTCGTTCAAACGGCAATAAAAATTTAACTACGCTAGCGAGGTAAGTTAACTCGCCACTATACTTAACTAATGTCGCCGACATTATGTCGGCCTTAATCGAGGATATTGTAGCGAAAGGGCGGCATATATAAATTGCACCATAGTCGCTACATTTTTTAAATAATTGTAGCAATTATATATCTCTCGGACTTCGGAGGTTAATAGTTATTCATACATCAATCCAAAACGTATTTACTTACTTGAGTAAAATATGTGCCAATGTCTATAATATACTTAACTATAACGTATCGCACATATTTTTACTGAACATATATTGATTTTTAGTTTTGGACTTTGCTCCATTTAGCTACAAGGTACTCAAATTGTGACTTATATGAATTTCCGTAGAATATTGATAGGTTTAAGTTTTTTTGACAATACTAATAAGAAAGATGTAGCAGTTGTTCAGTAACACATATGCAAATAACATAGTTTATCTTCAGTTCAAAATTTTGTTTTATTTCAAACTTTTGTTCACTATATAGTCTACGTATGTTTTTATGCAGATGAACAATTATGTAAATGAATCGTTTTTTCCATAGGCAATGGGTGCGATTCGTATTCGGTGTCACAGTCGCAGAGCATAAACTTTTCGCAAGCGATGCGTTCCCGGCAGGCGGCGCAAGCGGCACAACAGCCATCGCAGGGGGCGGGATCTCAACCACTAGGCGAGTTAAATAATATTGTTGCTATTATTTTGTTTTCTCTAAAATTTAAATTATCCACAATAAACTAATAATCAGATCGTATGAGTTGAAAGAAGGTGTTATTCTCGGTAAGTCCCTAGTCTTCTCACGTTCAAAAACAATTTTATTGTTCACTTACTGCCACATTTTTTTTTACAATAATTATATACAATATAAAAGAAAAGTGGGATGTATAAACGAACACGAGAAATTATATTAAAAAATGAACAATAAGTTAATCTTTCATAATACCGTAAGAAAGTTAGTGAGAGGTTATTTGTTTTATATGTGTAGTTTAGATCACTATTTAGTTTAGTTTTTTTTGCAACTAAAGAAGAACTGTCAGGTGTGTTAGTTAACGAATGTTTGTTCTCACAAAATAAACGCATTTTGAAACATAACTATTGCTTATTAGTGCTTGAATAGAAGTTGATATTTCTAGTTTATATCGTAGGTGTAGCCGCGGCAGGTATATCGCGCGAGCAACAAGCTAAAATGCTGCAGCAGCAACAGCAGCACATGTTGCGAGCTCAGCAACAACAGCAGCAGCAGATGCGGCCGCCTCCGCCGGAATATAAGGCGCGGTTCGTGGGCCCCGGCGGGGGCGGCGCGGGGGGCGCGGGCGCGAGGCGGCCGCAGGCGGCTCCGCGGCCGTTCCCGCCTCACGCGAGACAGTACTCGCCCGAGTGGCGGCACGTGCTGCTGCAGCAACAGGCGGCCCGGCAACAGTTCCCGCACCATCACCAAGGTACGGCCATAGTGTATTCGCAACGAGTTCGAATTAACATCGTCATTTATCATTAGAAGGAGTCAGGTCCTGACTCCGTTACGTTATGAATTATAATTTACTAGCTTTCGCCAGCGGCTTTGCCCGCATGGAACCTAGGGAAATGTTTAGTGGGATAAAAAGTATCCTATTATCTAAGTCAGCTAATATCCTATCTGTATACCAAATTTCATCAAAATCCGTTCAGTAGTTTCGGCGTGATTGACCGACAAACATCCAAACATCTAAACATCCAAACAAAGAAACTCACATTTATTATATTATATAATAATTGGATCACCATTAAGTCATAATTCGAATACCTACTAATTCAAGGATATGAAAAACAATACATTTTGATTATTTGAATTGTACATTATGCAGGCGGTATCTAAGTAAGTAGAAATTTAGCAAGTTTAATCTTTAAAATTGTGAAGAACAGATGACTTATGATGACAAACTGACCATTTCCAAATGTTACACCTTCTTATAAGGACAACTGTAGTAGTGTGAGTATGCCTGCGTACCTGAACATATTGTATGTTTATATTGATTGTACGTGCACACGGCTGCACGTCGGGTTACCAAAATATGTCAAATTCCCGAAATTTATTTTGAAATCCATCCTCAATATATTAATAGGTTTAAAATTATATTGAGAAATTTAACAGATTTGTATAATCTGATCGTGCTGTTGGCAGGAACCTTATTACCTAGCAAACACTATAATAGTGATGACGACTAATTTTTGTTTGTTTGTTCGTCAGGTAGATTGTTGTAAAACATAAAACACGTATTTTTTTATTTCGTTATCATTAATTTACGTTTATACATTGTTAAAATGTTACAAGACGTCATGCTTTTGTACATTTTCTACAAAACTATGACGTAACAAGCCTCCAATACTCAACTTTAATGCCTGTAATCTAAGCTATTTCCAATCTTCAGCCCTATTAATCAGCAACACTATCTAAACAGAGTTCTTTCCGCTTTTTAAGTAACACAACGTGTTTGTATTATCAGGTGGTTTCGGTATGGGCGGCATGAGCGGCAGTATGGCGCAACAACAGCAGATGCAGCTGCAGCAGGCGCGCCTGCAGCAGCAGCAGCTTCTGCAGCAACAACACCAGCGGTACAACTTATGTTTTGATATAACATCGCTTAATTTACATTAGATATCATTAAAATTTATTTAATATATACATACCTATGTAACCTCACGCCTATTTGCCAGCGGGGTAGGCAGTTACATCCCTCCAATTTACAAAATCTGACATAGCTCTTTCGCTTTTTTAGTTCACATCATTAACTAATTTAATTACGTCAATTAAGGTTTAATGACGCCTTTAAGCTCAAATGAATGTAAAATTTGTATGGGTAATGTCGCTTTGAACAATTATAATAGATGTTTGTGTACTGTGCAGGTCAAATCTAATTAATGTAACTCTTAAATAATAAATGTCTTTTTTATATAAAGATACTCAGAACAATAGCGTAACCTGTAGAAAAATATTAAACAGGTACCATTTTTAATACAAAAATAATCAAAAAATAGATATATGTATCAATCACCCAGACCTGAAATAATATATCAAAAGTTAGGTATATTATTCAGATTTTCTTTGCTGAGGCGCCGGGAAATCGAACCCGGTATGTTGAACATGACGTTCTCAGATTATTCTACATACTGACTAGACAATATGTTCATATTTGCTCATTTCATTAAAATTTTATGTGTTTACTGTTAGAAGTTCCTATGTATTTGTGTTCTATATTTCCCTATTAATGTTGAGTGCACTTATAATAGATGTTATTGTATCGGAGACTTTACCGTCAGGGGGTTATTGCGCAACTATGTATAACAAACAAGGTCGACGAGTGATGCAAACAAGTGTCGTTGTTATTTTTATTGCACGGTGATTTGTGTTGTTAAGCAAGTTTGGCTTTATCAATGATAGTGCGTGACTCTTTCTTGTTCGTTTATTTTTTTATTAAAATCACATTCGTTACGTTATTAATATAATATTTCAATTGCAGGGCATCGAACCAGCAACAGTCGTCAATGTCTCATCTCATTATGCAACAGAATCAGATGATGAACGTGCAAGGACAGGTATGTTGTATAATTTATGTTAGCCTGTTATTGTAGTATGTGGTAGTAAAAAAATTGAATATTAAACGTTGTTTACATGACTTAGTGACGTCATATATACATATTTTCGCTATTTAAAACCACAGATTAATTAAAAAAAAAACTGTTATTTAATAAAGTACTAGCTGTTTTCCCGCGTAAATTATTTGCATATGTCACCCGCATATCTTGTGGGTGAAAGTATTTTTAAAATCGGTTCAGTACTTTCGGAGCCTATTCAATGCAAAAAAAACTTTTTTTCTTTATAGGTAATCTAATATATAAAATTATCTTATTTATACTCCTTCGAAACGGCTTGCCGATTTTGATGAAATTTTACATGTATATTCAGTAGGTCTGAGAATAGGTTGTTATCTATTTCTCATACTCCTAAATGATAAATGTGATCCCGTACAGATGTATATGGCAAAATAACATTTGCGGGGTCAATAGTATTATTATAGGGAACTAACATTTTTGACTGCTTATCGCGTAAGTTATCTCGGTTGTATATTTTTTTGTTTTTTTTTCTCCCACGAAGGTAAATATTTAATTTTCAGATGGCGAATATCCATATGTCGCAATCTCAGAGTATGTCGATGCAAGGCGGCGGCATGGGCCAGTCTGGCCTGCACACTGGCATGCCTGGCGGCGGCGGCGCCATGATGCCAGGTAATCAGTCTCCATTCACTATCCACAACGCGTCTTCCTTCGGCGGCCAAGCGGCCGATTTCAACTTAGACTTCCTAGACAACATGCCTTCCACCGACGCGAGCAATCTCACCGCGCAGGAACTCCTCAACTCTTTAGACAATTCGTTTTTGAACGATATACTATAAAGGATGATCTATGATCACGGTTGGATTCTTTTGTGCGGATCGGCACGGTGCAGAACCGTTTCGATCCTGATGTACTGCCATTTAGTGGCGATGATGGCATCGATGGCTTCGCCACGTGCGATATTGTAAAAAAGTATGTGCGCCAGCGTAAACCTTTATGTGTGTTAGTTGCAATATCTCCTAATGTTGTACATAAGATGTCCGTAAGCTTATCTATTGATTCATAAGATTATTTGATCGGTACAGAATACCCAATAGCTTCAGATCCGCCGCTAGTATTGTGTGCAAGTTTGCGCGAGTACAATTATCCAATTGCATTGCAACTAACAGCACTAGGGGGATATCTTTGTAAAGGATTTGAATGAATTTTATTCGATCGATGTCAACATGTGATAAGAAAAAAATATCAATACAATGCTTTTAACATCTAATGCATATGGTAATCTATCAAATGTGCAGATTATGAATAATTCTGACAATTTTCTATAGTGTAGCTAGAAGAAAGTCTACTTGTATATTATACTTAAATCGGTCAGTGTTTCAGTATTTTATTACAATACTTAAGTTATTCACATTTTAATGTGAATGTAATGTTACATATTTCATCATGATATCAGTATTGCATTGGAATAATAAAAAACTAGACTTGTTGATAATACGGAAACCGTGGCTCGTTTTATACATTCAAATGATCTTCTACCATCGATCTGTTTATGGATGACGTTAGAACGACAGTGTTTTGTCTTGTATTATTGAATTGTTCTAATATAAACACGTCTTATACGGACTGATGTGTATCTTTTCGCTTAGGGATCTTTGTAGTTTGGTCATTTTGGAGATTCAGGCAAAGACTAAGGATCAGCTCACGCTAAGCGGTGTTTAGTTGATTTTCAAATTATAGTAATTATGAAACTTATGCTGATATACATAAGGTGTAATATAATTATGTGCCAGGACATCGTGGGGTGGATGAATTGAGTATGCTGAACAACTTTTACTATGGGAGCAATATTGAATTCACAAAAAAATTCATACAGTATATTCATATCAGCCGTTACATACTGTAAGCTATTGTTGGTATTACCATTTTGTGATAAACAGTTTTTTGTGTTCAGTGTTGCTCGCATAATAAAAGTTGTCCGGTATATTTAACTCAGCCACCCAATGAGGTCCTGGCATATAATAATATTACACCTTATACACAGCTGCAAAGAGTATGTAAAAGTGAGTTCAGCGGATTACATAAAGTGTACTCTTCCAGTTTTGCATGTTATGTTCAGCTTGGTGTGAGTTAATCCATACTATAGATTTGGGGCATTTTGTATTTATCATTGAATGTATGTACAAAAATTTCATCAGGTCACACAAAAATGTTAAATTACTTGTACATCATTTTTACAGTAACATTTAGGAACATAGTTGGTAGTTATTAAAAACCAATTTAGTTCTCACAATGACTGAACTATTATTTGCAAATATAAGATTGACCAATATAAATCATGTAATGACCAAAGTTATCAAACAAGAATTTAGTGTGGCTATAAGTGGACGTATAAGTACGAAGTATTTGAATATTAAATAAAAACTTCCGATGTCTTTATTGTAATTTCGATCACATTGTTTTATAGAGTATTTATTGTAAAAATATCCATTTCATAGTATTTATAGCTATTAAGATTGTTAATACTTCTTTTGTAAATATTTTTATTGTACTTTAAGATGTTGGATAAATATTATTAATGTAACATTGACAAGATCCTAGAGGCAGTTACAGACAGACAACTAACACGATCTGATCGCAGATTATATTGATACTAATGTAATGTATATTTATTTGAGACATTCTAGTAGTCTATAAAATTATTAGCACAAAATACATTTTATAAAGCGATATATTAAAAGTGAAATGAAATATTGAGACAATGATATAGTATTAGTGATAACATGTTTATATCTTCCATCTATTGTTTCTTTGCTATGTCAGAACTGTACTATTGCTATTTATGTCTCTCCGCCTGGGGATTATCCAATTATTTAAATAATTTAATTAAGTAAAAATGTAAATTTTATGATTTATTTAGAATCATTCCTGTACCTAAGATAGTAGTTTTACTGTGATGTCGGTCTCAATGGTCAATAGCTAATATAGAATCAATTATTATAAAGATATAGATTATTGTTATTGTTAGGATCTCATGTATCATTTTGGGAGGGGTATAAGGGATTCTGGAATATGTAGGGTGTTGATTTTCATATATTTTTTAAAGTTTCACTTCAAAATTATCGTAGAATATTAATTTTCTGCGTATAATGTTTATATATGACATCTGATAGATCTATTAAATGAAATATTGTTGTTAAACAACACTAATGTTTTAATTTAATTCATCCTGATATGCATTCAACTGTTTTGTTAAAAGGCTAATATAAAAAGCGTATGGATTCATGAAGAAACTTATTTGAAAAGGTAGATGTTTTCAACGATTACAAAATGTATCAGGATGATGTAAATTATAATATTCTCCTAAGTGACTGCTAAAGCTCCGCTCTCTGTTTAAACTAAAGATTTGTTTATGATAACAACATTCCAGAGTCATTGTTAACAATGTTTTAACTTTAGGACCAATTTTTGAACATTCTTTTAAAATAATATTACATAATATTGAAACATTTCGTTTATTTTTCATTTCGTTCCCAAATTCTGTTACTTGAATTTAGAATTATTAACATAACATGAACGAACGCTTTATAGTTATTTACAACAATAATACGCAAATCACTTATATAATTAAGTAATTTCTTCAATCATTCACTAAGTAAATATGTATATCTTAACGGAGTAAACGCTTCAGAGATATGAAGCAGTAACCGAGACGTAAAACTGGATTAATATAAATTTCTCATGAATTCAAGTCCTGGAAAAATCGGTGTGAACTGAGGTCGTATCATTTTATGGCACAATATCTTGCAACTCTGTTAGGTTGACATTTAAGTCTGTATGTATAGTTTTCAGCGTTTTCACTTAGCAACATACAAGCATCTCATTTGTTCTTCAATTCCTTCCTGTTTACATAAAATTTTATTCATTGATCAATCGCAGAAAGGTCGATCTCGTTGGGTCTGTTATTTTTTAAAGTTACAATACGATTCAGTTAAAAAAGCTTTTGCATTTAATCTTCAGTCAGTGCGCCGGCCTAATCCTGTTATTGTTTCTGTCAGTGTGACACGTTAAAAATAGTAGAGAAACGGGAAATATGCTGTATGTTTGTAAGTCATGCAACCTTAGTATGATTTATTCGTCATCAATTTTCATGAAGTTTCTCATGACTTGAACCCTACAGCATAAATGTGTACTAAAACTGCTCATTTCTATGCATTTGTGCACATCAAATGCTACCACATTATGGAATCGGCCTGGTGTTTGTACAAGTAATCGGAGAACTTTTCTAGTTTCCTCTCTAAAGCATTTATCTCCGAAGCTAATTCTCATATCATTTCATTAGGTTTACTGTGGAAAATTCTGGGGTTGCGCACGCGCGGGCTGTAGAAGTTGTTCGGTTGAATGTATCTCGCTGTTATTGGCTCTTCGTGCATTGCACTTATTTTGCTTTCATAAATATTCTGATTTGTGCTATTGTCAACTGCTTTCATGACGTAAGCGTGAATGTTTCTTCTACGTTTTTTAATACGAATGCAAGAAAACACAGTACTCAAAAGGATGCCAAATTTTATGAGAGCCGCTATAAATAAAGCTAGCATGAAAAATAAATATTGCTCTTGGTACCAATCTTCGAGAATTGTGAGACATCCCTGAAAAGTAAAAGATAATTTTATTACACTGGTGAATAATGACTGAAACAATATAAAATGTACTGTCTCTCTCTCTCTCACACACGCGTGGAGCAGAGCTTCAAATGACGCAAGTATAATAAGGGACATGACGGCGCTTTCAGCAAGTGGGTTTGGGTTACGATCCAGGACACATCACAGATTGGCAGTTAAGCATTAGTCTTCATGGAAGTCATCGCCTCAAATATTGGTATTCATAGTTTTATTATTGGCATAAAGAGTAATACGAACTCATTCTTCCGCTCTACTTTTACGGTCTTCGCAGCTAAGTTGCATTCTCTTTATAATACAGATTACTAATTACATATGCTAATATAGCGCATGGTGTATCTTCGTTTGCGCAGAGAATTAAGGTACCGATGTTGACAGAACGTACGATTAAAATTGATAATGAATCTTGTTACAATAACTATAAGGTGTTAAATTAACATAATAGGTGTCCGTCTCATCCACTCTGCGTACGTAAATCGGTAAGTCACATAGTACACTTTGCTGATTCAACAATTGAATTTAGTATAAGAAAAATCCTAAAATCCTCTAGTCAACATCACGTAAGACTGTCAATTTTATCCACTTCATTTTCAACCTTAATGTATTTCAAGTAGAGCTTAAAAACGTTTGAGGAAATTTAACATATAGTAGTAATGTTATAGTAACCAAGTTAAAACAGCAAGAAGATATTGTAGTGTATTTATAGACCTGAAATAATATCCGGTATTTTTAGTACCTGGATGACGTTCTTTTACATACGTAAAATAAAGTAAGTGTATTTTTTTTTCGTAAATAAAGCCTAGCTAGTCCGATTTATTGCCCCACTTCATAGGCGTTTCCGATATCCAGCCTGCGGCTTCGACTGCGTGATCCATCGTGTGTTTATGTAAAAGATCTCAGCGTATAGAGAGCAGGAAACGACATTGTTTTATATAATATACCTGAACTGTTTTTATAAATGTATTAGATAAAGCGGATAAATGTTGCCTTATTATAAGCGAGGAAGGTATCGAGGTATTGGTAGCGGTGGGTACCTGTATGTGTCGATAGGTCGGCTCCGGCTGCACCTCCTGGCAGCGGGAGTGGTTGGCGGGCGCGGGGCTCAGGTGCGATGCGGGCGGCCGCTGCACGCAGCACGAGGGCGGCACGGCCAGCCCGCGCGGGCCCAGCCGGCGCAGCTGCCACGCGGACATGTCGTAGTTGTGGCCGTCAGACATGCCGCAACACTCCAACTGTGCAACGTACGCGTCGCATCGATGATTCATCTTCAGATATCGCGTTTACCATGAAATCTTATTGGCTACTTGCCACTCTTGACAGTTGCAACAGTAAATTATGATATGTTGGGAATGGTAAGTTTTATGTAAACGACAATTATGGGGTATCTTATTTTTGCAAAACTTGCGATTTGTAATCTGCAGATTACATGAAACGGAACGCGAGCGGTCAGGACAGAACGTCGTGTGACGTCACATTTCATTAAATAAACGTTAAATCAATAGCTTTTCGAACGAATGATGATTTGAGTGATCTAGAACATAATAAACATTTAGTTGAAATCCGTCGAAGCATTCACTTCAATAGTGTTCAAAGATATTTTAATCCGAAATTAACGTCTAATAATTAATGATATCGTTCATTAAATTTATTTTAAAAAAGTTGCGACCGCAATCGCTATCACATGTCAGATTCATGTTTATTGAAATGTGACGTGCGGCTCGATATGTCACACGACTGGTTGTTTTCGCGGGAAAATTGAATAAATGACAAAAATAGGGTTTCCGTTAATTTAATAACACTTTTAAGAGTAAAATAAATCTGATAATGGTTTTAATGTGTCATATGAAAGTTTTAAAATATTATATTTAAAACAGTTAAATAACCAACTAGAGTGCTTCATTAAACTTGAAACAGATAAAAAATGCTCACCTGTGTTTGTGCTAAATCGACGGCCGCTGTGAATTGTTCATAATCTGGCAATGCGTAGTATGCTTGTAGCGCTCCTACAGCGCCGCCGCGAGCGTTCTGTAAGCCCAGGCAACGCGGCCATACAGCCGCTATTACCCCACCGGCACACTCGCACAATAGTAACGACATGACTATTAGGAAGTACTGGAATAATACAATAAATTGGACAATATATATATTTTTAAATGTCACAGGTTAAAAATGTATTACATATTTCAACAAAGCACTAAAGGTTTCTAGTTAAAATTGATATGAAAATTGTAATGATTTTTCGCGTCTTATTGCCGCTCAACAAACGAAATGATTGGTCGTTGCGATCAGCGTACTCCAATTGATTATAAACCTTAAAGCATATGTGTAGAGTTCAAAATCAATTAAGGTTTTATCTCTGTTTCTATACTGTGACAGCGACGTAGAGTTCAACGCTGAATTTTGTATACAGAAGCTATAGAATTCTGTATACAAATGTAATAGGGGCACCTATTACTATGGGCGTACCTCAAGGGTCGGTATTAGGACCATTACTTTTTCTTATTTACATTAATGATCTTCCTCACTTTACGAAGAATTTGTGCGAGACAGTATTATTTGCTGATGACACCTCTTTAGTGTTTAAAATTAAGAAGGGTAATAATTGTTTTAACGACGTAAATGATGCTCTCGACAAAGTTCTATAGTGGTTTGATAATAATAATTTAAAGCTAAATTCAAATAAAACGAAATGCATTAAGTTTGCATTACCTACCTAACGTGAGGCATGTTAGTAGAATTATAAATGTAAATAGTGAAAAAGTTGAGTTGGTGGAATCGACAAAGTTCCTTGGTATTACACTAGATTCCCAACTGCAATGGGATCCTCATATTGATAACTTGTCAAGTAGACTGAGTTCTGCAGCATTTGCTGTTAACAAAATTAGACTCTTGACAAATGTTGAAACGGCAAGATTGGTACATTTTGGTTATTTTCATAATGAAATGACGTATGGTCTATGTTTGTGGGGTTTTGCGGCTAGCATTCAAGATATTTTTATTGGACAAAAGAGAGCTGTCCGCGCTATATATAATTTTCTGTCTAGGGAATCTCAGAGAAATATTTAAAGAAATAAATATTTTGACTGTTGCCTCTCAATACATCTATGAAAATATTATGTACACAAGAAATCATTACGATTCTTTCACAAAAAAAGCAGTGTTCATAATCTTAACACAAGAAATAAAAATAAACTTGCCGTTCCAAGCTTCAGACTTCATAAAACCAGAGAATCATTTCTGGGTAAATGTATTGCTATGTTCAATAAAGTTTCAAAAAATGTGTTTTGGACGATTCAAAAGTGCTTCTAGCAAGCTTACTTGAATAAAGATTATTTTTACTTCATTTTTCATTTCAATAAAACAAGTATAAGCTCTGTATCCCACTCTCAAGCATAACGCATACAAAGGATAACCTCATTTATTGAATCATTAAAATTATGCTAATCGTATGACTAGCTATGGATACTCGCCTCCGACAGGAAGCAATTGCGTAACGTGTGCCACGACTCTTTGGTCAATGAATCTTTTGTCTCACTTTTTAGTGGTATCGCAACATGACACTATAAAATATATCTATACTACTCATAATTGTTTACATAAACATTATTGTAATTGACGAGGTTTCTTATAAATTAAAGTAGGAATATTTATTTATTATCACATATAATTTTTATTGATAGGTTGTTTTTCTCCGCTTTGTTTGCACTTATAAAGACAGAAATCTAAAATTACGATTTCAACACAACAACAAAATGCATACAGCATACCTTTTAATGGTAAGTGAAGAGTATCCCATCATTTAATCCAGGATACCTACCTAATTATTTCAGCCGCTCCAGAATTATTGAGATTGATTTAGGATAAGACAGATATATATTTTTATTAGACTAGCTGTCCCGCGACTTCGCTCTCATATATTATTGCCTATGTCACCTGCGTATAATAAATGAAACTTCCCGTAAATAATGAATTTTATCGGTTCAAAGAATACTCCTACAAATAAAGTTTAAGTTTTTAACTTAAACTCCAAATATTATAAAGAGGTATCGGTAGAAGAGTATATAGGTAGGTAGAATATCGGTCACTCCAGAGCAAATCAATGGTTTACAGTATTATTCGACATTGTTATTATTAGAATAATTAAGTTACCGAAATGTTTTGCAATTATACATATTTAATTCACGCATGCGCACTTGAGAGTTCTAATAGCTTGGCTAGGAGTTACTACAACGGTACTTTGTTTTGAACGTATTTTGTAATCTATTTTAAAATTATAAAAGCTAAACTTTCTAACTTTGTTTGTTTGATTGTTTGTGATGGATAGATGTGATCATGAAAATTCTTTTACTCCATGGGAAACTATATCATATGTGTTTTATTTAAGGTATACTTAATTAAGGCGGGCGAAGTCGCGGAAAAAAAAGTCTTTATTACATGCACGATATAAAATAGAATGTAAAATTAAAAGGTCTTCATGAAGTCGAGATTTAAAAATTCAGATTTCTTACCATTGTGAGGATGATATACCCCGGCATATACGTCGCCCAACAGCCCATAGCAGCGGTGGCACACACCATCAGTCCGGCGGCAAGTAACGCAAGCGCCAGGTAGTAGAAAGGCGGTTGTTCCAAACCTTCCTCCGGAGATACCAGTAGAAGAGACAACAGCACTCTCTGTGAGTCGCATAGTAACATGAACCCACATACAACTTTTAGAAATCCACTCACCTTAAAACAATTACAAGTTAATGCTGTTTTTCGTACAATATATTTACGAAAATAAGTGTAGTTACAGTTAAGTAAAAAACCAACCAAATAAACTTACAAAAAATAAAGTGTTAAAAAAGCCGAAAACGACTTTGGCGCTTGTGATTTTTTTACAAGAAGCCATATCTTTTACTTAGTTGATACACGTATAACGAAAGTTTTGCAAGTTTAGTTTAAACCGGCAATAACGAACGCGTGTTGTGTTACGAGCATGTGAATATACAACAAAATGTGAATAGATTCGCCGGTTTAAGGGAGATGCGCTCCGGTGAGCAGGTGGGGTGACTAATAATTAAGGCAGTTTTGTTTAAAATTAATGCTTCAGTTGCTTCCATATAAAATGTGTGAACACAAGTGAATTCTTTTTGATTAAACGAAAATCACTTTCATTAAACAAAACCACCATATCTATACTAACATTATAAATAGGAAAGATTTGCATCAAATAGGCTCAGAAACTACTGAACTGAAGGGAAGTTATATCATACACGGGTGACATAGGCTATAATTTACACGGGCTAAGTCGCGGGAAACGACTATTATTTTAAAGGATGCCTTGGGTAATTACGAAAGCGGGGAAATCCTGAAAATGACGAATTATACCCTCAAATTAGGCTTCTTTTTTATCAACTGTTGATAAAGTAGACAAATAAAGAATCCTGACCAATTTTGACCTAAACTTTACTAACACGTCCACGTCTAGTGATGTGATATATCTTAAGCATTTTATTACGAAAGCGGGGAAATCCTGAAAATGACGAATTATGCCCTCAAATTAGGCTTCTTTTTTATCAACTGTTGATAAAGTAGACAAATAAAGAATCCTGACCAATTTTGACCTAAACTTTACTAACACGTCCACGTCTAGTGATGTGATATATCTTAAGCATTTTAAGATATATCACATCACTAGACGTGGACGTGTTAGTAAAGTTTAGGTCAGCTAAGATATATCATATAGATATAACAATTTGTCTATCCACACTGTATTATCATTATTTATTAAAATTATTATTGTATCAAAATAGTTTTAGCATATTCAATTAGTGAGAAATTAAAAGAATAAAGAGCTGCATTTTTAACATGTTTTATAAAATTTTAAAGGCACATTTTATATAAATAAATGATTTAAAAATCTATATCTTTCTTTTTAAATCCGCCGCATGTATAGGGTGTTGATGTTATATCATCTTGTTCTCTTTCACTGCTTTCCTGTAATTCTGGAAATTAAATAAAAATTATATAATAATATGTTTCGATAACAAATATATTTTAATTACGCTGCTAATAGAATACCTGGTGGTAAATGCAATTTTTCTATAACAAACTTCTTTCTTTTCAATTTGAACGCTAGGTCAATACTGGGAGGTATGTATGGTACCATGGAATATAGTGCACTCAGTTTTGTTATGTGAAATAGTCCATGATAATCTTTGTACACTGGATTAGTTTCTTTGCTTGATCCCGTGAATGATTCCAATCTGACAGCATTGTCAACAGAATAGAGAAGTCTTTTCATTATGTGATCATCCTGAAAGTAATAGTGAATTTCAATTGTTATTATAATAGTGAACTGATTTTAAAGCAAATATAACATGTCACATATGGCTCAGATAAAGTTGTCTTGACAAGGGACAGATCTGAAAAACACTTCTTGTTAATGTGTGATTTCATGATTTCACAATCATAAGAAAGTGGTTAAGAGCAAGTATTAACTTTGTTTTTATATTTTGTGTAAAACTACAAATTAAAATATTCAGTCTTTGAAAATGTCAAAATAAAAAAATTTTTTTAGTACTATTTGCACAAAATAATTTTACCTAGTTTTGGATTCAAAATTGGTTGAATCCAATGACATGACGGATCTTAGGTTATAGAATCCAATAAATATATATATATATATATAATATACATAATATAATATAAATATGTATATATATATATATATATATATATATATATTCAGGTCCATTATATGAAAATAGTATGATGTCTTTCATCAACTAGTGAACAGGGAATATGCGTCCGATTCAAAAAAAGGTTAAATATATTTTATTACAATCGTAATTGCTTTAGAATAAAGTCTATCTAAATATTTTTCAATATCAGTTCGTTTTCGTCTTCAAAATAATTATTAAAAAGTGCAAAATAAATGCGGTAACTTAAAAATATTTAAACGCCGTGCTACTTGTCAGAGCGGATGTGACGAAAATGTACACGTATAGGGATGTCGTTGTTACAAAAAGTTGACATCGATGCAATAACATCAATGTATTATGTAGCAAAATAAACAACTGATTACAATTTAAATGATGTTTAAGGCTTTTATTTTACCAATTAAGTAAGTTATATGATTTATTAAAAAGTCTTTTATACTTTAAAAATCGATTTAGGTAATTGAATAATAATAAATCACTCAAAATCCATATTGATTTAAAATGCCATGTCTCTAGTAGTGTACTTTGACGTCACGAAGAGCGCGCCAAAAATTTCGGTGTTAAAACTGCCCGTAGCTATTACTTATTTTCATCAATTATTAATGTTACAAATTTTTTTTTTCAGTGCGGGGTATTTTTTTACCGTTTATATATTGATGTAAATTATCATATAAAACTATTTTCCAAAAAAGTGCATATTCCCTATTGATTACATGTAATTAATAACTAAATATATTATTGATCCTTTAATATTTATTAAAACAATCAACCTTACTTCAAACAAATGCGAAGGCATAGTAATAAATGCAGTTGCATTTGTGTCCCTCAGCAGAATTCTCAAACAATACATGAATTTTATTAAATCTAGGCCATAAGAATCATGACATCCATCCTCACAGTCCATTGCCATCCATATTGGAGACCCAAGGGCTTGTATACAAATTCTAAGTATATTTTTATCTTCACTTTTATTGTTCTTATACTTTTTAACTATATTCTTTATATTATGTACCAAATTCGAGTACAAGCAATTCCTGAAACCTGGAATTTTAAAAGTAACATTTAGGTAATTTCATACAAAACTGTATTAATGTAATTCTTTCTACCAAATCATACAAACCATCAACATTATTATTTTCAGATGGCTCAAGATAACAATATGATATATTACTACTCTTTATTGTATTTTCATCAATGTGTTTGCTGAGATCAAAGTGATGACCAAATGTTGAATTATTTCCAAATGAAGAATCAACTTGACTTAAACCCTCATATCTCCAAGCTATCTTCATTCTATCTATATCTTCTGTTATTTTGGTAGTTTCATTATCCATTGGAACATCACAAGGCTGCGGTAGTGCTTTTACCTAAAAAATAATAATTTAAGTTTACATCAGTTTGACTATAATAATGGGAATTGGATGTTGTAGTATAAGTGCTGAGGAAGAAGTATTTGAAAACTCCCAACTTAAAACTCCAAAATAAGGTACTCCAATAGTGTTGGAAAAAGTTTTAATATGTAAAGCTGATTAAACTTTAACATCTAATATTACTAATAGCATACCAAAACTATGTTAGTTAAGTAAGGCAAATTATGTAATGTTACATGTAATACACTTAAAATAACCATGGGTCATTTCATTGTATGATAAATACACTGAAATCAGAATCACAATATAATCAAGACTTACTGTTTCTTGTGGGTCATCATCAGCGGAAGCTAAGAATAATGCATGTTTACTAACAATTCCTTCAGCAAGAAAATATTTGCAAAGTATCTTACTGTAACTGCCCAAGACATCTTCTTCTGGAATAAATGTTATTCAATATAGGTTCATTTCAAATTAGACAAGAATTACAAATTCAACGAGTTTGGTAAAAACAATAAACATACTTACCAACAACAAAGATAGCACCGGCAGGTAAGCCACCGCCTATGAAATAGTTGAAAATTTTATTGAATCATTAAAATAGGAGTTTTTTATTTGTTAATTTACTTTTAGGTTATACTTCACCTATTATATGATCCAAAGAAGGAATTCCTGATGATATAAATAAAAGATTGTTTTTTATTTTTGTGCCATTTATGGAAATGCGGCTATCACTTATTTTGTGAAAACTAGACATCGTTAAAAAAAATATATTAGGTTTATTTCATTAATGCTACTTGACAACAATAATGTAATATAATAAATAGAAAAATCAGGACTTTAAATTTAAATACTAGTACAGAAAGTCTAAAGTCGATAGGCGTATGCAAACATCAGTTTATTTATTAACACAATTTTTTATTTTATTTAAAGCAAAGGGATCTATTCTATATAATATTAAAAGTAAATAGATCCCTTAACTTAAACAGTCAAGTCTTCGGTTCATAATGAGGAAGTATTAAAAAAAAACGAAAGCACTAAATGGCGACTCTAGCATTAAATTATATAAGAGTTGTTTATTGAGTTATGAAAACTGATTTACATTTAAACATGAAAGAAAACCGGAAAGGTTGTCATGGAGAAATCAAGAACGTACCGTGGTGACATCTAGTTTAGTTTTTAACTTGGAGAACAGCATATAATCAACCTATTATTATTCCTCTATGATATAATATCAAAATCGACTTTTTTATTTTGAATTATTATATTAAAGTTCAAGAAATGAAAAAAACAAGTAAGTTGCTCTTTTTTAAATTGCTGGCGTTTTCCTTATTTTTTTTTATTTTTTAAAAAGCTTTGTGAATGATTCTTTCTTTCTGTATTTCTTTTTGGTAGTTCTTATCAGCAGAAGCGGCAAAGTATTCTGTTATCTGTAAATTACTATGAAGTACTCGATACCTACAGGCGATATTTTACGTATCTTTCTATCACTACTTTGACATGACATGAAATGAAATCTGGTGACGAGAGAATCATAGCCACAGTCATAATATTTATTGCTCCATCAACTCAATGTGCGAAGTTGATTCGAAAACTTGAGTGCATAGAGTATAGAGTTATATTTTTTTGGCTTCTTTGGCTTGATTAAAACCAGTGCTCGAATCACATCACTACCTTAGCAGCCAATCTCTATTAGATTGTCAATGTCAAAATTGTGAACGTAACGCGAGCCTTCAAAGAAATCGTGTTTAGTTGGCTTATTTTGGAGGCACATGTAGTTTTGCCTGTATTTAAACGCATAATACTGAATAGAAGTTCATCATAATTGATTAAATAACTATTCACAATGCAGGGGCCAGCAGTATTTATGGACATATCGCTGGAAGATCAAGTAAGCTACTACCTTATTATAACCTATCTGGTCTAGGAACTTATCCTTTCAATTTTATCAAATAATAATTGATTTCAGGCGCTAGAACTCCGGAAATATTTCAAAAGTCTTGGGGCTGAAATATCTGAAGAAAAATCTCCGAAAGGAATTGAAGATGATCTCCATAAGATAGTAGGAGTTTGTGATGTGTGCTTTAAAGAACCAAATGAGTCCGATATTGAAGCTATACTAAACAGTATTGTTTCCATAATGGTGTCTGTAAGTAACAAAAATATACTTAAAACTAAAAATTTAAATTCCTAAAAAAATAAATTGTTATAAAAGAAGAGAGTAGTAATAATAAAGCCTTTATTTATTATATTTGCAGATTCCATTAGAGAGGGGTGAAAACCTTATTCTAGCTTTTAGTCAGAGGCTTACAAAAGCTCCTGGTCCTAGACTGGGAATGGTAGCCCTGCAGTCGTAAGTAACAATTTATTTACCATCTTTTATATGAATTCTGTGGTAATCATAATTCAACCATTAATTAAGACAATTAATCATATTAAAATCTGCATAATAGGATGCATGCAGCAAAATGTATTTTATTATTTCTGGTATAGATATATTAATATAATAAAAATTTACTAAAACATTTAATATAAAATAAAATCTAATAAAAATCATAAATTTGAAAATTTTTTTTTGTTATTATAATAAAATGGGAAACTGGATTATATGGATAATATGGGTGGCAAATAAATAATTCAGAAATTAGAGATCTGTATAACCGTGTATTTGTTGTTACTTGTCTTTGCCCATTTAATTTACATATACTTATATTTTCAAATGTTTAGTCTATTCCAACAGAATATTTATCTTAGTATTTGTTAATGTTTCAGTTTGTGGCGTTTATACAATAACCTTGAAGCCAATTCACCTCTCCGTTACCATGTTTATTACCATGTTATCGAGCTTGCAGCACGTGTTGGCTTCGTCCGAGAAGTGTTTACGGGTGTGGAACAACTACGGAAAGAGTTTGCAAACTGCCCACCTTCCAATGAGCAAATGCAGAAATTATACAGATTATTGCACCAGGTGTTAAAAGACCAAAATAGGTTGGTTGTTTTTAACTCAGTATTATTGTATTCAGTGTTTTTTTTTCTTTTACATATTGTATTGTACATTTTATTTTTTTGTTTCCAGTGAATTGGCAGCAAAAGTAATGATTGAGTTATTAGGTACATACACTGATGAAAATGCTTCATATGCCAGAGAGGATGCTATCAAATGTATTGTGACAGCTTTGGCTGATCCAACCACATTCCTTTTGGATCCCCTTTTGTCATTGAAACCAGTAAGATTCCTGGAAGGAGAACTAATACATGATCTACTCACTATTTTTGTTTCGGAGAAGTTGTCCAGTTATCAAGCTTTTTATAATAATCACAAAGAATTTGTTCAGTCCCAAGGTAAATCTCAATTCATAGGTTATTGAAGTGCTCTCTCAACTGGAAATTATTGATTTTTAATTTTTTTCCTTTTTTGTGTTTCAGGGTTGAATCATGAACAGAACATTAAGAAAATGAGAATACTGTCATTTATGCAAATGGCAGAATCTAATCCTGAAATCACATTTGATGAAATTACAACAGAACTTCAAATTGAAGAGAAAGATGTTGAAGCATTTATTATCGAAGGCAAGTATAAAATAAATTCTTAATATTTAGTAGTTTGACCCAATTAATGCCCTTTGGTAAAATTATAAAAAAAATAATTACAAGTTATTTTAGAAATATCTGTTACAAATAAAAATACATATGACAATAATAATTAAATTGTCATATTATGTATTTTTATTCTCTGCTTATGCATATTTTTTCTGAAAGTGCATGTCTGTCTCGCGTCTATGATTTGTATATGGGTGGCGAAAATTATTTTAGCCGAGATGGTTGATATAGTTATCCTAGATGATTCTTGGATTTATTATTTTGTTTTACATTAATTGTTTGCAGTGTTAAAAACGAAATTGGTACGTGCACGTATGGACCAAGCATTACGCGTAGTGCGTGTGTCGAGTACGATGCATCGCACATTCGGTCACGCGCAGTGGCTGCAGCTGCGTGACGTATTGCGAGCGTGGCGGGCTAACGTACAGCAAGCACAAGACGCGATGGATGGCGTCACTGTTGCCCAACAAGAATACGCTGCACAGCAGAAGCCATAGCCGCGTGTCATCTATATGTCTCGCATCTATGATTACAAATTCCCCACCAGATGCCAATGAGGATCTTAAATCAATGGAATATTCCAATGATTGTTGTATTATCTAATAATTAGGTATGGATAAACATAGATGCGGATCATTTGTAATTATATCATTTATATAAATATGATAAAGATAGTTTTATTTTTAAATCCGGATTGTTTAATACATGAATCTGTAGTGTAATTTTTAGTGATGTGTCGAATAGTGGTTTCGCCGTATATTATTCAGTTCAACTTTTACCGAACCGGTTTTTTGGCCGAATTATTCGGTTTACCTTTTCATTGATTTGCCGCGTAAAAAGGTTTAAACACAAATGTTGATTTGAAGTTTAATTGCTTTATTTTATTAGCTTTAGTGAACATATTCTTCATAGGATTTGTTTGACTGTGACATGTGGCCTTGTTTTTTCCCTCTCTCTATATGGGGAGGAAAATCCGGGATCATGGAGGCATACAGGCTAATACACATTCCGCTTCTACCGAGATGGTTTTGTAGCCCCTCACAGCCCTGTTTGCAATGACTTTTTGCGGTTTGTGAAGAAGGGGTTTGTTGGCCTCGTTGAGCGATGCTGACCACACGGGCGCCCCATATAGAGCCATGCTCCTTATAACCCCGGCAAATCTTACGACAGCTAGTGCCGGGGCCGCCGACTTTAGTCAGTCTGACTAGTGTTCCCGCTGCCTTCTCCAACCTGGGAGCTAATTGCCGAAAATGACGGTCGAATTTCCATCAACCGTCAAGCAGTAGTCCCAGATACTGTAAGCTTAGCTGCATTCTAATTTCCTCACCGTTCACTCTTAGGGATGCCCCAGCCGGAGGACCTCGTCTGGGGCCATGGAACACCATAATCTCGTTGTTGGAGATTTTTGCTTCCAGGCCCATGTCCCTTATTCTCTCTATAATCATAGAGGTGCCTACCTCTGCTAGTAAGTTCGCTCGCTCGTATGTACTACCCCTAGTCGTGATCAGGGTATCATCTGCAAAGCAAATGATGCCCATTCTTGGTAGAAGTCGGGCTCTAAGTAGACGGTCATAGCCAAGGTTCCACAGAAGCGGTCTTAAGACCCTCTTTCTGTTTTTGGTTCAAATTGGAGGATAACAGATAGTTACGTTTCTTGGTGACTTTATTATATTCTCTTTTGTAAGATATAACTTCCGTTGGATATCAGAATGTCCACCAGCAAAGTTACATTTAAAAACAAGCTGCGTAGCTTTCTATTGGAACAGGCTAATTCGTTACACCGTTAGTCGTCTACATTATATATATATATATTAGTATATGTAGTTATGAAAGTATATATGTATTGTTTATGTAAGTTTATGTATTTTGTTATAGGTCTTATTTCCTCTGTTTATATCTCCTGTACAATGTGCACACTACCACCTTTTATCTCCACATCACCCGGGGGCCGCGCCCGGTAGCGGGAACAGCACATAACCGCCCCAAGGTGACGTGTGGCTTAGAAAATAGATACCTATAATCGGACCGAATATATCCGCCTGAATACAAATAGTGAAATAAAATGCTTTATCTCTAACGAATATTTGACGCCATCTCTAAAAAAATCACCAGCCCTTTTACGTCCCCACTGCAGGGGCTCAGGCCTTCCTTATGAATGGTTAAGGAGGATGGGCCGTGACCCTCCACGCTGGCCCAATGCGGATTGGAGGGTATCATCTCTAGTTTTTTTTTAAATAACATTTATCATTACTCTTTTGAGTTCGTCCGCAATGAACGTAATCTCTTAACTAGGATGGCGGACGCTACAAGAGGTTCATCTAAATTGTCATCTATATCATGCACATCTCTAAAATGTAATTTGAATATTACGCGCTTTTTGTAACACTCAAGAAATTTATAAACCAAACTATCGCTTATTCTCTATTTTGTTTGTTTTGTATCAAGCCTCTGTGGTCCCAGCAGCCCTGGAAGTTCGAACTGAGGAGAAACGTGATTATTGGCTCGTCACTCCAGCTTTTGATATGTTGTGAAAAAGGGCATAAATATAATCATTTTGCCATGTACAATTAATTTTGCATTCACAATGCTAAACTGATAAATATTTTTAATGAAAATTTCTTAAAATTCACCACACCAGGTAGTCCTAGATGTTGAAACTACCGCCCGGGGCATTTATCCAGGTTTACCCTCTTTTAATACGGAGCTGTCTTAGCTGGGGCATAAGTACAGTCAACAGCACGTCAGGTTATACAAATCTGCCAAATTTCTTAACTTACATGTTTTGAGGATAGTGTTTAAAAGCAATTGTTGAAATTTGACGTTTGTGGTAACCTGACGTACAGCTGTGTGTATCAGATTGCCACTCAATGTTAATGTACTTGTGGCGACTGATACATAACGACATCTAATTCATCGCACTTACATGAACAATCGATAGCGAGAAGACTAGCATCGTCACAGCCATCGGTAGCAAGACGAACTGCAAAAACCTGCAAATAGTTTCAACAGCAAGTAACGAGATGGCGCTGTACCAATACGAACATCATAAATTAATAACTACAAGGCAATTAGAACAAAGAAACCTACATCGCCCGCAATAAGTTTCACTACCAATTAGCATAAATAGAACGTCCAACGTAGATCGGTTGGACCGCGGTACCCGGTCTAACAACACCTAGCTCGGAGGGAGACAATTATCCTTTAGTCTCCCTTGCCAGTTGTCCCCATCACCACAGTAGGGAGGGACCACACATTCAACCTTAAGGTTCCTATATACTCAATGTGTTATCGAGTAACTGTTTTGTTTCACAAAAATATATTTAACATACTTCAGTCAAGGAATTATTATATTTATCATATTTGATAAAATTTGCATTCAAAATGCTATTCTGAAAAATCTTCTTAATGATAAATGCTTAAAAATCCACTTGTGATTGTCATTTTTTATTAACAATATTTTGCATTTAAGGAGGTTATCAACGATAAAGATAGGCGTAATATTCATATATGTTAGTCGATCTGGATTTTTAAACACAAGTTAAAAAATTTGCAACAAGCTTTACGAAATGATTGAATTTAAATTAAATGCGAAATTTTTAGGTTGAATAGGTTGGCGAAAAAGTTACTTCGCATTTTATATGAAAATTCAATACATTTATAATAAAGTTTACCTACATTTAACTAAAGTATGTAGGTACCATTTTGTTCGATAACTTTTTGCCATTTTGTAGGTAGGGACATGATCCCATTGCTATAGAAATTTTGGGGCTTGTGATAAAAAAAAACCGCTACAAGTAGTTTTGGTAGTCCTCGTGTTATGTTAACCTGATACTGCCTAAAGAATTCTGAAGAGACCGAAACAAGTGGAAGTTTGAAGGTGCAAGGTCAGGATTATACGGCGGATGCATTAACACCTCCCAACCAATATATCTTAATTGTTGCTGAGTGGCAAAAGATGTATAAGGCCTAGCGTTCTCATGATGAAAAATCTCGCCCCTTCTATAGATTAATTCTGGCCACTTTCTCTCTCATCTCATCTCATCAGTTGTTAGTAGTAGAGTTCAGAGTCGATGGTCCTGCCTGGCGGTGACAGCTCATAATAAATAATGCCCTTCCAGTCCAACCATACACATAGCATCACCTTTTTGCGAGTTAACCCGGGATTCGCTACAGTCTGTGAAGCTTGACCGAAATTTGACCACATCTTTTTCGCACGTTCTTGTCGTACGTGATCCGCTTTATCCGCGTGCCCACTTTACATCACCAGTAAAAAGCTTCTTCAAAAATTGATCGGTTTCATTATGCCGTTATAAAGAATCACAAATGAGTGCATGGTTCATTTGGTTCTTTTAAGTAAGCTCGTGAGGTACCCAAATGTCTAACATTTTTATGTATCCAACTTTGAAAAAAGTTATACACCAAAACTGTTTTGTGGTCAATTCCCAGTTCTTCAGCTACGTAACTTCTAATATGGCGATCTTGCTAAACTTTTCCAAAAATCGCATTCAGTTGATCCGTAACAGGGCGACCGGAGCGACATGCATATGTGCCATCTAAGTTTCCGGACTGAAAACGCTTAAACCAAATTTGTGCTACTGTCACAGAAACTGCACTAGGCAAATAAACACACATTTTTCCCTTTTTTGTAATAAAATTTTAAAATCTATTGAATTTTTCCATTGCATTCACACATTTTGACAGTAAGCAAAACAAATGAAAATGCACATTTTACTAATTTGAATCTGGAGTTGTCTTCTTCAAAATTTAAACTATTTGATACCGAATCCAGCCAGGTACAAATTGTATAGCCAGAAAGATTTTATTACAAGTTTATGCATACTATAATATGCGAAAAGACTTTTCCCTTAACTTAATATTAGTTTCTAAACGGCATAAATAACTCTTGTACTAGAATAAACAGTCGAAAAGTAGACCAAAATATATTATTATTTGGTTGCAAAAAGTTTAGATATATTTATGATCGAAGATATTTATGCATAATTCTTGCTTGGTCGTATAGCCTGGGTCGAAACCAAAAACTTCTTTGTATACACTGAAGTCTTTGGTCGAAACTGACAATATCAACTTACTCTATGATGTCAGTTATGATGAAGGATTAATTAAAAAGAAGAAGAAGAAAATATTGTAGTGTACTTGTAATGTATTGTTGTTGTGTATAAAATATTGTATGTAGGTACAATCCCATAAAGTAAGTCCTGGGTAGCTCAGTGGTTAGTGCAGTTGCCCGGATTGCGAAAACAAATCTCCATAAAGTTTTATATTTTAATTGAGCAAAAAGAATGACAAAATTTATTTGTACAAATGGATTATGATGAGGAAAACGGTGAAGGATGTTTCCGTAACGTGTTCCGGTCATTTGTATGCGTTTCGTTGACGCTGCTGTTGGGGCTACATGTGTACGCGTATTTCTGGGGTTCGCCCCACGATGGCTTAGACGAGGATTTCTCTGATGTCAGATATGTGGTGACGCAGCTCACTCGCGGGCTAACAGAGGTAACAAATGTATCTCCGAATGTACTATTTTTAAGCTAGAAATTAAATACCCAAATATTAGACAATAGCGCTCAATACGGGTGTCGACAGTAATCGAAAATAAATACTTTTTTTTGGTGGTATTTAATATATTTAATTAAACTATTACCGATAATCACACTACTATGCTTATTTTATTTATTTAAATTAATTGTGAAAAAATCACATATTTTAAAATATTAACCCGTTGTCACGTGACTGCAAACAGCGCGTGACGTCACAGTCCTCTAAGGAAGATGTCATTAATTTGATTTTGACATAGAACTGTGCATAGAACGATGTATGTTGTTGTTATTTTGTACGTTAGTTTCAGAGGGCTGTGACGTCACAGCGACGCCATGCTTCTCGTGTATATATGTCGCAGCCAAAAGGTATAATCAGCCGATCAATTGGGCGACTAGCCATTTAATTGAATGGCGCAATTCAATTGCATGCCTAGTTTTCAAGTTGAATCATTATGACATTTGGATCGTTCAACAAGACGGCTGATTTAAAAGCAGCCAAAACGTTCATTTAGTTTTGTTCTGTTAAAAAAATACCCTCTTCTTAATATGTACCATTGTTACTTATTCTAAACAATTGGTTTAAAAGTTTTATATAGTAGGTATCTAATACTAACTTGACACCTCGCTGTTAACAGGCAAGTGTAGCTTTAAAAGGGTTAGAAATAAAGAACATGAGAAAACTAGTATTTTCATTTAAGTATCTAAATATAAAGATTTTCTAACGTCATTACTGCCACTAGCTAAGTTATTGCCAACAACTTACACAGAATTGTCAGATCACACTCTTCACACAAAACAAAGCTTACATGTTATAGTTACTTATCAAGAAAGTACTTAAGTATAAGTTAATCGATTCTAAAATTGGAGGTGAACCGCAAGCACGAACGGTTGAAGGGTGAGATGGAGAGGCTGTCATCGGCGTTACCTATCGTGGCGGCTGCTGCCGATAGAGCAAAGGATGCACTTGGACCCTCTCTAGGTCGCTCCAGTCGCGGCTCTTTAGAAATTATCGATTACGACAGACAGGTCAGTGGAAGTTCAACATTAGAATAACATATCTAGAGATAGTTTTTGACTGTTTTTTGTTAACATAATGAACTAAATATAACATAAATTTGTCTGGATCGTTAAGCCTCAGAACAGTGTTCTGATTTTCTTCCTCTTGTAGCCATGTGACAAATGACATTACTACTTGTTGGATCTAATAGTTTTCTGGTAATGTTCACCTAGAAAATAAAAACTTCGGCTCATCTTAGAACTAAACTCTATACGCATACTTATAACAACATATTACCATTAACGTGTGATCACTAATGTCACAAATATTATCTATTCCTTCAGATGGCGGATTATGCACTTGAAACTGCCGGTGGTCGTATTCTGGATACAGGTGATACCACCGAGCATGTGATCTACGAGTCGCCAGTTAGCTGGGCGCTGCATGTTTTTACGTCATTTCTTTGTCGTGAATGCGTCGGAGCTCGTGCAATGATTCGTCCCGGCACCTTACCCGGCGAATGCTGGGCGTTTAAAGTAGGCTCTACTATAATTTGACCATAGTTCAGTATTAGGTAGGTTTTTTTCTGTAAGAAGGAGACTAAACATGAAGACTGGTTACACGTGATGAAACAATGGTTCCAATTATGGGGTTAAGCTATTTAATATGGAATACAGTTATGTTATATGCATAGATAACCAAATAGGGATATTAATAATAATATTATATGTATCGATACATTAACGATAATGGAAATAGTAAGTGCGTTTCTTTTTCAAAATATCGTCTTAGAGAGTATAATTTTTTAAATCAGATAATTTATTTGCCTGCTATATTACAACCTTAATTGTTAATTAATTAAGGGATCTCGTGGTGAAGCCACTTTGCGTCTGCTGGGCACCGTGCACATTGCTGGTTTTAGCGTCGAGCATATACCATCGCACATATCACCAACAAAGCAAGTATTCATATATCATATACCAAAATAATTATAAAATACTACAGTTAATTACGTATGTGAGATAATATAAGATAATATACTTTTGATATCTTAGAAATGTACTTATTTATCAATATCTTTAATTAGAACCCTTACTTAATAAAATTTCGTGAAAAAGTTTTAGTTTGCATTTTCCTCGAAATGGCTAGACAGATTTTAATGAAATTTTACAATGACATTATATCTATTCAGTAGTAGTAATAATTTATATCCCTAAGTGATAATTGTGTCTACCTTAAATTGGTATGGCAAAACAACGTTTGCCGGATCAGCAGTTCAAAATTTATATTTTTTATATTGCGTTTAATTTCATTTCAAGAATTTCAATACACTATCTTCTACCTCGTTAACATATCATAATTAAAAGAACGAATCGAAATTTTCCGAATTTTCGTTTGAGGAAAAATAGAATAAGCCCTGTAGCAAAAATGTTTAATATTAATCACCTTTAATAAACTTTTTTAAAGTCTGGTTTGTTGTATGAAAAATGTATTTACTTGTTCGTTTTTTAAAGTTGGGTAATTTTTAATTTTTATGTTGAAGACATATCCATTAAAAATTAAAACTACTGAATCAATTTTTATGAAACATGCGGTGTTAAGTTAAAAATTAATCAATTAAACAAATAAGTGTCATTATGATCGGATGTATCAGTTTCGTGACATAGGAAAACACACGTACTTGTTTATTAATGTTTTAGTAATTTTAATAATATTCTTTATTGCATAATTATTTTCCAGAGAAATATCATCAGCGCCTCGTATAATACAATTCGAGGGCCTCGAGTTCCGTTCGGATCCATATCCCCATGACTTTGGAAGTTTTGAGTACGACAAGAATGGGAAACCGATTCAGTACTTCGAGGCGCGTCATCCGACTTCTAAAGGGTATGTTGAAACATAATCATTAATATCTGGTTGCAGTGAACCTGGTGCTTGTGTATGCTTGGTTGGTGGTAACCGTCTAGTGTGCGGCATTCGTTTTCTAAAGAATATGTTTGAACATGGTATCGTGTCTGGGTGCATTTTATTAAAAATATTAATTTGGCATGACAAATTTCTATGAATACTACTACTATCTCAATGTTTTATGTTACAACGTGAGTTATAGTTGTTGACCTATTTACAGTTTTTGCAAGAATTAACTTATTGTAGAAAACACCACTGACACAGATAGAAAGAAGCATATGAAATTAAAACGATGGCAAAAGTCGCAAAAGTCAAAATATACAATTTCGGAAAAACGCTTATTTGTAATATCCTCGACAGTAACGTTATTTTATTTGCTAGAATGCAGTGGAAATTATATCACTGCAAGTTTTTGAAATAGACTCTCACACTACCGAGTGTATTGCAGCCTGGGCTCGTCACTTCTCACGATTGTACTATGAATCCCTTACGATAGCATTTTGTCTGTTGGCCCACTGAAAGAACAATATTATAGGTACAACATGGTTCGTGTGCGAGTTGTGACCAACTGGGGGCATCCGGTGTACACATGCGTTTACCGGGTGAGGGTCCACGGTGAGCTAGTTTCAGGACAAGCGCCACGCATCATCTCCGACGACACAGAGCTGAAGATTGAGAACGAATGAATCAATTTTTATAATGAATGTGTTGTGTTTGTCTATGTTCATTGTGAATTAATCTTTTCTTTATAAGTAAGACGAATATTTTGCGCTTGTTCAAAAACTTTCAAAAGTAAACGACAAAAATTAATATATTTTTTTTCAATTCAATCAGATTCTGATTTGATTTGCGATCTCTGTCTATTATTGCCTACAATTATGTTGCATACACTAGACTTATTATTATATTATAAGTAGTATACAAGTGTCATGAACAAGAAAAACGTAATAATTTATATACCTTGGTAAATAACTGCAAAAATAAAGAGTTTTCCATTTCATTAAATTATATTATTCCGGATTTTTTTATTCTTTTATAAAACGCATGTCATTAACAGAATTTAACCAGGATATCTACCTAATAATTCTTTTAAATCCACTTCTAACATATAATATTCGCAGCTGGTATCTATGGTATTAAAAAGATGTTTAACACTTTTTTTGCGATTATATCGTTCTGTAGGATCAGCAATTTGTTTAACTTCTTATTATTAACTTATCTTAGTTATATATTAAAATACTTTCAAGAAAATGAATGCAATCGATACTATAATTTATAAAGAGGATAGATTTGATCGTTTGTTTGTTTGTTTGCATTCAATAGGCTCCGAAACTACAGGACCGATTTTAAAAATTCTTTAACCTACGACAAGCTACATCATACGGAGTTGACATAGGCTATAATGATGTCGCTTTAACACAGCTAGTTTGTAATAAATATAAATGTTACCGAGCATAAATATTGGCTATGTAGATAATATAAAGTTTCATAGAGTTTCCATTTTCGCGTATAAGTTTGCATCAGGTAAGTAAACCATTACCCATTAACTTAATTTATAGACATTAAATGTCAAAAAGAACCCTTTTTCACAAAAGCATTTGGTAGCAGCTTTTTTCTGCAAATACCATTACTCTGGAGCCATTAATGCCAGGTGCCGCAAGGCATTGTGCCTTGCACAAAATAAGAGAAAGCCAACGGTGATGTTGATCTGGGTGTCCGGCGGGCAAGCGCTATAAAAATGCGTCTATTGTGAGTGGACAATGCGACAAAAGGACATAAATTAAAACGAGCAAAGTGATCATGAGCTCCCGCTGTGTACCCACTAATGGGTTGACCAGCCTACCACCAGTAGCTGCTGTGTGTGAATTCAACTTTGCGCCATTTACTACAAATCGCTCATTTTTCCGAGATAGATTTATAATTTCAGATCATAAATAAATATTTTCAATATGATAGTGGTATTTAATGAAATATTTTTCTGTTCTATCTCTTCTATTCAAAGTTTTCTTTATGCTCATCAATGTGTATTATCTACCTTATTTTCTTATTAGGTATGTATATATTATATTCTTTTAATAACTGCCGATATATTTTAACACGTATAATTCCTGGTAATAGAACAATTTCATATTAATTGGTTTCATATTGCAATATTGCCAATATATTTCTGCAGCGATGTCTGGAATGTTCGTTGTCGTTATAAATCTTTACTTATCTGAAAATACGAAAATATTATTTCTCAGTGCCCAATATATGTATTTTTCTGAGGTGTTTTAATGGATATCGCTACTATTATACGATTGTCACATTAAAAATATGTATTTTATAATCAAAGGCATTAATTAATATTATAACGTATTTTTAGTTATTACATCTATTGTGATCGATCACAGATTGTGATTTTCTAAGAATGTTTTAACCGTAGATTTTCTGTGAATCTATAGTTTAAACATAAAACTATAATAGACCTAAGCAAAATAATATAGACCAAATACGTATTATAGATTTTCGAACGTAACTTGTTCTACTAGCACCTTATTAAAAACATATGCGCCCTTTTATGTGAGTAACGGATAATCTCAGGATAATCTACATTTAGGAACACTTTGTAGGTTTTACTTCCATCGCCGACAAACATGTCAACAGTTTATTTAAAATACATAGACAGTGAAGTGAAAAATCATGGTTAAAAGCAGGCTACGTATGTCATTATCAGTAGATATTTTTTCTGTGACAAAACGATCATGTCACACAACGCATCTCAATATAAAAGACAAGCAGAAAATCAGCGTTCATTACGGCCTCGGTGGCACCATTAAGGCCATAAATGTGCCATCAGTCTAAGGGGCGAATTTTTTCCTGGAGTTAATTCAGTAGGACCTTCCTTTGACAAATAGATGGAAGTCGTAAAGGGTGAAACTATTTCTCCATGAAATGTATCCTTTCTGTCGACGCCGCCTACGTGTGCCACTCAATATTAATGATGTGATCTTAGTTCAAACGTCTTTCGCAGTCTCTGCTTGACATTTATTAATGATCTACATTTGTGTCCAGATTCGTTTGTTTGCTCATCTATTTACGTAAAAGTTAGTGTCTGAATAAGCAAACATCACGCACTGTCTATGATTACACATGTAACTACCTGCGTAGATGCTTAAGGTAATTGTAGATCTAAAAGATGTTTGAGTAGAGCGGTCCTCAAGGTATTCAATTTATTTTGAAAGTAAGCTTACGCGATAACTTATATTGGTTAATGTATATTAGTAATCTTAGGCTTTTGACTAGTTAATGTTTCATATGATATGGGTATTTTTAGATTAATAAAAACTATATCCTTGAATGTTTTAGTGCCATTTTTTACTAAAAAAAGTCATCCAAATCTCATGAATTTATTTAAAGTGATAGACGACAATTGCTAAATGTCGGTTTCGGGTATAGTTATCGGTATATCGGGTATAGAGTACCTAGAGAATTTGTGCACTTATTAAAGCTTAGCCTGTAATGATTTTATTATTTTTAAATATTTTCTATGTAGATACGATGTTCCATGATCAGTAGCGAACCGATTCTAATTTTTTTTTTGTTTTGTTTAAAAGGTTATATTCTCTAGAGCGCCCTTTTAATCGAAATTGGATAATTTAGTTTTGTTTTTATTAGAAAAATTGCTGGTTTCCTGCAACTTCACCCGCGTTAATTATAGGCGAAACAATTTTCATGCTTAGATCAGGCTTTGTATTTCTGTAAAATAACCTCTACAAACAAACAAAGTTAGAAACTTTACCTCTCTATAATATTAGTATAGACTACACATAAGTGAAATATAACTATTAACTATATCGTCATACGACATTGTCGACAATTATTTACAGTATCCAAATATTATTTCATGCATGCATATTCATGAGGTTGGATCATGAGTTTCTTTTCGAACATATAAAATTAGTAAGTTCACTCACCATTCGTTAGCGAAAGTTCTATTTTTTCTAAATAAAACTATCTTCAAAAGATCGAAAAGGGTATTCTTCAAAAACTACAAAAGTAATTAAACAAATGTAATTTAAATTCAAGCAGTTAAAAGCATGGCCAGCTAATAATCTTCGGCTTAATCACAGACTGAATTGAAATGAAGTTTCAGAATATGTATAGTCTTTATTTGTTTTTATGTAATCATTATTTTACTTTAAAGATATGACATTTTAAATTAATATGGTTTTTGAGTAATTAATTATTCTCAAGTTGATTAACAATTAATCGATTTTCTTAAAACATAATCAGCCTTTTTTAATGATCATTTAGTTCATGAAAGCAGTTAAATAAAAGCATAAAACATTATTTACATTACGTGTAATCTTTTGTTTATTCTAATTATATTTCCATAGTTTTATCTGTGATAATTATGAATTTCTATATAAACTTTTATTTATTTCAACTCTCTTTTCCGCGATATAAGTTATCTTTTAATTTTTTCGGAACTTTTACCTACTTAATGAAATATGATCATTCCATTTGACTTCTTACTACTTCATCAATAGCAAGTCAACTCTCATTCAACTTCAGTTGACTTCAATTTTTGATGTGATTACATCGGACTTCATTGAATGTCATTGTGCTTCATTAAGTGTATCATCAACCTTCATCGGAATTCATTATACTTCATCGGACCTCATTGCACTTCATTAGATTTCATTTCAATTGCGCGTATGTTAAGAATCTTCATACAAATTTCAATATTCAAAATTCAATGTATTTTATTCCAAAACTAACAACTAATAAATAGTAAAAAAATGTATATAATTCGGTTGAATTTTATTTTATGTTATTATAAATTTATCGATATAGGTATTTCAAATATGTAATTATTTACTTATTAATTTAAATAAAAATAAATTAATGAAAATAAGTTTTGTAAAGGTAGCTTAGCTTGTATATGTACCTACTAACTCTTAATTTAAAAAATGTTATTAAAATATGTACGTTTGTATTAAGCACATTATGCAGCTTCTACTAGTATTATTGATATTTTAAATTTTGATCTAGTAAGCTTTGATATAGTAAGCACTAAGCAGTCGACTTAGTAAACTGTTGGTATTATGAAGTGTTGAGATATTGAACTACTAGTCTCGTGGTATTGATCTTTTAATTTTTGATATTATGATTTCTGACTTTATGAATGACACCCAGTATTTCAACAACGTCAAGTTGACTATTTTAACATTTCATAATCATTAATTATATCACAACGACAATTAAACTACATAATTACAAATTAAATTATAAAAAACTCAACATTGACCGAAATAGTGTGATGTAGAAATATACTTAACGTCATACATATAGTACCTACTTATAGTACAACAATTTATGTTTTCTTTTGTATATAAAATGATTTGTACTTTTATATTTGTTATCAATTATGTTCCCAAATATCAATTTTCATCACAAATAAGGAAATCTTTATTAACAATATAAGATATATTTTTTAATGTTTTTAAGGATAGCTATTAGCTATATAATATTACGGAAAAATATTACAAAAACGTGATAACCACGCGGGTGAAGCCGCTAGCGGAAAGCTAGTTTACCTATTATTTATCTACTGCGATTTGCAAATTATCGTAAGGCTGTTCATATGTTCAATGAAAATTCTATTGAAGTCCGTCGGCAATTTTTATAAAATTTCCACGAA